GTAGAGCGGTGGGAAAAATTGTCGGTAAAAACAGCTTGTGACGTCAATGTTGGTCAGGTGAAAAAAAGAGGGAAATTCAAAACAGTGTTTTTCGAGTCGACTTGGCGCAGAAATTTTGGTCGACCAATCAGCGCTCCAGATCGGATTCCGGACAGATTTTACGACATGGAATGGAATATGTATGGAATATCTGCCGCTAAATCGCAGACGTTCCTCCTCGAGAAACGTTCCCTGTGGCGAAGAGCAAGGAGAAACGGCTGTTTTATGTAAATAAACTCTATGAATTGATTCAGTTCGCGTTTTGATTGACAACTACATAATGAAATTGTCAAGTTCATGGCGAATGTCCGCGATTTCCAACGAACTCTGGAAACCCTTTGGATGGCGCATATTTTGGCAGACAACAGTTGTTGTGACTGTCGAACTGAGTTGTTTCAAAAAATATCTTTAATCAAAATGAAAAATTTCGAAAGTGACAGCTTAACTTATAGGGTCATGGAGAAATTCACTAGGTAATGGAAAAAAGTGATGAGAAGAGCTCAAAAGAGGATGTACCCTGTTTAAACATGCCAGACATGCAGTGTCCGTATGGGTCATTACACTGAATGTCATGAAAAGTCCATGAACTTGCTCAGAACATTTTCTTGTCAACTTTTAATCCGTGAGCCCCAAAATTAAGCATTGCAAATTTTGTAACGCAGGATTATAGTCATATCCTGCACGTATATTTCGTGGGTGTTTTTTGCTATTCACACCCTTACATGAACGTCATTTTGTCTTAATCATTAGGTATAAAGTCAGTTCCTTAATTCAGCGCAATTTTGACCTCTAACATATACATCATTGTTGCTGTAAGCAAGTAAATATTTTATTAAAATGTATCGATTCCCACTAATAAGTGTACCTCATTATATTTTGGTATTATATTTATATTTCTTTAACCTTTCTCAGGGCGTTTGCGGTTTCACAGAATAATCATTTCGCATGGTTTTTCACAGATCACACCCATTTCACATGGTATTTTGCATGGCAAGAAAATTCCACAGATATTTTCACAGGAAGGTTAATCTATTCTTGTAACCTGTGAAATACTACGAGAGAACGTGGAGCCCGTTTCACAGGTATTTCACACGATTATTTCACATATCATTTCACATCTTTGTGAAATAACATGTGAAAACCTGTGTGAAAACTCTGTGAAATCCATGTGAAAAATTCACACGTTTTTCAGATGAACTTCACATATACTTCACAGGGTTGGTGCCAGTAGTGTGTGTAGCATGCTTAAACTGATTTAAATGTATAAGTAGTTTTTATACCTATATGCTTTTGAGTCAAAAGCGGACATAGTCAGCTGTGGCACATGCGCATTAGATACCATTTCCTTCTGATTTGCATGTCACGAAACGGGCATGAAACAAAAACGTATCCGGAATACTCTAAACAAACCTTGTAGAGTTGAACTAGTTACATGCTGAAATCGTGAATCTAAGCCATGTCAGAGCATCATTTTTCTTTCTTTTTTTTTTTGATATACATTGAAAATTCACCGATGGATTTTTCCAGGGAAAGCCAAACATGGACGAATACTTTTGAATTCGAAAATCATTTAGTAGAGGTGAGAAATTGCACGAAGTCTGAATCATTGTCGAAGGTTCAAGGTAGAGAAAGCTTGATTTTCCAAATATATGTAACCTTTTCCATCGATTTTCCAAATATATATAACGATTATTTGCTCGTCAAAGTTACTGATTCATTTGTCTTGTTATTTTGGTAAACGAGGGTGATTTTTCTCGCCCGGCGCTTACGCGTTTCCAACGTCTTCTGTTCATGTTCCTTTGAATACTTTTTTAAAACCAAATTTGATAAAATAATGTAATAGGATTAGAAAACGTTTGCTCAAAAAGAGATTTTCAGTAAAAGATCGAGGATCGAATGAAACACTAGGCAGGATTAAAGCGGATTTCTAGATGCATCAGACGCGGAGATTCAGTACAATATCCTTTCCTTTGTAGCTGGTACTCTTCCCGGGCCTTTGCGCTAGTCTTTGGCCTGGTCCCAGCACTCCTGCCTTAGTCTGTATTATTATTGTTAATTTTTGTTCGTCTGCAAATAATTGGAATTTCAGTTTGACTTACGTGAGTGTCCAAGGTACCCTGGGGACGTTTAAACGATTGGTAGCCAACCTTACCCCACCCCTTTGAGTTCTCCTTGCGGTCTTATAGCTGACTGTCTCCTTTTAAGAGGGTTATCAAATGTAAATGAACGTCAGATGTTGAGTTGAGGCCTTTAAATAAAGTGTTCACTTGCTCAGAAAAGGAAAAATATAGAAAAACATAAACATTTTGTTAAGCACTTCGCGAATTTCATTCCCCATTATCTGAATACATTCCGCAGACTGAGTAATGGGACAACAAAACGTAGTATAGTATGACCTGTTTTTTTTAATTCGTTCATTCCTCTAAGATTAAAATTTTCATTTCGTAACTTTTGTTTCTTCGTTAATTAGATTTATAATCAAGACAGCCGGAGGGAATAGGATTTGCAAAACTCTTAGTGGGCGCTCCTTGCATATTAACTAAACTTCCTCGCTTTATAAGACGGTGTAAAGGCGATCGTTTCAAACGCAGTTTTTATTTTCAGTGAGCTATGCCAATGGCAACAAACCGTTAGGCGATACGGTTATCTCCTCATCATTTGTCACCACCTGAGTCAGTACTAAACCCAGCTTGTGAGTCAGCTGGCACGATCGAGTCTTAAGCACTGAGCATGAGGGGTCGTACACCCAGAGCGTCACCTTCTGTCACGATCCGTCGGAGTTCCGGTAGACTGGTCGAATTCGAGGATCGAACGCACCTGGCTCAGTTCCTCTGTATGGCAAGTTTTTTTTGTTGTTGTTGTTAACTTTTTCTGTTGTTGTTTTTCATTGTTTTGTTGTTTTGTTTTTTGTTAATGAAACTGGGACCAGTTGCATATTACACAACGAAACTGCTGACTTATGGCTGTTAAAATGTATAAGTTTGGCTTCCTCAGCCTGCCGCAGATCGTCGTTCAAGTGTTACAAGCCTTACTTGCTATCAGTTGTAACATTAGCAATAATTGTCAAATCGAAAGGGAAAGTAAAATAACTTACACTACTGCTTGGAAAGGGGAGAAGTTTTCCTTGTGGTGTGACCTACCCCCGGGGCCTACCCACCCACACACTTTATTCATATCATCATAGGCTGAGTGGGTTACAGTAAGCTCATAAATTGGCCGATACTGGCTGCCAATGGCGCCCTTGAATGCTGACCAAGGGTGGATTTGGGGTGGGCCCAGGGGGCCCCGGCCCCTGCTTTTGTGCGGGAATTTTTTCTTTTGTAAACGTGTGTCGGATGTTCAATATGGAATCCAGGCATTTGCTAAATTTAAGCGTCCAGAATGCACTAGATTGCATCTCAGAGAACTCCAGTCTTTAACATTTCCCCAGAGGAGCATGCTTCTGAAACTACTTTATAGAGTGCGCCGTTCGCAGTCCTGATGGGCGCTATCGCGCCCATATTGCCACTGTATACTATATCTCTAGGCCCCCTCTATCACAAAATCCTCCCCCCGCCTCTGCTGACGTCCGAGCGTACTGTAAAGATATTAACATGCGGGAAAGACGACACGTATGTTGTCCTCCAATCTCCTTCACGAAGTTTCTTTCATTCATTTCATTCAATAATTACTATATAAACGAATGTCGTAAACGGTTTGGCTGGAGAAATAGAAAAGAATGTTTTGAAGTTCTAATCCTCGCCGAAAAGAAAATTCCAGTCCTAGCTCCGCCTCATCCATTCTGACGTTCGTATTATTAAAAAGACTGCTCTCTTTCTTTCTGAAACGTGCTGATGATGTCCACCAAACTCATCATATTTTTTTTATTATTCTCTTCAAGCCGTCGTGATTGGAACTACAGACTACTACCTTTCAAGAACTGATTTTGTCTCGGTACGGTTGATAATACTAAAATGTCGTCAAGGCATGATGAATACCGAACTTGCCTAATAACGAACCAGAATAGACCTTTTTACCGATACGGCGGCCATATTGAATTAATTAGATTTAACGAGTATTATGAGATGCCCAGGGGGCATGAGCACGATCCTATACTCACTCAGTATTTAGCGCGCTTTTCGGGGCAATTTTTCCTAACGTTTTCCTAGAATAAGATTGTAATGGGAAAAAAGATCGTTGTGCCATGTTTGGATGTAATAATGATCACCGTTTTCCCGGGAAATATATGGTGAAAGACCATACCAGTTTCTTCAGAGGTACGTTTCTGCTGGACCCAAGGCACTTGGCTACTTGGACGAGACTACTGAGCTTGAAGGAAACAAAAATGCTAAAGTTTGCTCAAATCATTTTAAATTGGGAAAACCAGTTGACAGTCATCCTCATCCCACGTTCTTTCTAGAGGGTTATAGTCGAGAAATAGTAACAGGTAAGAGAAAAGCTCCCGTCGACAGGCTTCCAGTACCATCAATTAGGATTAGGAAGAAGAAGTCATGTACTGATTCTAAACAGCGAGAGAAAAAAGAAACAATGAATATTGTGCACACTACAAAGAAACCGGCCGGGTATGGCTTTTCACTGTACTATTTATCGGGGAAAAGGCGATCATTATTACATCCTATACTAACACGGCACAACGATATGTTTTCCCATTACAATCTTATTCTAGTAAAACGTTAAGAAAAATTGCCTCGAAAAGCGGGGGTAAATACTGAGCGAGTATAGGATCGTGCTCATGCCCCCTAGGCATCCCATAATACTCCTTAAATCTAATCAATTTAATATGAACAACAACAACAAAACAACAAACAAACAACAACAACAAACAAATTTTATTGAAAATTGGAAAATAACTAATTACATTACTTTCCCACCCGCAAATAGCTTATGAACTAATCGAGGCGGGGGGAGCTGAAGACATATTAAAAAACAAGATTTATATATAGATGGACTAAATAACAGTGAAGACACTACAAAACAGTAAATAGAATTTAAACTAACTTAAAACAAGGCATGTACATAACGATTACGAAGAGAGGCTAACCTAAAGTATTAAATAACTTAATAAGACGGGAGACTTCGACATAATCATCTTCTGACCGCAAAAAATTTAGTAATAATTCCTTTATTTTTTTACGAAAGGACGAACGTTTAAGTATTTTAATCGAATACGGAATAGAGTTCCAAATTTGGGCACCGATTCTCGTGAAAAAGGCATACATTTTATCGGTTCTAGAGAACTTAACTTATGACCGCCGTATCAGTAAACAGGTCTATTCTGAAGCTGGCTTGGACATCAGAGCGGAGCAACTCTGTACAAACAACTTGTGATCGTGAGTACACCTCTCGGACAAGGCAGCACTAGAAGTGTATATCCAACCGTTAGGTTATTCTAGTCACCCAAAGAGCCAAAAGTGCTGTCGTGTGCCCAGACCAAATATGGTTGCGTTTTCCCCCTGATTTTCCATTCCTGGAGCGCAGCACTTATGACTTATCAAAGGCAAGGATGTCCTTGACGCCTGCCATACTTGTTTCGATAATGGCGCGCGGTTCCTTCAGTACAAACTCCTTTCCTTTGTAGCTGGTACTCCTCCCGGGCCTTTGCGCTAGACTTTGGCCTGGTCCCAGCGATCCCGCCTTAGTCTGTATTATTATTGTTAATTTTTGTTCGTCTGCAAATAATCGGAATTTCAGTTTGACTTAAGTGAGTGTGCAAGGTACCCTGGGGACGTTTAACGATCGGTAGCCAACCTTACCCCACCCCTTTGCGTTCCACTTGCGGGCAGAACTGCTTATATCTTAGAAACGAAATCACCAGTCTACCCAAGCGAAAAATTGGTGTTAATTTTAAACCAGTCTTCTTTTACTGAGTATTTCAGTTAAGTAGGACTGTGCTATATCTTTTGGTTTCTGATCCCCTTTCTTTTCTTCATCGAAAGGGAGGATGGAAAAGGACTCTAGGAAGGAAGTTGAACAAACGTACAACAAAACACAACAAGGAAGATACTTAAACGTTTATTTAGCATTCCCATTCATACATAAACCTTTACATTAGCTACTGAATTACAAACGTTTTGGGTTTCCTTTGGGCTAACTCTTTAATATTCTCACTTAATTACGTGCGATTGCTAATTTGTAAACAAGAAACCTAACAGGCGGAATAATTTGTAAAAAGCATTTTTGTTAACTTAGTTAATCAGTCTGAGTGTGTTCTTTCTATTGATTAAACTGCGATTGTGTGTCCAGGGCTTCTATGACTGAAATGCTTAAAAAATAATGCAATCGAAAATGGAATAAAGCTGGCTTCGTTTCTGTCTTTGTTTCTTTGTGGTTTGTTCGTTTTTTTTTTATTCTTTTTGGCTGCCTTCGTCGGTCCAGTCTCCAACCCAATGGCCCCCTGTAAATTTTAAAGAAATCGCACTCCTATGTCCGGGACTGTCTGCGGGGTAAAACTTTTTCGTAACATTATTTTGCGATATTCGTTATTGGGCCAAGGTCCTTCTAGTGGTATTTCTCATGCTTTTTGTAGCTAGTGGTTGCCTGATCATCAAACTACACGTCCGCTTTAATGCATTTTACGTTTAAAACCGTAATTCGCTCGCTGAAACCTTTTTTTAATCAAAAGTCTGGCAGCAGCAACTAACAATTTATTACTTTTGAGCTATTTTTCTGGTGCAAAAAAGCAATTGTGAGCAGTTCTATCCTAGAATACTTTTTCAGTGAGGTTTAAACTTTGTTCAGAATGAACAGCGCTTGCGGATTTGGATAATCTGGCTCTGCTATGTCCACCAATGTCATCTTGCCAGTGCTGTCAGAACTCAAGTACTTTTGGTTGTAGAACTTGTTCTGGAAAAAAGTATAACTCCAATAATAGAGAGGTACAAATTGTGCTTCGTCAGGATATGTTGAGCCAGATGAAGTTTGCTATAATATAGAAAAATATTAAAATATTAAAACATTATAAAATGACATTAAGTATACACACAGCTTCGCCTTCCATTATAGGATTACGAAAATGTCCCGGAAGTTGTACTTTGATTAGCCAGTTGTTTTTATGTGTGGGGGAGGCTAGAGATGCAGTTGTTCTCGTGGTGGTGATTACTTGCTTTGGGACTACACAGTAAATAAAACTGATGACGTCAATGATGCAGCAAAATTCAGTTTGAGTTGTTTTGATAGTGAATACAAAATGGCGGAACATTTCACTCGTTTCACGAGGAAGAAATAGGCGAACTATTGGCTCAAAACAGCAAGAGCAGCAAGAAGATAATTCGACGGATGACGACTGCTATTTGGAGAATATTTGCCGAACTGAACAACCCTGTATCTCCTAAACTTGGCGATAAACATGCACTATCGAAGATGAACTTAACATCGATGGAGGTAAGCAAGTTTTAGCTTGTTTTCAAACTAGGAATTATTTTGAATGAATAATAAACTTGTGAATTGCCATGTTGGAAAATTCTGCAAAGATCTATTTTTAAAATTACGCGTGATTTGATCTGTCAGTCAAATTGTACTTTTTAATGGTTTCCTCTCTGATTTTGTTGAGATCACTTCGTGTGTATACACTAAAACAATTATTCTTTTCAATCTCGGTGAATAGTGGTTTTAGGAATATTTACCTCCCCACTTCGTGGCGCGGCAAATATTTAGCCACTATTCACCTCGATTTCAAAGAATAATTGTTAAATATACTAACGCTTCAGTCTAAAAATATTAAAATGGACCTACTAACTAAATTCCTTCGCCTTATCATTCAAAGTACATAACTTTCTTAATAAAGTGATTATGTAACATGATAAATTTGTGTACTTTGAATGATAAGGCGAAGGAATTTAGTTAGTGGGTACATTTTAATATTTTTAGACTGAAGCGTTAGTATATAAGGCATTCTTTCCCCCCTCCCAGCTTCCCCACCCCCCAAAACCGAGAAAAACACCCGCGAAACAGAGAGTCAAGGGGCGGCGGATATTTAGCAATTATTGAATGAGGCTGACTATCATCTGAAGAATTATGGAGATCTCCGAGGGTGTTGGGGCCTTGGCGGGTAACACCCTCCGAGACAAATAATAATTGTTAATTATTAATTGTTAATTATTGAATGAGGCTGACTATCATCTGAAGAAATAAGGAGATCTGCGAGGGTGTTGGGGCCTTGGCGGATAACACCCTTCGAGATGATACGAAAGACGAATTCAATAATTGTTTTATTATTCATTCAAAATAATTCCTAGTTTGAAAACAAGCTAAAACTTGCTTACCTCCATCGATGTTAAGTTCATCTTCAATAGTGCATGTTTATCGGCAAGTTTAGGTGACAGGTTTGTTCAGTTCTGCAAATATTCTCCAAATAGCAGATGTCGTCGGTCGAATTGTCTTCTTGCTGTTCTTCAGGTTTGAGCCAATAGTTCGCCTATTTCTTTCTCGTGAAACGAATGAAATGTTCCGCCATTTTGTATTCACTATCAAAACAACTCGAACTTAATTTTGCTGCACCATTGACGTCATCACTTCACATATCGCAAAATTCTTCCAAATTTGGTCAACAGTAGCTGGTTTTGATGAATTATACGTGGGATTTTAGCCAATCAGAAGCGGAAAATGAAATATTTTGAATTAATAATAATTAGCAAGTATTGAATGAGGCTGAGTAGAACTGATGTGGAGAATTGTGTAGACTGGCGAAGACGATATTATTCAAAGAGTCAGAGGCACCCAACGTCAATTTTTGGAAAATATCTGTTCGGAAGACGATTTGAGATTTAGAATTTTCGGAATATTTGTTGTAAAATTTCTTGCTTGCCTGCCTCTCCTAGGATTTTTGAACATCTCAGAAATTGAATAATTGCCCATTTACCCTGAAAAGGTCACCTAGAATTTTCGGGAGCCCTTTTTCTGGCTGAAATTTTCGAAAAGGTAAGTTTTCATCCCTATAATTTTCGGATCACTAGACTTTCAGCTAGGAAATCCGAACAGATGAAACATTTTTAGGGGATAAAAATATGCCTATATCTACCGTTTAAATACTAAAATACGTTCAACAATGCCATGTTTGAAATGGTTTTGAACTATCTTCTCGTTGGGTGCCCTTGACGAGTTCTACATAATTCTTCACATTATACGGAAACCAAATTAAATAACTGTTTTATTATTCATTCAAAATACTTCTAAGTTCTTAACAAGCTTACCTTCTGGTAAACTTTCTCTAAAACTTTGTCCTATTTCTCGGCACGGGTTCAGGATATACTATGTTATCTACTTTTGAGGAGTATCTGCAAGTAAAAACATGTTGCTAAACATGTTTTTACTTGCAGATAATCCTCAGAAGTAGATAACATCCTTCGAGCGATATTGCGTATTCTTGCATTTCTTCCTTTGAGTTAGTTAGAAATTCACCTATTTCGTCTTCAGATATCCTTGAACGCCACTTTTTTTTACTTCACTCAGGATAAAAACAGCTAGGCTGCCGCGCCTGAAAACGATGTTATATTGCTCACATGATCTTCCAAATAATCATGGTAAGCGTCAGTTGGTTATGAAGAATAAGCCGGGAGATTGGAGCGAATCAGAAAAAGCGGAATATTTTAAATGAGAGTAATAAATGGTATCGTGAATAAGGTATACTCCGTTCATATATATATATATTGGTCGGTTACTCCTCCCGGACCTCTAATCTGTTTAATTAATGATTTCTCAAAAAGTTGCTTAAAAGTTGCTCAAAAAGAGTCAAAATTTGCTTTTTGTGACGAAAGTTGCTCAAAAGTGAAAAAAAAAACTTTTTGTTACCCTCTTCGAAAAATATGCAAATTGTAAAACAAAATAAAGAATTTCTTAGCATTTTTGTACAATTTTAGGGGCAACGCTAAACAACTTTGTCCTAAATTAAAACCAAAACATTTATGAGTAAAGACTACACATCAATATCAGGAGCCCACAGCCTGGGCCCCTTTCAATATATCAACATTAATCTTCTTAAGATTCTACTATGAGCCAATAAAATTGTTGAACGACCCTCTTCACCTGAGACAGGCGTCGTTCCCCATTTTGAATTTTCTTTTAAAAACGGCTGACCTTTGTCTACTAAAACATTGTGAACTATGAAAGAAAGAAAAATTTAAGCACTAAAGGATGTTCCGATATCTCAGAATTGCTAGGAAACTAAAGAAATTCCTTAGAATGCAAAAAGTTGCTCGGAATACGAGAGGTTGCTAAAAAGTTGCCGAGCAACTTGTGGAAAGCCCTAAACTGAGCCAGTAGAAATTTCGAAACTGCCTCGCGCGTGAATTCACTGCTCATAACGCATGCAAGAATGCAGGGACGTATACAAAACACCACTCTGGACCTAGTCCATGGACCCCTTCGTGGACCCGGTCCATGGACTACCCCTGTGGACCCCCACCTCTAATTTCAAAAGATGAATTTTACCAGAGGTCTAAGCAAATTGCAGCCTCCTTCCCAGATTTTCTGGGACTGGTCAAGTGTCTCCCAGAATCTGGGAGACTACAAACAAACGATTTATGGCAGGGGCAGATAAGTGTGAGATTTGTCTCTACAGAGCGTAGATAGGTTAGTGGAAAGTGCAGCCATAAAACTGTGTACTTGACCTAACCTCAAACGCCGAAAATAGCACCAAAATCCTTTGACAGCAAAAGCGTAAATTTCTGCAGAATATCTGAATGGTAAATCGGACGTTAATGTATCGGGGACGTTTTCACAGGAAATCGCGGATACACCGCTTGTGCAGTCAAAAATTCATACCGAAACGCACCAGATTTGAATTGCAATTTCTATGTTGTGGAGGCCACTTTAGCAAACAAATGAATGCGTTTTCAAGACTACCATCATGCAGTTCGAAAGGGCGCCGAAAGATGAATCTGAAATCTACAACTACCAATGGATTCAACTTTCGAATAATAAATTCATTAATGGAATCTTGCCAGGTACGCTTGACCCGGCTTGAGAATCGGATCAGCAGTCGTTTCCAATCTGCAACATAAACTTCCCTCATCATGTAATTTGTGTTCCCCAATTTGAGTTTAAAATTTCTCAAACAGAAATTGAAAACTATGCTTGTGCAAGATCTTGTAACGAAAAATTGCAATTGTTGAAAACGTGCATGAAAGTCGAAAATGCTTCCTTGGAGGCGTTAGATGCCGGAAATTAGCAGTACCCAACAACAACCCAATGAAAGCGTTTAAGTAATCGCAAATAACCTTACCACAGCCTCTATGTTTATATTGCCACTCACTGGGTCGGCCTGGGCCGTTATGACGTACTGTTTGTTACTATTCAAGTCCTTGAAGAGTAGACTGATATACTGAAAGCCCCGACTGTAGGCACTTGTAGTTACCACAGCTGATTAAAAAGAGATTAATTTGAATTCAGTATGGATTAAACAAAAAGAGAGAGAATAGAGTTTTTTAAAATGAGAAGGATCTCTCTAACCAACCCGATTTGCAAACTCCTGACTAGAACGGTGTTGATAAAAAGATGACAAGCCTCGGATGAGAGTAACATAAAATGACAACTCCTTGACTTAGGTTGACGTAATCAGGGCCCAGGCTCTTTCATCTTTGTTTTGAATTCAGAAAAAAAGGAATAACTTAAGAACAGCTCCAAGCCAGGATACTTTCTTGAGGAAACCTTGTGCTGCTGGCAAATAATCAAATAAAGGGGTTTAAAAATAGCTCAAAAACATGAAACCCGGTGGCAACAGAAAAAAGCAAATACCTTGGCAAACGTGAATACCATCTTGCTTTCATCTAGCAAGGAGATAAAACGCGTTCACTGAAATGTCTGACAAACTCTGGTTACCATATACAACTCTGTTCTTCCAGTTTTTTCATAATTCTTCCTGCCTTCTACCGCTCATCAACGTACCGACACTTCATATATTGCGTCTATTTTATTTAAGCGTGTAAAATGTACGTGCGTGGCACCTAAAAATTATGGCCAGTGGGAATCGACCTCAAAGAATCGTATAAAACAAAAAATGCAAACAAACAGGAAAGGACTAGAAAGGGAAAGCACAAAGAACACCTACTGTTGCCTGTTGTATCGCTAAAGGCGCCATTACAATTCACGGAATTATTAGTTGAATCACGCTGCACCAGGCTGTCAATTTCCCTGCTAACAAGGCTCCACATACGATAATTGGTGTTTGGTTCAACTTCGTGAGGTCGAGAGTACGGGTCGCCCAGAGCAGGAAGCAGACGCGTTGCCGGGATACAGATTGCACTACTCACACAAACCCAGTGAGTAGGTGGCTTCGGGAAAGGATGAGGATGGTCTGACGTCATCGCTTCTTCATGTGCCTGTGGTTTTCCTTTCTAACAAGGACATTAGTTGGTATGATTATTCCACACATCATAAACCACAAAGAGAATGGGAACACGAAAGCTGTCAGGGAAATGATTTTTGAGATCGCTTAGGTGGTTAGCCTTAAGTTATGATTGGTCGATGGTGTCGAAAGCCCGGTGGGGTACTCCCTTATATAAGCCATATATAGGTATGTGCCGTCCCAAAGGGTAAGGTTTTTGTCCCGTTTTGGTCTGAAAACGGGTATAGACTTCAGCCAGTTTTGGTCTGGAATCGGATATGGTTTTCGAGGAAACTACGGGAGTGTATGAGCGTTTTCATCGCTTTAATTCCTAATGAAGACAAGAAAGAAAGAAGAAATAGGTAAATTCGAAGTGGATTTTAAGAACTCTTTTTTGTCCGCGTTCTAATCTAAGAAATGATGACATAGTTTCTTAGAGGCCAGGATTTGAAGAACCGGGCGGCATAACCACACCAAGAAATCCCAGGAGTACCCCCCCCCCCCCACCCCCTGCCCCCTTTGAATTAGGGAGCTTAATTAAGCAAAGGCGTTTATGAGCCACGCCCGTCAACCGGAAGTGGGACCTTTTCTCTTTTAATATGCCTTGACGCTGCCAAATTTGTCTTGCGAAGTGTCTTTACTCTCATAAAGACGATCTGCTAGACGATTTGGACAAAAGCAATCGGCCCAAGAATAGAAAATGTCTACTTCTGGGCATGATTAACGCGCTTTGATATCCGCCAAAAAGATACTCTGCTTCAATCCACGCACCATAAAGCAATAATTAACACAACCTTGTTTCAACTGAGAGTTTCGTTTCTTCCCTGTTCCCTTAAAGCTTCAGAGAAAAAAAATCCTCGGTAGAGGATGGGGGAATGTAAGTTGACTAGGAACAGATTAGTTTTTAGCAACATTTTTGCTAATTTAACTTAAAAGGCCGGGGGTAGCTGTCCGGGACTCAGTTCCTGTTTGTAAGCCCTGTTAAACAGATGCATCATGTTGGAATCATTTTGATGCCTTTTTGGACGGCTTGATCAGGTTTGAAGAAGTTCAAACTTTTCATTCAATGTTCGTTTTGCTCTCGTGGTCGATGGACAAGTTGGATTCGGGCGTGTGCAATTAAAATAAATATTTTGATAAACAAAGCAATGGCTCCTCATGTGGGTTTAACAGTTTAAAAATTGATTCGGCCAGAATTTGCTTCGGCTTCAAGTATCCAGGCAGCAAGTTGGGTTTTTTTTGAAAGAGAATGCAAAGATTGGGCAACAGCAACTTCAGAGGGCTAACGCCCTCCTTTTTCGCAGCTCGCGAGCTTACACCGGTAACTTTGAGGAAAAGAAGTGCGTGACTGCTCGCATGTAATAAGTCCGTTTAAATGGGCTTTTGAACAAGTACGTGATTATTCTTCCTCTTTTGAAGTGGGGACTCCCACGAAAAGAGGTGCGGATGCTCTTGTTCTAGTTTGGGGGTGCAGATGGACCTTCTAAACCTATATGGTTTGTTTTCCGTGATATTCTTCAGTGAATTTTTTTCCTTAATTGTGCATACATATCCACGTAAGTACACGTGCATAAGACGACTTACGAAAGAAAAATTTCCCTGGGGAACCATCGCGTGTTCTGAAATGGGAATATAAAACGTTCAAGCTAAAAAGTATTGATTGCAGGTTTTGGTCTCGTTTGGGACTGTCCATGAAAAGCTGCAAAATGTCAAGTAAGAAAAAGAGAAAAAGAAGAAAGAAACAGAAGAGAAAAACAGATCGAAGACAACTTCGTTATCGCCATTGAAAGTGCTATAGCTCCTATTTAACCATCTGTTTTAGAATGACATTTCAGAATTAGACAAATAAAGCTTGAGCGGCGTCCCGATTGGTTTTGGGGGTGGGGGCTTAGTTCCAATTTACCGACGAGTCCCCGCTCCCCAACGAGGAATCAATTCTTACCTGTCTGTCCTGTTTTGATACCAATGCAAGAAGTTTAAGGTCTTCCTCAAGCCTCTCCTCGTTACCAAGATCAACGTATTCCTCGAAGCTGTCATCATATCGCTGCAACTTAACATTTGCGGGAGCAACTTGGTCTAATAACACATCTGAAAATACTTGTAGAAAAAGATGGCGAAATTCCTTGACCTCCCCTCCTTTCTGGAAAGAGATAATGCGCTTGTTTTCGTCGTGAGTCACGTGAACCTTTAACATCTTTGACTTCTTAAGCATGTCAGTAAATTCCTGAGAAGATATTGGTATCAGTATGTTTATTATCATGTATATGTATTATCCATATAGGTCGATAGTCTCACGCCTCTCTTTAAAAACCACCATTTTTCTTCTTCTTTTTTTTTTTTTTTATCTGTCCTGTGTCTTCAGATCTGCACAGGGCAGGCTATATGTCGGTAACACCACAGGCATCGCAAGCTCACGTTACGAGTGTGGAATGTACAAGAGAGTCAGTGTCGCGTTACAGGCCGGCGACCGCGGAGACTTTGAGAAACAAAATACTGAGGTCTCCAAACGCTAAATTCATGTACGTGTGTATCATAATCATGCTGGGTTGTGGTTCAGTGCAAGAAGAAGATTTTTAAATCAATTAGATGAAAAGAGTTTGCTATTGCTTTGGTGAGAAGAACTACAAATGCTGATATGAACTGAATTAATTAATCCTGAGAATTGAAAAAGTTCATTTCACATTCCGTTGATATAAATGAGAAGAAATTATAGACTGGAACGTGTAGTATCTCTCAGCAACCATTTTACAAGTTCCAGCCTATATAATTTCTAATCTTACATTTAATCCTTGTCTTCCACGTTACCATGTTCACACTAGTGGTTTAGTTCGTTGACACCCCTAGAGGACCAAAGTTGGAAATAACCGTCTTTTACTTACCGTACGTGCGATGCGATGATTACAAGTCAAGCAGAGCCTTTTGATAGCTTCCGTAAGTCTGCTTTAAACCTTGCGACCCTTTAAGTTCCCTTTTGCGTGCAGGAATGTGCAGCATGCTTAAACTGATTTAAATGTATAAGTAGTTTTTGTACCTATTTATACTTTTTCAGTCAAAAGCGGAAGTTAGTCTTAAGTGAGTTAGCAAATGTAAATGAGCGTCAGGTATTGAGTTGAGGCGTTTAAAAAAGTGTTCACTCGCTCAGAAAAGGAAACATATGTAGAAAAACATCAACATTCTGTAAAGCTTTTCGCGAATTTCATTCCCCGTAATCTGAATTCCGCTGACTGAGTTATGGGATAAAAAAAGGTAACATATAGTATGACCTGTTTTTCTTAATTGGTTCATTCCGCTAAGTTAAAAAAAAAAACTAATGCCTAAAAACCATGCATTAAGCGAAACAGTTCCCTACTAATTATTTGTCACCACGTAAGTCAGCACTAAAGTCAGCAAACGCTAGTGTTAATCAGTGAGGGGTCGTACACCCAGATCAGTCCATCAAGCGTCACCTTTCGTCACGATTCGTCGGACTTCCGGTAGATTGGTCGAATTCGAAATCACAAAGGACCCGAATCAGTCAGTATTAGACGTGTTTTTCGTATTTTGTTTTGTTTTGTTTTGTTTTTTTTTTTTTTATTTTTTATTTTGCTGTTGTCGTTTAGTTGTTTTGTTTTTTGTTAATGAAAATGGGATCATTTGCATGAAACTGCTAACTTTTGGCCGTTAAAATGTATAGGTCTGCCACAGATAGTAGTTCAAGTGTTACAAGCCTTACTTTCTATCAGTTGGAAAGAGGGAGAAGTTTTCCCTGTGGTGTGCCCTACCCCCGAGGGGGCTACCCACCCGCACACTTAATTCATCTCATCATGGGCTGAATGGGTTACAGTAAGCTCATAAATTGGCCGGTGGGGGCTGCCAATGGGGCCCTTAAATGCTGACGTCCGAGCGTACTGTTAACATATTAACATGCGGGGAAGATGACACGTATGTTGTCCTCCAATCTCATTCACGACATTTCTTTCATTCTGATTTTGTTCAATAATTAGCATAACAAATGCCGTAAACGGTTTGGCTGGAAAATAGAAAAGAATGTTTTGAAGTTCTAATCCTTCCCGAAAAGAACATTTCAGTCCTAGCTCCGCCTCATCCATTTTGCAGTTCTTATTATTTAAAAGACTGCTCTCTTTCTTTCTGAAACACGCTGATGATGTCCAGCAAACTCATCGAATCATATTTTTTTAATTATTCTTTTTAAGCCGTCATGATTGGATCCACAGACTACTGCCTTTCAATTAAGAAACGATTTTGTCTTGGTCTATAATCTGATACTAAACTGCCGTCGATGCATGATGAATACCGAACTTGCCTAATAACGAACCACAATAGACCTTTCTAACGATACGGCAGCCATATTGGATTAATTAGATTTAAGGAGTATCATGGGATGCCCAGGGGGCATGAGCACGATCCTATAGTCAAAAAATATACTTGCTCTGTATTTACGCGCGCTTTTCGGGGCAATTTTTCTTAAAATTTTGCTAGAATGACATTGTAATGGGAAAAAAGATCGCTGTGCCCTGTTTGGATGTAATAATGTAATAATGATCACCGTTTTCCCGAGAAATATATGGTGAAAGACCATACCAGTTTCCTCAGAGGTACGTTTCTGCTCTTGCAAGGACCCAAGGCACTTGGCTACTTGGACGAGTCTACTGAGCCGGAAGGAATTTAAGGTGAACAAAAATGCTAAAGTTTGCTCAAGTCATTTTAAATTTGGCGGAAGACCAGTTGACAGTCATCCTCATCCCACGCTCTCCCATCGACAGGCTTCCAGTACAACCAATTAGGAGTGAGAAGAAGAAGTCAGATACTGATTCTATACAGCGAGAGAAAAAAAGAAACAATATTGTGGACACTCCAAAGAAACTACTATGGTCTTTCACTGTAGTATTTATCGGGAAAAAGGCGATCATTATTACATCCAAACTCGGCACAACGATATTTTTTCCCATTACAATCTTAATCTAGCAAAACGTTATGAGAAAAATTGTCTCGAAAAGCGAGCGTAAATATTGAGCGAGTATAGTATCGTGTTCATGCCCCTAGGTAGCCCATAATACTCCTTAGATCTAATCAATTCAATATGACCGCCGTATCGGTAAACGGGTCTATTCTGAAGCTGGTTTGGACCTCAGAGCGAAGCAACCCTGTACAAACAACTTGTGATCGTGAGTACACCTCTCGGACAAGGCAGCACTAGATGAGTATATCCAACGGGTAGGTTATTCTAGTCACCCGAAGAGCCCGAAGTGCTGTTGTGTGCCCAGACGAAATGTGGCCGCGTGTTCCCCGGGATTTTCCGTTCAGGGAGCGCAGCGCTTATGAGTTGTCAAACCAATTATGTCCTTGACGCCTGCCATACTTTTTTCGATAATGGCGCTCGGTTCCTTCAGTACAAGTCGTTTCCTTTATAGCCGGTACTCAACCCGGGCCTTTGCGCTAATCGACTTTGGCCTGCTCCCAGCGCTCCCGCCATAATCTAGATTTTCCTCGCACTTTCGGGTTCTATCTTGTTCCTTTCCAAGAAGAGATGAGTGGTTTTGACTGATGGGGGTGACGCGCGTTTCTTGTGGAGGGAAGAGCGTGGGCTCATTTCCCGAACAGCGGCTGGTAATCAAGTCCAGCCGCCGTCCAGCCTCATCCCAACAATTGTTTATCATGGGCTGAGCATGTTGTCAGAGAGCCGAGAAGGGCTTGAATAGGTTGGCTGGTCATTACGCGTCCTGGCCGTGATTCACATCTTAAAATTGCTTTTAAAATTCACTTTTTCTGAGCTAGACACGACAGAACAAGAAAGGACAGTAACATACTTAAAACTTTTATTTAGTATCCTGATGCACACACATTTACTGCAAACATTTCGGCCGAGATACCATGAAACTCAACCTAACTACATTACAAACGACTAAGTGTACTGTGAACATAATTTCTATTGATATAATCAAATTATAAGCCCACGCCGACGTATTTTACTTCAACAAAACCTTGATTGCTGAAACTAATTTGAAAATTCAAATCTCTTAAAGCGGCGACTAAATAAAATTTGCAACAAACAGGGTAAACAAAAGCTTTTTCGTGAGGTTCTTAATTTGGAACTTTGTTCAGAATAAACAGAGCTTGTGGATTTGGATAATCTAGAGAGGCCATATCCACCAGTGTCATGTTGCCATTGCTATCACAGCCCAAGTACTTTTTGTCGTAGAACTTGTTCCGGAAAATGGTATAACTCCAATAATAGTCAGGTGCAAATGTTGCTTCTTCGGGGTACGATGAGCCAGAGGAAGTTTCCTGAAATGTAGACATAATAAATAATAATAATGATAATAATAATAATAATAATAATAATAATAAAGACTTTATAAATGTGTCAAAAGCCTAGCTTACACGGAGTGTAAACTCTAAAACACTGCCCGCCCCATTAATTATTCTAAGAATTTCACATATATGAAGACGATAAAATGGCATAAGTATTAACACTGTTTATACTTATTGACAACTTCGCTTTTCATCTTAGGGTTAGGAAATTGTACGTTCATTAGCCAGTGGTTAGTATGTGTCTGTGGGAGGCTAGGGATACAGTTATTTTCGTGGGTGTGGGGAGGGTATCGCACAGCACGTCTACCTAGTGGATCCCACTAAACACAGTTTTTTATTCAGTGGGCTGAAGCCACAGTACCGTAAATCCTCTATTAAGCCCTTCCCGCCTCAAATGAGCCCCCATCTCCTAATTTTTCTTCACTAAGAAATGATAGACTGTATTAATCAATTATGACTGCAAAACTTCGTGTGGACTACTCCGGGATGGTTTATTTACCAACTGGAAGTTCGGATTTCATTCTGATCCTTTAATTTGCTGCTAGAATGATCTCAAAACGTCTTGTTCTTGAGCTTTTCCACTTTGTATTCTAGTTCTTTATGGAGAACTGATACCATCGTCGTTTCTAAATCAAACAAGCCCTGCCCCTCTCAAATAAGCCTCTCGTCTCTATTAACACTCCCTCAAATGGGCTTGAAATAACGAATAGGTCTTCTCTCCCCAGCCCCTCAAAAAAAGCCCCCCGCCACTATCGGGGGTTTGGAATGAAGGGCTTACAGGATTTACGGTGGCACTACTGAATATAAAGATTGTCTTCCAAAATAGAAGGTAAAACAAAGGACCCCGCCCCCTCGCTAAGAAAAAACAAAAACAAAACAAAAACAGAGAGCTACTTGGAAGTATTGGGGCAACGTGAACAAAGAAATATTCTTTTTTCGAAAATTGATCGGTTTCTCCACCGGACCTCTAACTGTCTAATATTAGTGCTGAATGAACTTCGTTTTGACCCAAAGTCATATTAATAATTCGCGCCATATGACATTGTGGCATTGTTGTTCGGCCCATATTTGAAACTGCCTTGGACAAAACGTTCACTTTCCCCATTATATAAGTTGTGTTCCCCACCGTCGGACGATTCTTGGTTCTGGGGAGAAATTGAAAACAATACTAGTGCAAGATTTGTGCCATGTAGAAACTGCATTATGGGAGCGTGACAGTGGTAAAATTAAGAGTACCCAACATAGGTGACGTTCATATCTCTTATTTAAATTTAAATTTCCTTAGTTCACATCATCTTCATTCTATGTTTCATTCCTTTCAAGGGTTAAGATGAACTCAACAATTTGGCCTGCTTCCAACCTATGGGTTACAGCTCTAACGCGGAGGCCATGGGTTTGAATCCTGTTGAAGTCCGGAAATTTTGTTTTGGTTAATTTTCAATTATTTTAATTGCAATTACCAACGATCATATCTTCAACTGAAATTGTATTTCTGCAGTTCACATAATCTTCATTCTTTATTAGCAACGAAATTCATGTTAAATTAATCACAAATAACTTTACCACAGCCTCTATGTTTATATTGCCGCTTGTGCCAGTTTGTGCCATCATGACGTACTGTTTCATCGTGGTCAAGTCCTTGAAGAGTAGACTGACATAGTTCTGATTGATGTCACTTGTAGTTATCACAGCTAATTAAAAAGAGATTACACTGAGTCAGTTGAGTGGATTAAACGAGACGGGAGGCGAGGGAAATTCTTACCGGCATTTTTAGAATGAGTACTTGGATGAATCTAACCAACTTGTATCTAAAACGTGGATTTGCAAACCCCTAACCTTAAAAATGCTGATCAAAAAAGCTATGATTACAACCCCTCCCACGCAGACGTTCCCAGGGGTTCGTCACGCTTTCCTTCCCCACGTTGGGGCGGGGTTTGTTCGCCAATAATTGGTGGACCCCACGATCTGCGTGGGAGGCTGGCCTCGTATAAGGGTAACATAAAATGAGCACTCCGATCCTAGCCTAGCAAAGATACTGTCTTGAGGAAAACTAAAGGAGGTTGGATCAAATCGACGGCAAAAACGTAAATCTGTCAGAAAAAAAAAGCAACTACCTTAGCAAAATGAATTGAACCTCCCTTTTATTTAGCAAGGAGATAGAAGGCGTTCAGACCATCACGCACGCATGCCCACTGACTTACAGAAAGTTTAAATGCTTATGTTCGGTGCTTATGTTCGACACACGACATTTTCGGAATGATATTTTAAAATTCACAGCATTGGGGTTGTATAGATCACTTCGATGATCTAAATGATATGTGGCGTGCTTGGAAAGAGATGTTTTTATTAAGGTGGTGGACAAGCATGCTCTTTTGTGTTCTAAACGTAAACGTGTTCGGGCTAAAAGTTCACCTTGGAAAACTTTTCAGCTCAAACAACACACGTATGAACGAGATGCCTTAAAACAAAAAGCTCTGCTGTGAGTTCAAATTCCTCTAGGGACTGGTTAAATTACAAAGAATGCCGCAATTCTGTAAATACTGAAATTAAAAGGGCCAAAGGATTGAACGACAACAATGCATTTCAGGTTAATGGAGGGGAACCACGAGCGACCTGGAGAATCGTGAATGACCTTTATGCAAGAAAACCAACTAATTCGAATGTAAATAAGATAAAAATGAATAGCCATTCTATTGCTGATGCACAGGAGTTAGCCGAAACCCTTAATTGCCACTTGACTGGTATCGAGCTAAAGTTAGCCAGCGTCACACCCAATGGTAATAGTTCTCTCTTAGAATATCTCAGTCTTAATCTTGATTATGAAAATTACTTCGTGCTGAAACAAACGCCGGATGTGGCTATTGTTTATTCATTTTTATCTGAATTAAGTCAATCTAAAGTTACTGCCCTAGATCAGATCTCTGTGAGACAGCTTCGAGAATGTGCTGATGACCTGATTGCACCCTCTCTTTGTTCTATCTTCATGGCTGTATTGTTTCTGGTGTTCTTGCTGATGATTGGAAGTGTTCTTTTAAATTGATTCCTTACATGAATATCGTCCAATCTCAATTATTTCTGTTGTGGCGAATGTGGTGGAAAGAATAGTTTACGATCAGGTCTCCACACACTTTTAAAGCATTAATAATTTACTTTCTAGTCACCAGTCAGGGTTCCGTCAGCTTCACTCGACTGTCACTGCTCTACTCGAGGCTACCGACAATTGGGCTTTTAATATCGAATGTACATATTGACCTTTATCTAAATCAAGATCTTACTCTGACCGAAGAGAGGTTTATAAATTTCTCGTGCGCCTCGCGCGTTGATCGCACAGCGAGGCAGAAACTCGAGTTGCGAATATTTCTATAGATCTCTTGGGTGTCCGCAGTTGACGTCATCCAGTTCTGACGTCAGGATGCATTTTAGGCTTGCCAGGCAACGCGTCTTTAAGGGTGAATGAAAACGCTGTGGTGCACTTTCATGTTTTATTTAAAAGTGCGTTCTTCGGCTTTTTACCGTTAAAACCTTACTTTTCCCTAAAATCTGTACATTTGAAGTCATGTTACACTGAGGCAAACCAATAATGAATTCGTTCTTTCCCCGCCGATCGATGTGACCAATTGATCAAATCAAAGCCTGGTTTCAGCTCCCTACCGAGTTCATCCTAGCCCGCGTAGCAAGCGTTTCTGTGCGGTTTAGGAGCAAAAAACGAGGAACAAGAGTCAAAGACCGCGCGGAAAATGGCGGAAGTAAAAGAAAGGAGAGTTCTCATTTAATTTCTCGCGCGATCAAAACCGAAAATCCCCTTCCACGGTCTCTTTTTGCTCCGAAACCAAACGGAAACGCTTGCTACGCAGGCTAAGTCCATCCGCAGTTGAACCCGAGAGTGAATTAGTATATATATTATATTAGTATTTGTGGTGATATTTGGCATAAATACCATGATTGATATTTCGAACAATAAATATACCATGCAAGTTTCAAGAAAATTGAAAACAGGGAAGGCTTTCATGGACAACCAGGACAATATAGACGTGTTCATAGGCTCTGACTACTACTGGGATATAATTACAGGCGAGGTTGCTCGTGGAGATGACAAATTGGTGGCAGTTAGTAGCAAATTTGGATGGGTCGTGTCTGGGCCTACAAAGGGGGACAGTGGAATCGCCCACTTCACCACATCAAATCTAATTGTTCAGAAACCACATGACTTCATGGAGAGCCAAAACCAGGCTACAGAACTAGCGAATAGTTTAAACCGGTTCTGGAATTACTGAGACATCAAGCAAGGTAAACGAAGATGAGCAGTTTTTAAGATTCATTAAGTTTGACAAGGATGAAGGAAGATATGAGGTTGACCTTGTATGGAGAGAACAAACATGTAAACAGTCAGACAACTTTGATCTGTCTGTCACCAGACTTAATTGTTTGAAAGCACGTTTGAAGAAGTTACTTCAGGAGTATGACAGCATTTTCAAGGCACGATTAGAAGCTGGGGTTATATAGTTGGTTTCAAAAGATGAGGAAGATTTCAAGGGTGCTCATTTTCTACCACATCATGGGGTTTTGAGAGAAGATAGCCTGCGTAGCAGGCGCTTGGAAGTAGTAGGCACAAGAAAAAACGGGCGCGCGAGAAGGAGACACGCGAAGGGAGAGGGAGTGCCTGCACGGAAGGCCCCCGAAAATCGTTTCCCGTCCCCTCTCCAATTACCTGGCAGCCGTTGCGCCGTGATCTGTCAAAAGTTTTGACAGAAAACGACTGACCTCGCACAAAACAAAGGTTGCCGCCAAAGAGCGTTGTACATTTTATCTTCGGTCTAAATATATCTGTTATAAAGATCAGCTGGGTTAAATGATTATAGAGCGATGGAGCAATCAACTGGTCGTTTTTAACCACAGGCACAATAAATAGGAAATAACACGGTCAAAACTGGGTATCTTTTAAAGAATGCATGCTGTGTAATTTAAAAAACTAAAAATATTGTTTTCTGAGCTTACTTAGCCACAACTGGGAAGACACCAACGATCACAGCGTACGTGGAAAATGACCATTGCTTTTACTGCGCTAAGTGGCAGCCGTTTTTGGAGCAGACATGTCTTACTAAGCGGACCTAAACTTCAGAACACAAGCTGTACCGACATGTACTACAGTAACGAGACATAAATAAGGGACCTCAGGTCGCCTCCGAACGACGAATAATACAATACTGAAATGTTTTTTTCAAATTCATGTCCCTGGAAAGTGTTTCATTTCATCAATATGTCCAAGTTTTGATGGTATACGTTCCATCGACAACACAAGCCGCCAAGTTCTTCTGAGCACAGAATATTTCCTTTGATCTTCATTGCAACGATTCGACAAATCTTTGTCTCTCGCCACTTCTGCTAATGCGTATCTGATGTTAATTCTTTCCATCGCGAATAACGTTTGAATACTCCAACTTTTCCGAGTTGAGATTACAGCCACATAGTCCCATTAAACCAGGTTGAAGTGACCTCCGAGACCTGAACTTCGATTGTATACAATTTAGTTGTTTTCAGGAACTAGTGGTGTAATGTAAGATCTTCACTACGTTGTCCATGTACTATTGATTGACAGTTTTCTCGCCCAGCGCAGTTAATTTTTCCCTCAGGAGCCTCTCGACCAATTGGAAATATCCCTACTCGCAGAATGCGAGTTGAAACGATTTTCATGGGCCTTCCGTGCAGGCACTCCCTCACTCCTCGCGTGTCTCCCTCTCGCGCGCCCGTTTTCTCTTTCGCCCAATACTTCCAAGCGCCTGCTACGCAGGCTAGAGAGAAGACAGGGAGACTACAAAGCTGCGTATCGTATTTGATGGCTCAGCAAGAGCGGACAAGAATCACTACTCGTTGAATGACTGTTTAGAAAAGAGTCCAAATTTAACTCCACATGTATTTGAAGTACTGGCCAAGTTTAGAAGTTATCCTGTAGTACTGACAGCTGACGTTGAGAAAGCATTTCATCAAATTTCAGTTAATCCGGCTGACCGTGACCAATTGAGATTTCCGTGATTTAAGAACGTTAAGGAGGAGAGACCAGAGATTGTGCAGTACAGGTTTCGTAGGCTTGTATTTGGACTGACTTCGAGTCCGGCAATTCTGAATGGAACAATTCAGCATCATTTATCACATTACAAGGAACCAGAACCACAAGTATCAGAATTGCTAGCTAATTCATTGTATGTCTGTTGATGATTTCCCGAGTAGAGCCAGTGATGATGAATCTGCTATTCATGTTTATCAAAGGGCACAGACCAATCCACAGAAAATCAATTCAAGCATTGTAAGGCAAAGGATCAGCGAGGAAATGAAAGAAGATGACAAGTCAGAGGTGAAGATCCTTGGATTGAACTGGGACACTATGAGTGATGAGTTACGGTTTGAATTTGTCAGTGTCATGGAGTATCTCAAGTCTCTGCCCCCAACCAAAATATCAGTGCTTAAGCTTTCAGCCAAACTGTTTGATCCACTTAGTTTGTTAAGCCCCTTCGTCGTGAACATGAACATATAGTTTCAGAGACGCTGCGTTGATAAAGTGAACTGGGATAACGGTTTAGAAGCAACAATTTTAGCAAAATGGAACCATTTCTTCGATGAGTTTTCATCCTCAGCCAAATTAAATATCCCCAGGTGTTACTTCGTGAAAGAGAAGAAGCCAGTTTGTCGCCAACTCCATAGGTTCAGTGATGCATCTGAACAAGCCATTGCAGCGGTTGCCTATCTGTGCACAGTGTATGAAGCTGGAGATCTTGACGTGCGGCTCATTGCCTCCAAAACAAAGGTTGCACCACTGAAGAAACAATCAATCCCAAGATAAGAACTCATGGGTGCTTACATTTTATCAAAACAAGTAGACACAGTTTGCCATGCGTTCAAGTTACTGCCATTTGAAATAGATGTGTACTATTGGGTAGACTCATTCACGACACTTTGTTGGATCAAGAACCACAGGCCGTGGAGGCAGTAGGTTCTGCACCAGCATAGGGTGAACGTGATCCGTAAACTGACAGACATAGAGAAGTGGAGATTTTGTCCTGGGAACATGAACCCAACCGACATACCCTCAAGAGGTTGCTCTGGGAAGGATCTTGTTGAAAGTGAATTGTGGTGGTCTGGACCGACCTTCTTAAGGGAGCCTTCAAATTTGTGGCCCGAGACACCATCTACATCCCTCAGCACCTAACACGACTTCTGAAGGTTTTACCAAGCAATGGCGTAAAGAGTATCTTTTAGGGTTGCGTGAATACCACCGAAACAGAACTGGAGCTATCGAACAATCCATTAGAGTAGCAGATATTGTCGTTTTGAACATAGAAGGATCCGCTCGTTGTTGGTGGAAGCTAGCCAAAGTCACGGAGCTATTGAAGAGCAGGGACAATGTTGCGAGGTCAGCAAAGATTCAAGTTCTCAACACAGATGCGCAAAGGAGACCGACCGTGTTGAGACGCGCAGTTCAACATCTCATACCACTGGAAGTGAACCATTCTTTGAGATGCTTAAAACGTTGACTATTTGAGATCGTTGTTATTCAAGTACATTTAGTGTATCAGTTTTAAGTCTTCTTTTGTCTTAAGAGTTGACTTGTAGTGTATGCGTCCCAATTTCTGGCCTGTTTGAGGACACTTACGAACACAGAACATGAATTTTGAGGAGTTTTCTACGTCACTTTTGTCAGTTGCGTTGAACGTTGGACATTTATCATTTGCTTCAGAACTTTTATGATTGATTTACCTTTGGGCAATCAATCCCGGGAGTGTTGTAATCATTTTATACCGGTACACGCGAGGATAGGTATATAGGTATGTAGTCACATGTTACAAGACAGTAAATCATCCATTTTTTCTGTTCATAACATTGTTTTCTGCTTTTTATCTATGTATTCCGGATGAGTTTTAACCGTGTTGAAATAAGATTATTATTATTATTATTATCATCATCATTATTATTACGGTTTGAAGATCAACAGCAGTTTGCTGCTTCTACGTCAATAACAGCATCGCACGTAGATCCAGAGCATGTTCATGGTGGCAGGCGGGAATTCCAGGGAGGAGTTAAAAAGACAGCATCAAGCCTTGAAGACTGCGTCGGCGAAATCGAGAATGGAAAGTGTTGATTCCACTCTACCCTCGGATCTGCTGCGGTCAGTTAACCAATCGAGAGACAAGGGTGCGAGTGCATGGCTTACCGCAGTGCGTCTTGTCGATCAAGGCTTGGTGCTGAATAAACAAGAATTCAGAGACTCTCTACGTTTAAGGTATAATATACTCCTGGTCGACTTACCACGCAAGTGTGTTGTGGTGAGAAGTATACCGTCTACCATGCCCTGTCATGCAAAAAGAGAGGGTTCGTTGCGCAAAGACACGATGTTGTTCGCAACCTACTTACCTCACTTATTGGTAAGGTTTGCAGCAACGTTGAAGTCGAACCACAACTACAACCTCTCGATAACGAGCGATTCAACCTCAGAAGCGCGGTAACAAGCCCGGAGGCAAGACTGGACTTCAAGGCAGGGGGCTTTTGGTCTCGTGGATCACTCCACTAGTTTTTCGAACCAACAGTGGGATGGGTGCCGATTGTAACTGGTATCTCAAACGTCTAGCCGAGAAGCTCTCAGAAAAGAATGAGGAACCTTATCACATTACTATTACTTGGATTAAAACATTGCTTTCTTTTGAGATTTTAAGGTCGGTACACACATGCGTAAGAGGTTCCAGGACACCCTTCCACAAAATTCCACAAAGAGATTTCATCGGATTGCCGCTTAAACGCTATTAGTATTTTGGGATCTTTTTAAAATTTTTATTTCATTTTTAATCGAAATGAATTGTTTTTAATTGAAATGATTTCTTTTTTTAATTGAAATGGATTTTTTAATCGAAATGAACAGGAGCTTATGAAATGAAATGACTTGCAAATAGTGCTTTGACTGAAGACTTTCTTTTCTTCTTTAGCGAAATTAGTTGTAAATAGTTTTTAATAGTTAGTTTTGTCATTATTATTATTGTTATTATAATACGAATGACATCGGCATTGACAAAAAGCAGCAACTTTATATAATCAAGAAAATGATAAATATAGCCATTAGAGCAACATATTACATTTTACATGGAATAGCCCAGACTTAATGCAATTTTGTTTTCTTTTCTTTCTTTCTTTTTTTGTTTTTGTTTTTGGTGTTGTTTTGTTTTGTTTTTGTTTTTGTTTTTGTTTGTTTTTTGTGTTTTTTTATAATTCAATCTCAAGCAGCATTTGTAAATTGCCTATACGTAGCGAGATTTACAATTGTACATTCAAAAACACAAATAAAGTTTCCATTATTAGTAGTAGTATTATTATCATCATTATTATTATTGTTATCATTATTACATTTCACAATTCCCTCTTTCTTCTAACGTGCACTTATGAGCCTTTATCTACTAATCGCTGTCTCTCGACGGACACAATGTCACGCATAATCACCGCTTTAAAGGAGCTGTGAAACGTAATTTATTAAAATTCAAAGGGTGGCAACTACAATAAAATTGAGTGAAAAAAGGCAACCGCTCAAAACATTAAAAGAAGGTATAAGACCCTGTTTACATGGAGTGGGGGACCCCGGTCTAGTGGGGTAGGTTTGTTTTGTTTGTGTCCCCCAGAGCGTGAAAACAAAAGAAACCAACCCCACTAGACCGGGGTCCCCCACTCCATGTAAACAGGCCCTAAATGACATAGTAAAAACAAGAGGAGGCACGATAATGGCAAAATAAGGGTGGAAGTAATTAGTGTTATGCCCTAATAGCAGGCAATAATGACGTAACAATCGAACTTTACAATTTGCATGACTCGCCGTTCCCGTCGTCTCGTTTTGAGAGAATAAAAAAATCATCGACCTTGATTATTCGTACTAGTAAATTTGATCACTTGTTTTCCCCATGAAATACCACATTACATTGCTTTTATCCCATCGGTCCAAAAGCGCGTGCAAAGATGGCGAGTATAGTAAGGTCTATTTTATTAGTCTGCTACACAGCCGTTTTTAGTGTCGTTTGAAAACGCTCGACTGTGTAGAGATACTACTATTTTATGTGACATTAAAAAAATACATTGGACACACAGACAAGAAAGGAAAAGAAAGATCACGAAAAGGATGTCAAAAAGAACACTTACTCCTGCCTGTTGTATCACCGAAGGCTCCTTCACAATTCACATTGTTGTTAGCTGGATCACGCTGCACCAAGCCGTCACTCTGCCTGCAAACAGGACTCCACAGCCGATAATTGGTGTGCGGTTCAACTGGGTGAGCTCGAAAGAAGAATGAGCTGGTCGGTAGAGCAGAAAAGAGATATGTTGGCGGGAAGACTATCGCACCCTCGTGATGTACATGAATCCAAGGAAAACCCCAGTGTACATGTGGTCCTGGATGAGGGTGAGGATGAGGATGGTTCGGTGTCGCCTCTCCCCCACTTGCCCTCGATGTCTCTCTCTACAACGGAAGTCAGATAGTAATATTCGTCACTTTATAAACTGCATGGGGTCTTTTTGGATCTTTAGTCGATGGTATCGGGAGGCAGCTATTAAAATCCAACGCTTTTGATGAGTACCTAAAACTCGGATCCCAGAAATCTTTTACCAATTCACCCAGTGGTCTACGGAGTTGCGGGTTAATATTTTCTGCCCTGTTTCTATAATCCTGTAATTTCTGGCCGTGATTAATTCTATCCAACACAATGCATAATGTTTAATTACGCATCAAAAGCAAGAAGAGAGTTTAACGGCACCGCATAGCGAAATTTGCGACGGAATTTTTTATTTTGAGATGAAGCACTTTTTTGAAAATGGCATTTTTTTTTTTTTTTTTTTAATGAGTGATTCTCTTTATCTTTGAGTTTTGAGTTGTATGCGAGTTTGAGAATAGTGAGTTACATCAAGGAAACCTGTCTGAGATAGGGGTCCTTTTTTAAGTAGACAATATGACCTCCTTTACAACATGATAAATGTCTAGCAGGTTTAATTTTGTGCCCAAACTTGATCACATCGGGATAAATGGCATTGAGGTGGCCTAATCAGGCATGAATGTGCCAAGAAAGCGGCATAATAATAGAGACAACGGGCGATTTTGGAGCAGCAGAGTGACTACAATCGTCATTTCGGTAGTTAAAAAGATGAATTCTTTAACATTATAGAGCCGATTCTTTAAGTTAAAGGAATAATCTATCATTCCAGCTAAATTCTAAGTAAAATAAATGAGAATTGGGTGCAGACTTTTAACATTGAAAATCAGGCTTCTTACAGTATTTTCAGTATGGAAAACGACCCTTGTCCAAGTTAAACATCGTATTTCTTCAAAAATAATCACAAATCTTCGGATTATAGAGCGGATTATTTAAGACAAAGGCCTTACCTACAAGGGGATAGCTTTTTCGCGAAAATGTGACTCGATTAAGTTGCGGACTTTTAAGTTTGAAAATATAAACTTTAAAGTTTAAAGTTAGCGCACACTTGGAGTGAAGTCATTGTCTTTGTCGAAACAATGGTTGCCATGAAAAAACAAGACGCGGTCGCTTTGAACAGCTGACAACATTGAGAAGCCAGCTAATCGCGGGCGAAATTCAAAGACATCAGAGCACTTGCGGCTTGCGTTTGCTACTCCGACAAAGTTGTTTTCAAGATATCTGATTCAGGCTTAACTACGTATAGTTAGGCTAGGTTCAGATTGGTTATTGGCGGTTTCATCTGCGCTAATATAACCATTTTCGATTCTGTTTTCGACTGAAAATTTACATAGAGCCTCCAATTCTCTTTATAGAGCGCGGCACAACTTTTACAATAAATATTTCTTGCTATTGTTGTCTATATTGAACTTCCCTCTTTTTTGACTTCAATTTCTTTACTGCGCGTCCGACGGGTATATTCAGGAGACTAATTTCCGATGCGAAAGGGCCGATTCTAAACTTCGCACTGATCACCCTAGTTGTGCGTTATCTTCGCCCACATATAATTTATTAAAGGTAAATTGACTTCTTTTTTGACTCCACTTTTTCTCTACCGCCGTCTATACTGCTTCTCAAATGGACGCGGGTTTGGATTAGAGGGGTCCTCTGTCAATTTCTAAAGTAGAGACGCAAGTTCGCATAAGGTATTTCAGTCTTGTAACTTTAAACATTTACCATAAAATTGCGGTTATAGGCTGTAGGCCAAGGATATCCTCCTTTCTGGAAAGAAATCAAGCGTTTCGCACCATCGTGTTGCCCATGAAAGTTTAACATCTTAGTATTAGGCATCTGGAAACTTCTAAACTGCAGAATATTAATTTAAAAGATTATTATGAGTTATAAAATATTAAATAGTAATATTAGAATTAGCTTGTCCATCATGTTGGTACCAGCTTATATATTGGCCGAGATATTTTTAAGTTCAGCTTCAATCTCTAGTCCAATAGTCAGGTAGCCTGAAAAAATAGCCGAACTTTCGCTACGTCACCTCTGGTTTCCCCGTGAAATGACGTCTAAGGAACAAGCGCAGAAATTCCATACTGATGACGTGTCACTACGCAGATCTAGGTTGTGCCTCATAAGTTGAAAATTTGCTTCATCCAATAAGAAGCCTAGATCAACCTCGTTCCCAGGGTAGTGACACGTCATCCGTATGGAATTTCTGCGCTCTTCCCTCAGGAGCGTAGCGTCCATATACCCACATACGCCGTGCGTACGTGTACGGCTGAAATAAGGAAAAAAAATCTTTTGAAAAAGCATTTTTAATTATTAAATATATTGGTATCTTTGCGTTAGTATTTTCTTTAGCCTTTGGTTGTTCCATAATCTGATGGCGTCACTGGCCTTTTTTTCCCGTAAACACTCTACCTTACAGACAACACTAGGGATGGGTAACACAAACAACTGACTACTGGATTTTCTTGCGTATTTATTAACTGAAAACATCGTGTGGAAAACGCTGGAAATGGCATTTCTGAGACCCTAAATTTAAACATTTTCTGCGGGAGCATACCCCCAAACCCCTCTAGGTTGAGTCGCCTTCGCATGGGCGCTACGACTTTTCTTCCCCGCGTGCGTACACCGTCTAAACCTCAGGCTACGCCCCTGCACCTTACCATATTTCCACCGGTCGATGATTTGTGACGAATTATGAAACGCAATAAGTTTTGGGACATTGTTGCTCCTATTTGTTCACTTCAGGTTCTACAAAAAGCAAAGTGGATATCAAGTTTTAACGTTTACAAAGTTAATCTAATTTAAGTTTTTCTAAACCAATGCCGAAATTCCGACATTATCGCTCTCAAGTATAGTCATATACAGGAATAGTGAATATGTGAACATGATCTAAGAGAAAATAAGATCGAAACTAAGCGACTTATACTGCTACTTCTGCTTCTACTTGGTTTTAAAATTGGCGCAGCGCTGGAGGAAACATCCCTATAATGAGTGGATAGTATGTGCTCCTGAAGACAAACACAAAAATACTTATACACTGTTTGCAGGTAGCCATGGCGACACCTGAGAAAGAGTCATAAGGTTATCTCTATATTAAGATCTCTCCTTACAGATAACCCAACCAGCCCATGCCGGAAAGGTTGACCACACCACCGGGGTCTACGTCCCCTACTCTTTTCGAACAGTGGTGTGGGTTCTTTTATGTCCCACAAGAACCAGATAAGTGAAAGTGCTGTGAAACGGGACCTACGGTTTCTCGTCCTTATCCGACAAGACTGGAAAGTCTAACCATTTGCAGATGTCATTACAAAGGCAGCACTTTCTTCTCAGTTATCTAAAAACCATGAGTGTTGGTCCGGCCGGGGTTTGAATTCACGACCTCCCGCTCAGCAGACCGGCACTTCTCCCAACTGAGTTAATGCCTTTTTGACAGCTTGATCAGGTCAGTGATAACTTCAAACTTTTCATCCAACTTTTGTTCTCGCGGTCGATGGACCATGTCTCGAACCAAAACGAAACATGTTGGGAGGCTTTCGACAGCTGTCTAAAAAATGTTGGATTTGCGCATGCGCAATCATTATAAACATTTTGATAAGCAGAGCAATGACTCCACATTAGTGTTTAATAGTTTTGAAAATTAATTCGGTCTGAATTGCTTCGATTTTAAGAGTTCATGCAAGATGTTGGAGGGTGTTGGGTTTTGTTTGAGCCAATGCAACATCGCCCAACAGCATACGGCTTTGTTGGATCCAACGAAGTTATGGATCATGGGATTATGTAAGGTCTGTTTTTGGGCTTTTAAGCAATAAAAGATAGAATTAACACCCCTCTCACAGGGGAGAAACTTTCATGAAGAGGCTCGGCTGCTTGTCTTCTCGTCTCAGTCTTGGTATCGCTTAGATCTGGGCATGAAAAAGTAAGGTAAGAGAAAGACGAAAAGGGAAATAAATCCAAGAGGAACACCTTTAATGACAACTTCTTTATCGCAACTAAAATTGACGTGAATTTGGCTGTCTGTGTTACAATGAATTCTTCTTGTATTTAAACAATGCTTGAGCCATGCCCAGGATTGTTATTTTTTGGGGGGAGGGGGGAGAATTTACCGACGCGAGTCATGCCCAGTTTCACACGGAAGTACCCCACCCACCTTCCAACGGGGAATCAACATTCACCTGTTTTTTCTCGTTTAGATACCAAGGCTAGAAGTTTAATTTCGTCCTCATCAAGCCTTTCGTTGTTATTAACATCTACGTAACATTTGCCGGGGCAACTTTGTCTAATAACACATCTGAAAAGGCTTGCACAAAAAGGTGCGAAATTCCTTGACCTCCCCTCCCTTCTGGAAAGAGATGATGCGCTTGGTTTCATTGTCGGTCACTAAAATATTTATCATTTTAGGCTTCCTCGCCATCTTAGTTCCTAAGAAGATATTGGTATTAGTATGACTATTATTTCAACAAAGAGGTCAATAGCCTCATGCCTCCTTTTGATTATTATTCATTTTTTATCTGTCCTTGTAAAGTCACAAGGCGCTCTAGCAGTTATTCAGTAAGTTGATGTTGATGTGCACGCTAGTCCATGTGGCGAAAACTCAACAAACTTCACATTATTATTGGAACAATTTGCTTTGATAAAAAGAGTTGAGGTCAGCGTCAACAAAGCAATCAAGCACTTCAAGCAATGATGAATAACATCTACTATATGCAAATTTGGTTGTGTTATCCGAGTTCACAAGGTGAATCGGCCGACGTCAAGAGATTTTGGAGCGCGGGGGACTCAGTATAATGACCTACATGGGGAGGCTCCTCCAGAAAGAGGTACCTTTTCCAGGCTTCAGGTATATAGAAGGGTAGGGATTTCACTTATGAAGTATATGGAAGGGTAGAAAAATCATTTCGCTCGGTAAAAGGGCTCAAAAAGGCAAACAGATATGTATTTTATAGCTGAGAGAGGGCCGAGAAAATGTTCTAGTCTTGTGATTTTACAGCAGTCAGCATTTACAGCAAATGAAACGTACGCAGGGTTCTAAACTAGGTATGTGAAAGGGATACCATTTGTCAATAGAAGGTAGAGGTACCTTTTCTGTAAAAGAAAATGGTATATAAAAGGGTAAGGGCTCTGACCTCGCGGCGGAGCACGGCGGAAGAGTAGAACTTTTTTAAGTACCCCCCCGCCCCTCCCCCCCGGTGTTTTGGAGCTGGCTTAAAGCGTCCGGGTGAAAGTTATATCTTATCAAGGAATTTTGGGTCGTATGTGGTCTTGATATTGTATGGTAATAAAAGAACGAAGTAGCTTACAAATTAGCTAGATGAAAAGACCTTGATATTATGTGCCGACGAAAATCTGAACGACTGATCTTCATCCGCAATGCCTACGGAATTACGAATGCTCTAAACGGAAAAAAATTGTCCTTATTTTCCATGTTACTATATTCCGCCCAAAGTGGTTTCGTTCTTAACACCACTGGAGGACCAAGATGGGAAATAACCGTCTTTTACTTACCGTGTTTTCGATGAAAACGCCCCAGAAACAAATAGAGCCTTTTGATGGCTTGTGACGCGTTAACCTCTCTTTTGCGTACTGGAACGTGAAACTGTACAAAGTAATGGTCCAGCTAAGAGGCAGGGAGAGAAAAATAGCCCGCGGCAATAGCGTCAGTTGATTTTCAGGCGTTTATTTCCCTAATCAAATTGAATCTGAATGCTCTGATTGGTCATGACCAGTGCAGCGAGAAGTGCTAAATTTGAATTTTACAGTTGAATTAGATAGATTAAGAGTCATTCGAACAAATTTTTTTTGCTGAAAAATATAACATATCTAAAATTTAAAAGATTTCAGTCTATTCGCCAAACCAGAGGAAGATAAACTGATATGAAACTACATGAAGATGAGCAAGTGTTACTTCAGTCAGCGACCTTGTGAAGAACATTTACGTCGGCTCCAACAAAGAAATCTCAAAACCATGATCGTACACAGCAGCAATATCATGCTCACGTGGCGAATCTGGCGAACGAGCCAATGTCGCGCGTCTATATTTGGCCACCATACAGAACAACGACAAGTATATAAAATCAAATCTTAATGTTATGTAAATGTACTGCAGTTGGAAAAAAGGATGATGTTGCCCAGATAGAAAAAACTCCTGCATGTTCGGAGAATCGGGTTTCCAAAAAGGCTCTCCTACATTTTAGGGACTGTGCAATAATTACCTGGGGGGTTGGGAAATGGGTGAAATATGCCCCAAAACTAAGTCGTACCCCCCTCACATTTTGCAAAAATTAATTTCCCCCCCCCCCCCCTCACATAATGATGATATTAAGGCTACCACCCCCCTCCCCTTGAAAAAAGTTTCCTCCCATTGATTCCCTCATACCTAGTTTACTTGTTGGATTTCTTCCTCCCCTACAAAAATCACTTCAAATGACTGTGAAGAGTCATTTGAAGAGTCATTAAAATCACTGGGCTCTGAGCTTGTGTCGTCTTCGCATGAATTGGGAGATTCCTCATCTTCTACAGCATCTCTAGAACAAAGGTTCCCGCGTGCGTGGGTGAGAACTCGATCAATCAACTCAGCCTTGCTTCCACTTATCTTACGGCCTTTTTGCTTTAGATACATTTTCAGCAGCTTATTGGTAAGCGCTTTTACATCTTTTACATGATTTATTTACCATACTTTAAACTTGTATTGCTATTAAAATTTCAACAATTGGGTTTTTCATTCTGTTAAATTATGATGCCATGTGTGCTAACATTGGCATCTTTCTATTTCATGGAATAACATTATAGTGCTACTTTTGCAACTTTTAATTAAAGTTTCCTGTTTTATTAAATCCTAGTGCAAATAAAGTAGCACTGTTTTAGCATATATTACAGAGGCATTCCTTTCCTATTGCATGACAGATAGGAAAACAACAGTTCATAGATCAGAACACCTTAGAGCTGATAAATTTTTCAGTTTTATTCCAATGTTAGTATTTATTTTTGAACTCTAATAACTCTTGCACTCCGGCTTTTCCAGTTGGCAAAAAGGAATGAAAAAGTAATGCCCCCCCCCCCCGTATGTATTAAATTTTACATCCAGCCCCCCGTCTCTTGTGGTCATTTTCGCCTATGCCTACCCCTCTAGTTTTCCCACAACCCCCCCCTCCTCCAGGTAATTATTGCACAGTCCCTTATCTTTTTACAAGGTTTTGTTTTCAAACCGAAATATTGGGCAATTTGTTTAAAAATATATATATTTGTTTTATTCTTTTCTTTACTTCTTCATCGCCTTGCCGTAAGGATCAGGTTTGCCGTTTCATATTTTTCTACAGGTTTAATTGTACTGATCCAGGTCTACAACACACTCATTGGTTTGTTAATGATATATGAAATAAATAATATATGAACTGCGGAAATGAAATGAAAGAGTGAAAATGAAGAAATGATCGTCGCAGTGAACGCAACGTCAGTGGCTTCATAGCTCAGTTGGTAGAGCATCTCACTGGTATCGCGAGGTCACGGGTTCAGACCCCGTTGAAGTCCTGATTTTTTTCAGGCTTCTTTACGCAATTGCATAAATTGGGTTCACTGCGTCGATCATTTCTTCATTTTCATTTTCACTCACTGGTTTGTTGCTGTGGACTTGCTGACATTTTATATATTTTGATGTTTACACTATAAAAATCCTTCGTACAATCTCTCTCGTCAGTGGGAAAAAATAAAGGCAAGCTACTGTCATTCTCGCTGGGTCTTCTGTACGAGGAGAAACTCTTATTACAGCTATTCATATGATTCCTAAGCGGCTTCTGTCTCCCATTTGCCCGCACCACGTGAATTCATAAGTCAGCTCGACATAAGCATTCAGGGGTCGTACACCAAGATCCGTCAAGCGTCACCTTCCCCCACGATCAGCCTGACTTCCAGAAGACTGATCGACTTCAATATCAGGGACCGAACAGGTGGCCATTACGACACCTGAAGGAGGATCATGTGGCTATCTCTATATTAAGATCTCTCCCAGGATCTCTCCTTACAGATAACCCACCCATCCCAGGAAAGGTTGGCCACACCACCGGGATCTATGTGGTGTGGGCTTTTTTACGTCCCACAATAATCGGACAAGCAAGTGAAAGTGCTGTGAAATCATGGGGACCTACGGTTTTTCGTCATCCGAGAAGACTAGAAAGACTAACCGTTTGCAGATGTCATTACAAAACCAGCGTTTTCTTCTCAGTTATTTAAAGACCTTGAGTGTTGGTCCGGTCAGGGTTTGTACCCGCGACCTCCCGCTCAGCAGATCGGCGCTCTCCCAACAGAGTTAGCCAGGCGGCGGTAACATCCACTCTGACGTTATTTTTCTTTTTAAAAAGGCTGTACGCTTTCTTCCAGATACTGGCGGATGAAGTTCAACAAACTTACCATCATTTTTTATCATTTTCAAGCTGTCATGATAACATCTTTGTGCAAAAAATGCCTTTACATCTTTTTAATTTGTCTTGGTTTATACAAAAAGAAAACAATTTCTCATGGTCTGTTCTCTTATCGACCATACAAATGACGTCAATGTTCAAAAATTTTCATTGAAACCAGTGAAACGGTTAGTGGTTCCACTTGAGTTTTGAACATTTCGACGTCATTTCCAAGCTCGATAAGAAAAGACCATGAAAAACTGTTGTCGATTTGATGAAAACCTTTACTGAATGATGAATACCAAATTCTAAAGCAGGTTTGCAACTCAGGGCAGAGCAACCCCACACAACCCTTTTACCCTTTTGTGAGTACACCCCACGGACAAGGCAACCCTGAATGTATATTCCACCAGGAGGCCGTTCTAGTAACTCGTAGAGCCGAAAGGTGTGGTGTAGTGTACCCTGTCGAAATGTGGCCGGCGTGTTCCACGGGATTTCCCATTCGTCCTTTGAGGAGCGCAGGAGCGCGGCACTTAAGATTTGTCAGACCAATGAAGTCATTGACGCCTGCCATACTTGTTTCAATAATGGCGCGTAGTTCCTTTAAGAGCAAACTCATTTTCTTTGTAGCTAGTACTCATCCCGGGCCTTTCCGTTAGACTTTGGCCTGGTCCAAGCAGTCCAGCCTTCGTCCCCTCGGTTCTGGGGCCCGTTTCTCGAAAGTCCCGATAATTAACGGGCCCGGTAAGCTGTCTCGGTTTCCATTAAAGATCGAGGTTTCAATAGTTTTGCATCTAACATGATAAAACTATCAGTTAACGAAACAAAATGCAGTAGTTTGCTAGCCAGGACTCGCGCTCTTGTTCTTTTTATTTCGCTTTGACTATTTGATTTCGGGCCCGAAAAGTTAACGGGACTTTCGAGAAACGGGCCCCAGGTCTTGTTCCTCCCCGAGACGGCTTGACGCATGAGTTGTCTGATCGTGGCCTGCGTTTCTTATTGAGGAAGGAACGTGGGCTCATTTTTCTAACAGCGGCTAGTAATAAATCCCAAGAATTGTTTATCATCGACTATGCATGTTCTAGTAATTAGAGGGTGCCGATAAGGGGCTTGTTAACAATTATTCCTCGAGCTCGAATAGGTCTGAATCAATGGCCCATGCGGCCGAAGGCCGAATGGGCTATTGACTCAGAGGCCATGAGGGCGAGAGGAATAATTGTTTTAGTAAAATTCAACTAGTTGGTCAAAAATATCGAGAATAAAAAAAATTTAGCTAGTTAAAGCTAGACTTTATTAATCCTTTTTTGCCGCCAAAAAGCCAGCGCTTTTCGCTACTAAGAGGCTATAACATATAGCCTAGTAGTAGCTCAACCAATCAGAACGCAGCATTGATAATAGACCACTAGCTGGATTTCACTAAAATAGGTTAGCTTCATGCGACAATATACTATTTTGGTTCGTTCATTAAGAGTCCCGTGTGATTTGAGAACGGATCGTCGGACTCACATTCACAGAATCACAGATTAAATTCAGTTTTTTTCTGAGCTCGAAACACGACACAATAAGTAAGGTAATACTCAAAACATTTATTTAGCAACCAGATCCACACATATTTACTGTGATCGTTTCGTCTGCCGATACTTTGAAACTTAAGTTTATTCACTCTATCATTACAAACCTGTGGGTGTCTGTATAATCAAATTATAAGCCCACGCTGACATATTTTACTTAATGAATAAAACCTTAATCGCTAAAACTATATCTGAAATTTGTTGGTCTTAAAGTGGCGACTAACATACCATTTAATGGGTTACAAAAGCTCTTGGGTCAAGTTGTTCACTGGACTACCGCTGTTGGTAAATTTTTAAACTTTGTTCAGAATGAACAGAGCTTGTGGATCTGGATAATCTAGTTCGGCCATGTCCACCAATGTCATGTTGCCAGTGCTATCACAGCTCAAGTACTTTGTGTTGAACCACTTGTTCTGGAAAATAGTATAACTCCAATAGTAGAAAGGCTTAAATTTTGCTTCGTCCGAATATTGTTGACCTGATGCAGTTGCCTGAAATACGACAAGAAAGACAAAAACATGAAACGAATCAAGAGAGAATAATCTAGATTATCCAAATCCACAAGCACTATTCATGCTGAACAAAGAGTTTAAAAATTCACCAACAACAGGAGTACACTGCGGGATTCGGGAACACGCAGTATTCCTGGACGGGATACGGGATTAATATCTGGCTGCTTCTCTATTTCAATGAATTTCGGGCTTGAGAGCAAAGCTCAGAGATTGCCGAGAGAGCTTGCTCATAGGTTAATGACTGGCCTTTTTTGCCTTGACCCCAGGCCTCGTTATTCCGCTCGGCCAATGTGTTTCGGGTCACCAAAGTGAATTGACCGAGAAGGCCTGGTGAAAGGCCATAAAGAGACCAGGCAAGGGCATTTGTATGCCTATGGGCGCGTTGAAGTCGAGGGCAATTGTTTGCTTGTCCGTGGATCAGAGGAGAGGTAATAGTTACTTCGAGGCAATAGTTACTTGTTTTAAATAACTAAACAGTGAAGTAAAGTTAAGATCAGTTATGGCTTACGGTAAGTGCGAGCCCCCAAGCTTCTCCTATTTTCTGTCAAACAAGCCAGTGGTTAGCGGGCATCGCTATTCTTTACTGTTTTTTATCAAACGTTGGGTTTAATTTCTCGGTCCTCCCCGAGAGCGGTCTTCTACGGGGAGGAGCGCAGGCTCATTTCCCGAACAGCGACTGATAATCGAGCACGTATCAACAGCAGACTGCAATAGTCCTTATTTACGATACCCGTCATCTTGAGATGTCAAGCAGTTTCTCAGGAGGGCAAACAAGTTAAAAAAAAAAATTGGCAGTGCAAGAAATCGCAGTCCAGTTTGTTTATTCTAGACAACAGAAACTGAAGAACTTTTCATCTTAAAGACGAAAATGGCAAATTTTGGACATGATCATTGTTACTTTTTTGAATGCAGTAACGAACGTAGATGTCCTCACAGCAAACAATAATAACGTAAATCTTGTCGAAACTCGAACTGTACATTTTGACATTTTGAAAGACTATTACAGTACTACTACTATAACCGGAGCCACCTAGACAACGTTGACCAAAGGGATTACAAAAAAATATCAATACATTCTCAGAAAGTTGGTTGTAGGCAAATCAGCAGTTCGTAAAAAGACAATAAGTAACTGGCGAAGCACAAAATTTAAATATTGATATCAAACATTTTTCAAGAAAGCAAAGTGTTCCCCACTCAATATTTTTCTATTCGAAACTTTACAACTTTACACCCAGGAAACATATTTGTTTCAAACAAGCTGTTATTTTGTCATCTACCAGCAGCAACTTCTTCGCTAACATTGCCGCACTTTGCAATGAACATGCAACCTCAACTCAAAAATATGACTGTAACGTTTCGCTCTAAGAGACCTCTCAGGAAAAAAGGCCTTCTTCAAAGGGTTGTAAAAGTCACGTCCGTAGGTTGTAATTGATTTCGATCTATGTTGTTGATGTCTTTCCATGGTAATTATGATTGACAACTCACTTTGTCGGAATGTATTGTTATTTTCTTGTCACCGGTCCACTTTGTCTAGGTGGCCCCGGTAATATATATATTTAGCCACAGCTAAAAGCGAAGCTCCCATTCATAAATTTATAACTTAAATCAAACAATAATTTTGTATTCCACAAATCAGTTAAAGTAAGAGCACATTCATGTGACTTTTGAGGGAAAAGCTAAGTGATTTTGGAGTGACACAAATTTTGTATCGCGTTGATATAGCCTTATATGTACACCCAAAAAATAGTCTTCGGTCACATTTAAGAGCAATGATGGCTCTTGATCACAGTAGATAAGGCGTGCAAAACAAATTCTTTGAAAACAAATCAGACCGAATTTTTTGCGTTCGACAAGTTTACAAATTCTTGCCAATAAATCTGGTTGCGTGCAAACCAATCTTTTATTTTTTTTATACACCACATCTGAGAAGAAAGAGTACTATGAGGCGCTGTTTTTATCATACAGACGTCGTACAAAATACAGTATTTCACAATTTTTCAAGACAAATTGCATTCATTCAATATTCAGGACCATAGAGGCAAGCGTGGACTTTTAATTAGCGAAACCGTTCAAAAAATTTCCAAAATCACCTATACGGCCAGCCGGTTCTAACTTTTGACAAGCACCAAATTTGCGAAGAAATTTTACAAGAGTTACGCTTCAACGTGATAAAGAATTTACTGAGTCTATTTTTATTAACGGTTTTATAACGATGTGTAATCTTAAAAGCGTTTGATACGCTTGGCATTTTGAGTACTCCTGCGAGCGATGTTTATGAACGCATGAAAACAAACGGCAAAGCGATGAAAATTACACTTTTGAGACTACCAAAAATCAATAAAGAAAAATAATTCCATAGAACATTTACAGAGACAACAATTTTCATTCACGAAAACAAATGAGTATTTAAGTGTGTCTAAGAATCCTCAAGTCTTTACTAGTAAGCTTAAAGTTTATGTTTTAAGCCGCCGGTTTCCCGGTGTTGGCTGTTTTCAAAGATGAACTCACGAAAAGAAAATCGTTCAAAGCTTTCTTTCTACAGCCAAAATTATAACTAAATATTCTTCGGAAAGTTTTTTCTTTCTATTTAAGGTGAATTAATATCGACTAGAGTCTTTTTAAAGTTCTGTAAGCTTAAGCTTATATCAAACCTCATACGAGGTCAGATCAGTGTCTCAGTCAAATCTTAATACAAACGTGCATAAACTAGCTTCATAAACTGCGCCGCTGGACTTCATGAAATTATATTTAAATAAAATAATTACTCAGGCTTACCATATTTCGAGATGCAGCTCCTGAAAGCTATCAAGTAAGGCAAGGATCGCTTGAGCCTTTATAATACTCGTACGCATCCAGCAAGGTGAAAAACAAAAACGATGCCATCCGAAATCGGATTATCGGCTTTGACAAGCGACGCATTTTTCAACCAAAAACCCAATAAACAAACCAGCCATGAATAAGAGAACACTCTTGATAGCAGCTGTATTTCATTTTGCACATCCAGTGGAAAAGACAGTTAAAAACATCACAAGTTGACTCAAAACTCTGTCAGCTTCAGCTGTCAAAGTAAACAACTTTCAAGATGCTGCATAAATTTTACGCATGAACTCTCCTGTCAAATTTTGACCAATCAGAGCATAAAAATTGGACGTGGAGCGTGACCAACACGTGCCCATGGTAAGAAAAGGTCTTCCAAGGTCTTCCCCGCCTGTATTTTAAAAACACTGGCTGAATTTTTGCGTCTGAAGTCAGTTTGAAATCAAAATCGTAATAGTGCGGGGCGATACTGACATAAACACAACATATTTGATATGAATTTAAAACAAAAGTAAACGTGAGCCTGCGATCATTTGAAAACGAGTAAATTGTCAGCGGATAACTTCAAAAAAATACTCGACCTCCATGGGTCGACACCTGAGCCCGCGATTCGGTCAGGTGATAGTGGTCAGCGGATACCCTGTTTTGACAGCTGTCAATTGCTGACAACATTGATGTGCAATCAGCTTTCTCCTGGGCTCCCAAAGTAGCTAGAAAGTGTGAGAGTAAACATTGGTATGCCTGTGGTGCGGACGGACGGTCGGTCGGTCGGTCGGTCACGTGATTACCAAATTTTCTGGTATGGGTAGATTTCCTTAGCAATGGGGCTCCGCCCACGCGCGCGCGCTTCGCGCGCGTGGAGCTCCGCTAATAGTAGTCGCACAGTGAATCGTCGTCTCGTTTTCATAGACTACACAAAATTAACCGCAATGACTCGTATTGGTTTTTATCATTTTTTTACCCCCTGAAATACTACGTGGCATTGCCTTTATCCCATCAATCCTAAAGCGCGTGCAATGACGGCGGGTATCATGAATAAGGTCTATTATTCATTTATTCAAAATACTTCTTCGTTTCTGATTGGATAAAATCCCCCAGACAATATCATAACCAGCTAATGTTGACCAAATTTGAAAAAAGTTTTCAATATGGAAAAATGACGTCAAAGAAAACTGGACAGCTAACCGAGAAGACCTTAGGACGAGGTTGGGTTGTTTTGGTAGTAAGTACAAAATGGCGGAACATTTCACTCGTTTCGCCATGAGGAAAGAGGCAAGGATAGGGGCTACACAGGCTACAAAGTATATAGCAAAAAAATCAAGAATACAACTACAGGGACGACATCTGCTATTTGGAGAATATTTGTAGAACCAATTCAAACAACCCTTTGTCTCTTAAACTTGCCGAGAAACAGGCCATTGAAAGTGAACTTAACATCAATGGAGGTAAGCATGTTCTAGCTTGCTTTTAAACAAAGAATTTTTTTGGAAAACAATTATTGAATTTGGATAACACCCTCCGAGATCTCCATAATTCTTTAGATGATACTTAGACTTACAAATAACTCACCAGAGCCTCTATGCTTATATTGCCCCTTGGGTCGGCTTGTGCAGTCACGACGTACTTTTTAAGAGTTGTTGGGTCCTTGAAAAGTAAACTCACATAATCCTGATTGATGTCGCTTGTAGTTATCTCAGCTATATATATCAAAAAAAAGATATTGAGAGGAATTTAATGGATTTGAACCGAGAAGGGCCGTTCTCTCCACTCCTGTCAAAAGAAATTTCACGAGTTTTTTTTTTTACAAATAATCTTTATTATATTTAGGGGCTAAATTCGAAAAGCATCGCTACCGATAACTTGCAATGATAGAGTGATTTTACTTAACCGGTAAAATAGATAGTGGAAGTAATACGCTGTATTAAACTCTAATTTGTTTACTTGTAACTATTTGGCGCTAATTGTTACATATTGTTTCACGGGTTTACTAAAATATCTCTACAAAAATGCCCTTCATCTGAGTATCAAAGTATTAAACTCTTGAGTACTAATTGAGAACAACAGAAAGAAGCAAGGCACATTTGACAGTAAGGAACTCTAAGCTAAGACGTTACAATTTAAAATGTAGGAAAGCGTGCAATATGACTCCCTATATAATGACATGACGGAATAAAAAAGAAAAAAATGTAAGCTAAAAGTATATGAAAACAGAAACACCGTTGAAATCGCTATTTTTACGTCCTCTACTGAAGAGGGCCGGAACCGTTGTTGTCTTACGTGGTCATCCGAGCCATTCAAAGGTCTAGCCGTTTGCAGGGCAAAGGAAAGTACCTTGAGTTCACTTCTCAGTTATATTTTAAGACCCTAGGCTGAGGACTGGTCCGGCCCCAGGAATCGAATCCTCGACCTCCCACTCTGCAGTCAAGCGCTCTACCGAGAAAAAAACTGAGGCCAAAAGAGCTTTCTTGAGAAAAACTTCAGTAAATCGTTGCACAGGAATAGCCTCCTCCTTTACAAGCACTTTGTTTAACTTTTGTGGCTTCTCAAATTCATCACCTTTTAATTGCTAGAAAAGACGTACTCTATGGTGTCATCGACTTATTACATACAAGCACAAGATAGCGACTGAAAGCAAGTAAAGTAACAGAAAAAGCCAATTACTTTAACAAACATGAATACAACCTTTCTTTCGTCAACTATGCTAACATGGCTAATTGAAATCTAAACTGAACCACAGTCCGCCTTTAACTCTGGCTGGTTCGGGGAGGGTGTTGAGAGAGGAAGGAGGATAATTATTCAGTTACGAGTATAGTAAAAGGTAGAGGCGCACACGAGCCGAAAGCCCAAACTGCCTATTAAGCTTATCCTGGTTTCCTTAGCATGAAGCATGCCTAAAAGTATTGCTACTCCCCCCTTGACAGGATGCTAGTCCATCGAAGGGTTACCACCCAGCAGTATGTCGCCGGTACTCATTTACACACCTGGGTGAAGAGAGACAAAGTGGAGTAAAGTTCCTTGTCTTAGGAAACAAAGCAACGGGCGAGGCTTTGAACCTCGGACATCCAGATCCGGAGTTCGAGGTGTCAAGTAACCACTCGCGCCGGTCACACATGCCTCTACGGTTACGAGTAGTATGACAAATGTTTGTTACTTAAGCTTTTGAAGCTTTTTTTGGGTCACAATAGAGAGAGAAGCGTGGTATACGAAAACCAAACACAAACGGGAAAGGGCAATAAAAGGAGAGCACAAAGAACACTTACTGTTGCCTGTTTTATCGCTGAAGGTTCCTTTACAATTCACGTAACTGCTAGCTGAATCACGCTGCACCAGGCTGTCATTCTGCCTGCTAACAAGACCCCACATCCGATAACTGGTGTTCGGTTCAACTGGGTGAGGTCGATGGGGTGAGTTAATCTTTACAGCAGGAAAGAGATGTGTTTGCGGGAAGACTACCTCACCCGTGTTATGTACATGAATCCAAGGAAAAACCCAGTGTACATGTGGTCCTGGATGAGGATGAGGATGAGGATGGTTCGGTGTCGCCTCTCCTCCACTTGCCGTCGATGTTTCTTTCTGCAACGGAAGTCAGATATTAAATAAACTGCATGGAGAGAAGCTACAAGCTTTCGCAAAAGGTCTTTCTGGATTGTTAGTCGATGGTATCAGAGGCAACAATTAAAAAATTAAGGCTCAGTTTTGACGGTGACCTAAAAGCCGGATCCCAGAAATCTTATGCGTCCAAATCTTGTGCCGATTCACCCAGTGGTTTACGAAATTGCGGGTTAATGTTTTCTTCCCTCCTGTTTATCTCCTCCCGTGATTTTCTGCCCGTGATTAATTTCACCAAACACGATGCACGATGTTTAATTAAGCATCAAAACCGAGAGGAGATCTAGAGTCAAACGGCAGCGCATTAAGAAATTTGTGACACTAACTTTTTGATTTTGTGATGAAGTATTAATTTGACTTTTTGAAACAACTTCCGAAAGAAGGCATTTTGTCTTTTAAAATGATATACTTTTCCTTTGGGTTTTGAGTTCTATTAAGCGAGTTTCAGAATAGAGACATCAAGAAAAACTGCAGTCTGAGATTGAGGTCTTTCTATAAGTAGGCAATGGCCTTGTTTAGTATATGATAAATGTCTAGTGGGTTTTGCGCCCAAATTAAACTTGATAAGTTGCTTCTCAAATGAACGCGGGTTTGGATAAGAGGGGTGTTCTATCAACTTCTAAAGCAGGGACGCAAGTTCGCATAATGGTATTTCAGTCTTGTAACTTTAAACATTTACCGTAAAATTGCGGTTATAGGCTGTAGGCCAAGGATATCCTCCCTTCTGGAGAGGAATCAATTGTTTCGCACCATCGTGTTGCCCATGAAAGTTTAACATCTTAGTACTAGGCATCTGGAAACTTCTAAACTGCAGAATATTTATTTATAAAATTAATATATATGAATGTATATTATAAAATATTGTATAGTAATATTGATATTAGTTTGTTCATCATGTTGGTACCGGCTTATATTATTTTTATTGTCCGAGATATTTTTAAAGTCAGCTTAAATCTCTAGCCCAATAGTCACCAAAAGTCAGGGTAGCCTGAAAAAACAGCCCACGTTTCGCGATGCCAGCTCTGGTTTCCCCGTGAAATGACTTCTGAGGAACGACTGCAGAAATTCCATACTGATGACGTGTCACTACCCAGATCTAGTCTGTGCGTCTGATTGTTTTTTTTTTTCAGGCTGTAGTCAGCGCAAACGCATGAAGGAATTTTGCTTGCGTGTGGTGTACCTATCTCATGCTATCTACTGCTGTCAATAGTAATGGATCAGAGAGAACCTAGGATTAGTGTGGAAATTGAATTCAAATGTGACAGCATGGAAGCAAATTCAGTTTGATTTTTTTTTCCCTATAACTTGATGATTTGATACTCTAAAAAGAATAGAAAAAATATCCAAGAAAATACTTTTTAACCAAAGAAAATGAACCTGGATTGAAATTTAGCCCCATTTAGCGTTAATTGGACTTCGAACCGGGCGCAGCAAATTAGATAAATGAATCAAGAGTTTGACTAGTTCTGTGAGAATAAACTGTAGACTGACAATACATTGATTTTCAAGCACATTTGGTAGAGCAGTTTCATTCTAGAGCCCCTCCCTCTCCGAATGCAATATTAAACATTTAAAGAATTGTGCAGCCAAGCTGTATCCGCACTCGTTTTCTACTTTACCATGTTTCCAGCAGTGGAAGATTTGTGACGAATTATGACTCGCAGTAAGTACTGGGCCATTGTTGCTCTTATTAATTCAATTGACGTTCTACAAGATGAAGCAAAGTTGATATATCATGTTTTAATGTTTACAAACTTTATTTAATTAAAGTTTTTCTAAACCAAAGCCGAAGCCCCAACAATACCGCTCCCAAGTATAGTAACACAAGGGAATAGTGAGTATGATCTAAAGGTACAGTAAAAAGGCAAACAAAAGCGTGCAAGTTGTTTTGGAACATTGCTGCATAACGAGTGAAAAGCGATGGTGCGCGTTTTACTACGCACGTTCCAACCTGTCAAGCAACAAATCAGGTTGTTACAGGTTGCGAAAAGTTGTTGCCGAGAGTTGAGAGTAGTTCTACTTTTTGCAACAAAATCTGTACATGTTGCGTGTTTAATTAACTAGCCCAATAGGGAAAACTTGTTTTGCAACAAGTGACACAACTACCGTGTGTGTGACTCCTGGGTAATGTCATCGAATGAGAAGTCAGTACTGATTCACGCAACTTGCAACCGACTTTATTTCTTGCAAGACAGGTTTGAATGTGAATGACAAAACACGCAACATCGCTTTTCAACTCGTCAGAGCAGCAATGTTGCAAAACAAGTTGCACGTTTTTGTTGCCTGTTCTGCCGTACCTATAACCAATTAAATGCAATATTTTTTTTGATAAATTGAAGGCACAACGGTTATTTTTCATGTTTTTTTTTCTCTGAGTAAACTTGAACATTTCTTTCGTGCGACCTAACTACTGCCTGTTAGAATTCTTTCGCGATTGATGATTACACTGCCGGTCATCCAATCAATATTAATAAAATCTAATAGCTGTTTGCTCTTTTCCTAGTTTCTGGTTGACGTCTATTCAAATGACCAGTTTTACTTACCCTGTGTGTGATGAAAACACCCGGCAGCAGGGAACAGAGCTTGCTGGCAGCCTTCGCAATCGAAGCTTGATTTGAATACAAACATCGCAGACCCCTTAACTTAATTCCCTTTTGCGTGCAGGAATGTTTAATATGCCTAAGCTGATAAAAGTAAGCGACAACTTTCAGCCTTAATCTGGCTGTGCCATTTTTATACATATATTTTGTAGTAAATATGAGTTCGTCTCAAGTCAAATAGCGACAATCTTTACCGGATGTGTGCCTTAAGTGAATCAGTTTCTTAGAAAGACCGACAGCATTACTCGAGCGGAAGTGAATGGACTGTCCTCCTACGCTTGCGTTTCCTAGAGGACCCAGACAACTGCTGCGTTAAGAGAGACTTGGTACGTAACTCATCACTCCAAACTATGAAGAGTAAGGCTTGTAATGCTGCTTAAACCCTGTAAATTCAGGTTTGCGTGGTTGTTTGTTAGCGCCTTGTTTAGAACTGGAGAACAACACCCAGGAAATTAAAGTTGGAGCTTTGTGAAATTTTATACTTGCTCGGGAGAAGGAAAAAATGCAATAAAACATAAACATCATAAACATTCTTTGCAGATCTCATTCCGAAGATATGAGTAATGGGATAAATAAGAGGACAAAAATATTCCTGTTTTTCTTCACAACCACGATGTGTATTCTCAAAATATGCTAATTCCTCTGAGCTTAAACGATAATTCTTTTTTAACCTGAATTTTTTCGCCACGTCAATTTCGGCAAGCAGCAAATTAAAGGCACTTTAAAACCTTGAATACAAAATATAATATAAAACCCAAAACAATCAAGCAAAACCACTTTTGAATCGGAGAAAAGACAAAAACGACCAGGTCGGCAAGCTAACTGCCGAAACGGTCGATTGAAATCATCTAACCAGTAAAACAACCACTGGAAAGAGAGAAAACCACTATCATAAGTGAAAAGAAACAAACGAAAGAGCCGAAATGAGCAAAACGAGCTGACAGTGCGCATGCGTCATGCCATCTACAGACAAGGTTTGTTATTTCTCTTGCATTCCAAGAAGAGCCGAGTGTTTGTGAGTTACCTACCACCCCAAAACTTTCCTTATAGTGGACTTTTCTTCGTCAACCATATTCCAGATCGAATCGGCATATTGAAATATTACCCTTTTTAAGAGGAAGAAGAAACTGGAGTACCCAAAGGAGAAACTCTCAATGCAAGGAAGAGAACCAACATCAAAATCGATCAAACTAATGGCCACGTGGTCTGTGAGATAGCGCCGAATGCTTGTTGTGCTCGAGCCGTGTTCCGCGGGATTTGTTTACCTGCCATGATTGCCCAGTTAAAAAGGCTTTGACGCGGATTACGGATTTGCCAATCGGGTTGGAAGGAAATTCGAAAAACACTTCCGGTAGTTCAGTTGAATCCGTTGGGGACCCAGAACCACGATATCGGAGCTGATTCGCAAAGGTTACGTTGCTAATTAAACTAATGGCATCACCAGAGCCGGGAATCGAAGTTAGGCCACAATACATAGCCTGCGCAACAGATGAAATTAAACCCCTGGTTAAGTTGGTCTGTGAGGCAGCGCCGAAAATTGTTTGGCTCGAACTGTGTATCCGGATTTGAGCAGGCGCAATGATTGCCCAGTTAAAAAGCCATTGTCGATTTGCCAAATCGAAACACACTTCCGGTGTTCGTTGAATCCCTCGGGAACTGGGGGGGCAGAACATGGTTTTCGGCGCTGGTTCGCAGACGTTGTTAACCCGGACCCAGTTCTTCGTTAAATTTTGACCGGGGTTTCTTTTTCTTTTGTTCAAAAGCATTTTCCCGGATAATTTTTTCTATTCTTTTTAGAGCATCCAATCATCAAGTTGAAGTCAAAAAGAATAAAACTGAATTTGCTTTTTAAGCTTTCATATCTGAATTCAAATTTCGCTCTGAACCCCTGCCTTGAAAACCCGGCCCGGGGTAATGTTAGATTGCGTCGGCGACGCAGGCTATCAAACCAATGGCCTGACCCTGGGCCAGGATTTTAACCTAGGCCTCAATGGTGAGAGGCTAATGCAATGACCACTGCGACATCCAATTCACAATTTTCACCGAGACCATAATGCACCTTGTTTACCCCCAAAATTTTACATAAACATATATTGTTTCCGTCGAATTTGAATTGCAATATTCTTTAGGTGTTTTTTGGGCGTTATCTAGATGTTTATTACTGGACGACACTGGGATCCTTCTTTTCTTCCAGAAACCAACCTCCGATCATAGGGAAGCTGTTATGTTATGTTTGCGGATGCAATTCATTCAGAAAACACACTGTTTGAAAAAAACTTACGTCTGGTTCGCAAACGAAACGAGCCATGCAGCACTGATTCTGCCGTTCCAGTTAAAAGGAAAGTACAGGTAATATCCTTTACATGACATCGACATCAAAACAGCAAATATTCTAAAAAAAAAAAAAGGATTGTAAGGAAATTCAAAGGTTTTCTTTTAGTTCTCTTAAAGAGGTCACGTTCACTAAACTTAGGCTATGTTTACAGTATACCGGATAGCTTTTGCGCAGGCCCAAAAACCATACCGGAGGGCTTCTCTTCACACATACGAACAGCGATTTCGGCTCGATTGCCGTAACGGAGCGAAGCCGCGCCGCGCCGCGCCGATCTTTAAAGTGAAGAGTCACATATCGAATAGGTATTCACACCATACAAGACAGCTTTTCGTGTAGGCAAGAAAAGCTATCCGTTAAAATGAGAACATAGCCTTACAGCAAAGAATTCAAAATAACAACATCAATACGCATCAACGTTCGCTGGAACCACAGTTGAGCTTGGCTCGTCTGGTTCGGCAAGGCTTTTGCGCACAAGCCCACAGTGACGATGGCTTAATATTAGGCAAATACCCAGATACAAATACGGTCATTCCAATAACCAGGAGCATGAGAAGGTAGGTTAGTGGTTTTCCCAGTCCACATGTTGCTACACTGTTCTCGCGCTTTCCGACTCGGTTCACCAGAAGCCCAGCTCTTGCATTCAGGAATGGAGAGATCAGACCAGATGAAACTTCTCACCCGCGCGTTCCAGATCAGTCCGATCCAAACCTGCTTCACTGAGAGTGCGCGTCTGTGAACCAGCTTCAACACAAACTCGTTTTCTTCGTCGCTGTTTATCTTCACCAGTTCCCCTCCCAGTCCTTTGCAGTACGCTTGGGCCTGGTGCCAAGTCTTGATGGAGCTGCTCACAAAGTAACAGAGGCTTTTAAACTGCATCCAGCCCCTAGGACAATGATAACCTAGAAATGTGTGAAAAGGCAAAATCAAAGTTCATTAAAGGTTCAAAAAATGTAGGTAACTGAACGATTTCAAATTAACAGTTGTTTAAATCTTTTTTCAGGGAAAATCGACACAGCGACAATCAGTTGCCACAAAAATGAAAAAGGTCACCAACAGTCTTCACCTCTAGTTCTTTAAAAATGTGAAGAAACTCGACATGGTAGAATTTAGACGTTCTTTTTTTGCTAATATAACCCGGCGAACATAAGGTTTCGAGGCCTTTGTTTACGAGAAGCTCTTTGAAACTCCTTGATTTTGTGGAAGAGTTTTCTACTTTCCATCGCAATTTGCTCTGTTCATTTATCCCACTTGTTGGAATGTTGGAAAGATAGCACCGACGAAAACGTGAAAAAAATTGATTTACTGAGTAAACAAGTTAGCCAAGTTTTCATTTCTGACCAATCAGCAACAGCATTGATGAAAGCGCGCAAAAACTCGACTCACGTCTGTCTGTCACGCATTCTCGTTATAAGTAGCCAAGCGTGCCTATTTTATACTCCTCGAGTTGAATAACAAATCTCTTATTGGACGGTTTAGTGTGTAGTATCGTGGGATATTTTTACTCGTCTCTTGTATTTTGACTCGCCCTACGGGCTCGCCAAAATACAGCGTGACTCTTAAAAACATCCCACGACACTACACATTAAAGCGTCCAATAAGACAATCATAATACTGTAAAACAATCATGCACTTTATTTCATACTGGTAATTTAAAGCACGTTGTAAGTCCTGCATTGTGACAGTTTACTAGATATTTTGTAGGACTTCTCGCAATAACTTTGTTTGAGAATTATTTAAGATATTGGATAATACTAACAGTTATGAAGTTGTTATTCAAAGTATACTGTTAAGTTTGTTTACTGCAGTTTAAGTTAGCCTGCATAAAGTTTTATTCGTCCGCCTTGCAGTCGCCTTCGTCTTAAAAACTGAGGGCCTTTAACGTTAGAGCATAGATGGTAAACGTTGCAGCTGTACAACAGTGAAGTTATAGATGCACTTGCGAGGTGCTAAGCAAGAAAGAAGCGTAAGAGAGCAACTCCTGCTTTTTAACTTTAGCTAAAACTGCAACCCATTCATGTGGTGTTCACTGAACTACTTACACAAGTACAATACTATCTCTCTGCTACATTCACTGGCAAAGAAAACACCAATTCAACACTGCTGGCTTCAGTAAAGTCCAGAGCTGCTTTTATACTCAAATCTATATCAGAGCTTTTCCAGTCCCCTTCTTTAATGTTTTTTTATTCTCTGAAAGTCACTTCTTTTCTGTTTTGTGAATTTTCAACAATGGCAGGATTAAGTTTCATGTTGGACGAGTCATACTGTTCCCAGAATTCCAAAGGCGACCTGTGCATTACAGAATATACAACCAATTGCAATAGTGGGAATATGTCACGAGGATATTGCTGTTTTAGGTCAATTCTGTGCTTAAGTCATTCATTAGAATGCATTTCTAGAGAACTAAAATTACTCTGGATAGCCTAAAAAGTGTTTTCAATGTATTTAAGAGGAAACCGTCGTTGGGTGCCCCCGGGTTATGAAGAAGATAGCAAACAATGTTCACCACGAAGCACTAATTATGGCAAATTTTGTAGTAATTATTCCAGGCATAGCATTTAAACTTGAAAAGTTGATCCAACTTTTTCAAGTTTCAATGCATGTCCGTTCTTGACGACAGGAAACAGCTTTTTTAATAATAAATTTGACCATTATTTTTGGAATTTAATTGATGTGAAAAACGTTTTAGCTTTGTAAAAAGAAACTAATAAATAGTGTGACATAACCCCTTCAAACAATGCTAAAAGGAAAAATAAATAAGGGAAATAGCTAAATAGGAATTAATCAGGCTTTCTAATACACCACTATAGGGTGCATTCCTTTCCAGCACAAGCGTCTTAAAGGCGAAAAAAATGCAAATGCAACGGCTGTATGCCTATATTGTAAATGAATGCATACTAGACTGGTTCACTAGTAAGCCTGATTAATTCCTATCTAGTGGCTTTCCACATTTTTCATTTTTCCTTTTAGTATTTCTCTATGGCTATGTTATTGTGACGTGGAAGAGTTTATTACTGAGGCTCGGTTTAAAACGTCGTATTTCACATGTGCCAAATCTATTACAATTTAGCGATAACAATAGCATTGAATTGGGCACAGGTGAAATGCGACATTTGAACCGGGCCTTGAGATCAACGTAGGTTAACGTTTTGATGTTGGTTCCATTATCACTAGACTACACGCCCCCCGTTATGAAACGTTGGATAACGCTAACTACCAGATAAAATCACTACCCAGTGGATAGGTAATAGGAAAAGTAATTGCGTTATGCACTGGATAGTGATTTATCCGGTGGATAGCGATGTCTACCTTTCGAACTACATGGCTTACATACAGTTTGTTCGTTTCATCGTTCAACACAAATGATTAAGTTACCTTACATTCTCGTCATAGTAGCCAACTGTCCTTTGCTAGGCGCTCCCTCGGCCACGTGATGAACCGCGATCCTCACCGCTGGATGATAGTGTTCAGTTTCCAACAGAGCTAGTTCGCAGGCTGTCGTGCTGTCAGCATTATTCAACTCAGCTCTGGGTCATTGACATCAGGTCGAAACAAATCAGTACCCATGCTCTCACTGTCGAGTATTGCTTACACTTTAGCAGGAGACTAGAAAGGAGGAAAATCGAATAGGTGAGGTAAATAACTGGAGTAACTGTGGAGCAAAGAAATCATTTTACACTACAAACGTTGTAATGAGACTCGAGGATTTTCTGGAAAATGTTTATGCAATACCTTCCTCGGCATAATGAACGAATGTCGAGCCAGCGAGAAATACCGCATCCCTAAAGTATACTGGCCTTTACGAGCTAAACGACCTGATTATGTTCTTGATTACCACGACGGTTTATATGGTATCAACTTTGCCTCAATCTCTAGAGAGATTTCTTAGTAATCAAAAGCGCATCCGTTTAATGACGTTGTAGCCGAAAGAAGTGGAAGTTGCTTCACGTTAGGATGCAACTGCACAAGGAGCCTGTAAAATAGTTGGGTCTCCTCGTTTCTCCTCCTCGGTTTCCAGTATTAAAGTGACAACGCTTTTGCATATGACCATAGTGTTCTGGTTACCAGGGTTACAAGTAACCAGATCCAATAGGTTTTTATCAATTTTTCTCCACGCAAATGGGAACACCGAAGAGGTTTCAGCCTTAACAATGGCTTAATAGCTTACGAAATGAGCCATTTTACAGTTATGGATGGGAGTGAGGCTGATGGTGACCTTGTTTTGATACAAACCTTCCTGCTTATTATGTAAATCAAGTTATTCTTCAGTTCTAACTAGTATTTTCAAGGACAATTTCCATAACAAAGCAAAGGAGGTTTGTATCAAAACAAGGTCAACCTCAGCCCCACATTCTCTCAGAGGCTAGGGTACTAAGTCCACAACTGAAAAACGGTCAGTTGGTTGGGAAAACAATGAACAAACACAAGTTAACAATGGAACCTAGCCCGTAAAAAGAAGAACTGCGACATATAGGGGGTGAATTTAATGAGAGGCAGTGAAAAGGTGCAATACTACTGAACAGCTGAGTTGAAGCGAAACATTTTGCTTTTACCAACCCGTTCAGTCTCTATAAAATGTACTCCAGTCTGCAGCCAGAAGGAATTAAACTGTCGATTAAAGGAAGAGAACCAACATCAAAATTGATGAAACGACTAGCCTGCGCAACAGATGGAAATAGACTTCTGGTTAAGTTGGTATCTGAGAGAGCGCCGAAATCCCTACTGTGGGCCCCACCTGTGTACCAGGATTTGAGTACGCGCCATGATTGCCCAGTTAAAACGAGAGCCATACTCAATCTGCCAATCAAGTTGAAAGAAAATTCGAAACACACTTCCGGTAGTTCGTTGAGTTCATTAGGCGCCTAGAACAAGTCAATGGGCTCTGGTTCGCAGACGTTACTAACCAGGGGTAGATTACGTCTCCGACGTATGCTATCAAACAAATGACTTAAGTCGGACCGGAGTTCCAACCCAAGCCCCAATGGTGGAAAGTAAATATGCAATGACCGCGTGGAATATCCAATAAACACTTGAGAGAACAAAAAAGGAACAAGAGCTGAAACATGACTGGCTTGGTTTGCATTACCTAAGGACAGAGAGCAATAAATGTGAACGGACATTAATGCAAAACAAAAATTGATATATTCTGCTTTTCGTAGATATCAATGATGCCGTATAAAAAGGACAACCATAAGGGACCTTAAGCAACGACGACGGCAACGGCAACGAAAACTTCATCCAAAAAAAAGAATTGGTACTGTCTTGAAATTTAATCGCTCTTATTCCAACTCTTCCAGTTAGTCTCGCTTGCGTAAGCATAACAACAATTTATTTTGTTAGTGACTTTTTTCTTTCCCGTTGCCGTCCTTTTAGTGTAAGCTCCCTAATATCATAGTCAGGCATCATAAACATGGTTTACAAGAGGTTTACGTTATTACATCGTTTACCGCAGATCTCATATAAAGAATTAAATTGCTCAACTTACTGAAAAGGAAACCTATGAAATATACCATGACAGAAAGAACAAAAGAAGGTTTACGTAAAACATCGGCATCAAAGCAACAAATATTGGAACCGAAAAAATGCAGGGAAATGCTAACGTCTTCTTTTGTTTCTCTTGAAAGTGAAGCATTTACGAAACTTGCAGTAACGAACTCAGAATCACATTCTTATATAACAACAACGTTCGCTGGTGCCGGGGTTGAGTTTGCCATCACAGTCTGGTTCGGCAAGGCTTTTGCACACCAGGCCACAGGGAGTGTGGACTAACGTTTGGCAATTACATTCATTCCAATAACCAGGAGCATGAAAAGGTAGGTTAGTAGTGCGCCCAGTCCACATGTTTCCACGCGGTTCCCGCGCTTTTCCATTCGGTTCAAGAGGAGCCCAGCTCGTGTATTTAGGAATGGAGAGATCGGACCAGATGAAGCCTCGCAAGCACGCGTTCCACCTGAGTCCGATCCAAACCTGCTTCACAGAGGGTGCACGTTTGTGAACCAGCTTCAACACAAACCCGTTTTCTTCTTCGCTGTTTATTTTCACCAGTTCTCCTCCCAGTCCTTTGCAGTATGCTTGGGCCTGGTGCCAAGACTTGATAGAGTTGCTCACAAAGTAACAGTAGCTTTTAAACTTCATCCAGCCGCTAGGACAATGGTAACCTAGAAATGTGTGAAAAGAAAAAACCAAAGTTCATTAACCCTGTAAGCCGCAATGTCCACATACAAATTCTCCAAACTGATCTCTATACATTTCCTTAAAGAATGAGTTGAGAGAATTTGATAAAAGATCAAAGCATTTTCTCTCAGGTCATCAATTTATTAATTCTTATAACCTAATCTCTGGACAATCTATGGATATGGTTAGGAGAAAATTGATGTTGGTCACCACTGGGACTTAAAGGGTTAAAGTCTCACAAAATGTAGCATCCTGCTAGCATAGCTTTTCGTTCGCTTACTCGATTTTGGTGTACACAAAAGGAGACTCTGCTAGCAGGATGCAAATGTAGCGAAGGTAAATGATTTCAAATTACTGAATGTTTAAATTAGAGTTTGAGGTGATCAAGGCAGCGAAATCCGTTGCCACAAAAATGTGAGAAGTCATGAAAAACTGACTGATGTCAAATATATATGATATGAAACAATACAAAAAAAAATTCACCCAGGATAAATAAGAACCACCACTCGTATCTTTTTTAGAGGTTTTAGACTTCTAAGCACAAGTAGAATGAGAATGCTTGGATTAAGCTGCGGCTACACCTATAATGGCGTATAGAGTTGGCTATCTAAACATGACTATTTTGGAATAAAAGGAACCGAAGAATATTTATCTAATGGAATATTTCACACAAAGCAGAAAGAAGTTAAGACTCGAAGGGAATTTGGTCGATTGATCTCCAATAGGTGAAGAGTTAATCTAACATTTACAGAGCAAAATGATTTGATGGAATTCCTTTTAAATTTAGAAACTATTTAATGGCAGCACTTCTGCATGATCACTGTTCTATTTCATTGAGCTTCAAAATGATTTGTAATTTTTCACTGCAAAAAAAAACCCAGCAAGGTCCAAAAATTCATCTTCGATGAAAAGTGGATATACGTAATTTGTTTTCAGTCACGGTAATCCAGAAACTCGCATTTAGAAATCGGTTCCCCTCCGGCGTTTTTCAAATATTGGAGGTATTGTGCTACCCGCTGAATATCTCTCACTTAACTGGCACGAGAGAGAGTGAAGACTGACTACTAAGTAAGATGAACAGGAATACAGGGGCGGATCTAGGGGGAGGGTGCAGGGGGTGCGCACCCCCCGTGATGACCTGCGGTTTTCTAATACAACTGGTTTTCTGCAAAAAAAGTGGTTTATTGGTGTTGAAGTAGAGCAAGAGACGAGTGCACCCCCTCCTAAAAAAAATCCTGGATCCGCCCATGGAATAAGTGCTAAAGAATTTAAACACGATGCTAGCAAAGTTCCCGCTGTTCCGGTTGCTGTTGCTGTTCCTGTTTATGGATAGTTTACCAGTAATATTACAACCACGAACTGATCTTACAGCTGCAAAAACTTATGCCTTAGAAAATTTTGCTCTCTTGAAAAAAGTTAACAAGATTAAACTTCAATCACCGGCTATTTTAGAGGCATCGGGTTGAAAGGTTGAGCGATTTCCTATACCAGCCTTAGACATCTAAATTTCCCCTCAAGTTTCGGAAACAACAACAAATTCCTCTAAATAGGAAATAATAAGCTTTATACAGCTACCTCATCGTTTCTCAGTTTTGGAAGCCAAGGAGATAAGCCAATGTACCGGATTCAGCGTTAGTTATTAGTTGACATGATGAGACTCTTCTTGGCCTTTGTGTGCTGTATGCTTTTCCTTTTCCCAACATGCAAATTATGAATTGTACGTTCTCTATTTAACTCTCCGCCATACTTCTTTTTTTGGCGAGAAAAAGTGGCCCTTTGCAAAAGCAGCGGATCAGATAGAAAAGACTGAGAAAACTAGAATTGAGCGCGTGAAAAACGAAGTCTACAAATGCAAAGTTGTTATTAAGATACCTTCACTGAACAAGAAAAGGTTCGAGAATTAGACTTCAAAAGCCTGGTATTTTAGAAGCATCGGGTTAATAGGTCCAACGACTTCCCCTCCCAATTTTCAACACCTATTCTCCTCAAGTTACTGAATTAGTTAGCAACGACATTCCATTGTTAGGAGAACCTCGACTTTCATGAAAGAGTTTTGAAAATATATAATATTCAGCTGTATTTCATCTGTCTCAGTTAAGCCTGGAAAGTCATAGGGCTAGGTCCAGCGTGATGTAGCCTAGGGTGCGAGAAACAAACCGTGAAACACCTCCTTTCTACTTATATTGCTTACGACCATCAAGTTATATTCTTTGGTTATCTATATCTCATTGCCACTGAATTCCGTGCATACTTAATTTTGCCATTTTGACAGACAGTATTATTTCGCGGGGTCTTATTTTTGCGATTTAAATGGGACAATATGAAAAAAAGGGCATTAAATTTCTCGATTCATGCATTTTTAACTTCATTTTGTTTTTCAAAAAGCCTGAACTTTTAAAAATTTCTAGATAAACTGAAAGAAGCAAAACGCAAATTTATTTATTTTATTTTTTGCACGAATCTAGCGATTCAGATGAAGATAATAGCTAGATTCTCTACTCCATGTGAAGTCTTTGCAAATTAACGTTATTTTACAACGGAAGGTACAAAATGGAACTTATCGGTAAGATCAATTAAGTTACTCCTGGATGGGTATTTAATTTCACGTGTTTGTATTTCGCGAGGATTTTTATTGGCGGGTCTTCAATTTCGCTAATTTTTGACAATGGCGAAAAACGCGAAAAGACCCGCTAAATTAAGTACCAATACGGTAGCACAAGGTCACTTTCTAATTATAGAAAAAAACGTCGAAAATATCATACAGTCGAACCCCGTTAATACGGACACTAAGGGGACCATAGAAAGTGTCCCTAAGCGGGTTCAATTCAGAGAACATTTAAGGGCTTTCTTTCTCCAGGGACAAAGCAAACTGTCCGTAATAATGAGGTGTCCTTATTAAGTGGGTGTCTGCAAAAAACAGGGTAGGGTTTGACTGTATTTTTAAGGCCTTTGGGTGGTGCGTAGTGTTGGCTTGAATCCAGGGCCCAGTTGTTCGAAGACCGATTAGCGCTAAACCCGAGGTTAAATTTAACCCAGGTTTCTTTTTCTAGTGTTTAAAAGCATTTTCTCGGATAATTTTCTTGTTATCTTTAAAGTTTTCAATAATCAACTTGTAGACAAAAAGAATTAAAACTGAAATGATTTTTAGGCTTTCATATCTGAATTCAAATCTCGCACTAACCCTGGGTTATCTTAACCCAACTGTGAACAACTCGGCCCAGGGGATAAAAATTGGAGCTTCCAATAACACAAATTGCTATTCTGCTTTTCGTAGACATCAGCGATGCCGTAGGAAAAGACAATCAATTATAATCTCCACTGCCACGGTGATAATTCTTGATTTTAAAACTTCCTCTTACTTACATAATTTAATATAATTCCTGATAGATGTTCCAATGTGTCTTATGTTGCACAGGTGTTTTCAATTAGTTTCTTGCGATTCCTTTGATATGCTGACACCTATTTTAATTTAAAACTTCCTATTTTTTAATGACATAATGCAATCTATGAAGTTCTAGGTATGATGATTCAAAACAATACAAACGTTTTCTTTCTCCCTTTTCTTTTTCTTCTTTTTTTCCTTATGGCAAGAGCGCTGTAGATATGCAGTAGAAACCCGCGACGTTAAGAACCTGTTAGCCTAAAATTTGTCAGTTAGGCCCCCTCTATACGTGAACCTGTTTAGCGTAAAATTTGAAAAAGGGTTCTTATTTTCTAAAATCCATGAAAAAAATGTAAATACACTTGGGCAAAAGGACTTCAAAATTCATGTGGCTAGTGCTTCAGTCTTTTCTCTCAGTCATTTTTAGATAGATAATAAATAGATTTAGCCAGGGCTAAAAGCGAAGCTCTCGATAATATGGTTTGTTGAAACAAAATTAAAATTGTGTAATGCTAAGCAGTGAAGGCAACGCCGAAGAACGGTGAAAAACAACAAAAGGTCGGTCTAATTAGCAAAATAGCAACTTTGCTCGTATAGCACACTTTTTTGTACATTTCTTTGCCGCTGTTTTGCACGACTACAACGTGAAACTTCCAGAAACTTCTCAGTTACACGTCTTATGGAGGAAATGTTGTTCGCTTTCTCGTTCACTTTTTTTTACTGCCGCTCATTTTCATCTTGTATTGGTGGCCGCTAGCATTTCTCATTTTGTCACCGCCGTTACAAAATTTTCATGTTGTTCTTCCAACAAAAAAATGTCTCCTTTGTTTTTTCTCTCTCGCTCTTAATCTCTGTCGCCCTTTTTCTCGTTGAGCTTCGCTGGCCTGCTGCCTACTTTCTCTTTTTTTCTGTGTTTCTCTTGCTCTATATTCCAAATTTGTGGACATGACAGTTAATCTAAGCTTAATAATTTAGAAAACATGAATACAGAGACAATTACCGTTTTCCATTTTCCTCATTAACTCTTCAGTTGTCTCTGCTTTACAAGACGCCGGTGGCTACGAGATTTCCCGTCAAAATAACCTCGAGTTGCATTTGGGTTACCATGCCTGTTGATTGAGTTATTTTACATTGGTATGCCTGTGGTGCGGACGGACTGTCGGGCGGACGGTGTACGGTCACGTGATTACCAAATTTTCTCGGATGGGTAGTTTACCACATTTTCTAACCCATGGTGCTCCGCTCGCGCGCTTCACACGCGAGAGCTCGGCTACTAAATAAGTATGCAGATTTTCCATAAGGAATAAGCTGAATACCACTAAATGCTCTGGGCTACCATGTTTTTTTCTTCTTCAGAAAATAAGAAGCTATTTAAGAACCTAAAAGGGCCAAATTTTCACTAATTACTATTTATGTAAGAACCTGTTTGAGCTTACTTGGAAAAATGCAGGCTCTCAGTCGCAGGTTGTTGCTGTAACTGAGATGCTTTTTGGATCTTTCAAGCGTTATTTAAATGTTTATTATTGGACGACAGTTCTTTCTTTTTCTCCACAAACCAAACCTTAAAAAGGAATTGGTTTAGTAAGCAAAACAACAACTCTTCACGTACATCGAGCTTTTTGGTATGTTCACTTTCTATATATCTTGATGCCATGGTTGCTCAGCCACGACATGAAATTCTCCAATGTGACGTTTTTTATGGACGAACGTACACACGACTTTTCTTTTTCTTTCGACACTAGACAGTCTGTGCTAGGCTGTCAGATACTAGGGAAGCCAAGTGAACATAAGACGCGTTTTTCTCATCATTTTTTACTGCATTACTCACTACTGTTTGGGAGCCTTGAACAGGCTAGACATTACAGTGCGGTTACCACTGAAATACCGTACCATGGCACCCCTTAAAAACTCACCAAAATTGACAAAATTCGGCGAGTTGGAGTTTAGCATTGCAAGGAACAGTTTAATACAACACGAATATTTTTATTAGTGACTTTTTCGTTCCCGTCGCTGACAGTCCTTTTTGTTTATGCTCCCTAATATAGTCAGAAAAAAGAGTTAAATTGTTCAGTTGACTAAAAGTAAATCTATGAAATGTACCACAACGAAAAGAACAAAACATTGTTTACACAAAATATCAGCATCAAATAGTGAAAACAATAGAAGAAATGCAAAAAAATCCAAACGTCTTATTCTATTTCTCTTGAAAGTGAAGCATATACGAAAATTGCAGTAACGAACTCAGAATCACATACTTATATTGCATCAACGTTCGCTGGTGTCAGGGGTGAGCTTGCCTCGTCTGGTTCGGCAAGGCTTTTGCACACCAGGCCACAGGGATAGTGGACTAACGTTTGACAAGGACGGTCATTCCAATAACCAGGAGCATGTTCAGGCAGAAAAGTAGTGTTCCCAGTCCACATGTTTCCACACGGTTCCCGTGCTTTTCCATTCGGCTCACGAGGAGCCCAGTTCCTGTATTTAGGAATGGAGAGATCAGACCAGATGAAACTTCTCACCCGTGCGTTCCACATCAGTCCAATCCAAACCTGCTTCACTGAGGGTGCGTGTTTGTGAACCAGCTTCAACACAAACTCGTTTTCTTCGTCGCTGTTTATCTTCACCAGTTCTCCTCCCCGTCCTTTGCAGTACGCTTGGGCCTGGTGCCAAGTCTTGATGGAGCTGCTCACAAAGTAACAGTAGCTTTTAAACTGCATCCAGCCCCTGGGACAATGGTAACCTAGAAACGTGCGAAAAGACAAAACCAAAGTTCATTAATGGTTCAGAAAATGTAGCGAAACAATTTTTTTTAAATTACCAGTTGTTTAAATTATTTTTCTTGGAACACGCAAAGGTAGCGAAATCCGTTGTCACAAAAATGTAAGGGGTCGTGACAGACCCATATTGGAGTTCTCGTATATTCTTTCGCTCAACTTTATCCTTGCCTCAAATTGTGTTTTCCTTTCTTTTTGTTTACGCCAGTATATATGACATGAAAAGAAGAAACAAAATTAACCGAGGATAAAGTGAACCACAACAGTTTTCTTCATAGCTCGTGTTTTACACGTAATTAATACTTCTATAGCGCATTTTAACATAGGCATATGGTCAAATGTACTAAGTAGAGTACAGTGAAACCTGTATTAAGCGGGGAATGCTGTAGTGTCCACTTAATACAGGGTGTCCGCCTAATACAGGTTTCGATAGATAACGTCATACGAGGTGTCAAATGCCATTCAAATGAAGTGTGGAAACGTTTACAATGCTCCCAGAGACTATGACGATATTAATTTCTTTATCAAAGTGAACCAATTGATCATAGTACCATGAACAAAGATTGCAATTCAAATTTGAAGAAATAAGATGAGTGAAACAAGCTCTATACAAACAAAACATAATAGACAACAATACAGTACGATGAAACTAATCAAATAAGTTCGTCAAGTCAAGTTTTTAAATGTAAAAATCGAAAAATTTGTGGGTGGCAATTCGAGGCAATCTTTCGTATTTCCAGTGTCTGGCATGTTGGAGGGTGGAATTTAATTACAAGTGTCCGTTTAATACAGGTTGCCAACGAAATGACCATTTCAGGTACTTTTTAGGTGTCCGCGTCCGCTTAATAAAGGTGTCCGCTTAATGAGGGTTTCATTTAAAGTAGATAAGGAAAATAAATTTTGGGACTTCGGCTACTGTCCGCTTAATAGAGGGTGTCCGCTTAATACGGTGTCCGCTTAATACAGGATTCACTGTACGTACCTTAAGGCGCATAGAGTTGCCTATCTAAATGGACCAACTATTTTGAAACAAAAGAGGTTGTTGAATTTTTATAGAATGCAACATTTCGCGCAAAGAAGAAAGAAACTGAAACTCTAAGAGAGTTTTGTCGACGGATCTCAGATCTGGTGTACAAAGCAAAACGATTTGACGAAATTCTTTTTAATTAACAAACTTTTTTTGAGAATTATTGATAATTGATCTATTTTTTCGCAGTTTGAAATATTTTTTAAACTTTCCACTGCTTAAAAATAAGGAAGGTAAAGAAGAAAGAAATTTGCACTTTTCTTTCCTATAAAGTCCGAAAATTTCATGCAAGAATCACAGCGATAAACAATTTTTTTTTTGAGTTAGAGCTTTCAAAAGCTGTTTCAGTAACACGCATGGAAATCGTAAAAACCCTGATAATTTGTTCTATTTGCTTTAATTTGAATCATACATGTTGGGTACAAGGTGATTTAATCCGAGCATTACGTCGTTTGAACGAGAAACTCTCTGAACAGCCAAACAGCTTGTAGTTCGCACAGATCAAGATTGATCTTGCTCACGGCTATCGGTTAAAGCCAAAAATATTTCAAAACAACAGAAAAGTCAGCTCTTCAGCAAAATAAGAAAACGAGGATAAACAGGCCTCACGTAAGAGGTACAATGTACTCTGCCATCGCTAAACGACACGAATCCGCTGAATCCGCTAACACAGCCTAACGCTCAAATCATCTGCTCAGTCCCTTTTTGTATCTTAGGTGCATGCCTCTGAGGGTTCCGCAAACTTATAGCTGTTGAAACCAACATTTGGCATTATGCTTTCCTAACGAATGCTCCAAAAGGCACAATTTCTTTTGGACCTACCTTCTTAGCTTTTTCTTAACTGGAGAGAACGCACAAAAAAAAACTGAAATTGAGAACACCACTGAGGCAGAGTTTACTTTAATACCGTGCACTACATATATTTAGACATTAAATAATCGCTTATAAAAATGCCCTGAATCTTTCAGATCTCGGAAATTTATTTTGCTACTTGCTCGATTAAACCAAATTTGCCACATGACTATTTTTGCTAACTTCTTTACCCTAGTTTCGCATTTGAAACGAAAACCTACAGTTGTATTTAAATAATTGCTTACCAGACACGCACGAAATCGCAAGAAAGAGAGGTAGAACTACTGAAAGCACTTTCATCTCGGCAGATCCAGTCCGGCGTTTTTCAAATCTCTGGAACTTGGAAATATTTTCTCTCACAGTTAAGGCGGCCTTTAACTGGCACGAGAGTGAAGAACGACTGAGTAATAAAGATATCACCAGAAAGAAACAAGAGCTAGAGAATTTAAACACAATGCTGGCGAATGTCCTGTTCCGGTTCCTGTTCCTGTTTACGAATTTTTGCTGATACTTGTGATACTCTTTAAAAAATTTTATTTACGAGGCAACGGGTTAAAAGGTCCAACGACTTACCTTCCTCGCCCCGGATATCTATTCCTCTCGATCGAGTTACTATCCTGCGGGCATAGGTTTCTCTCTTGCATGGCTTTTAGCGTTTACGAAGTCGTTCGCGAGGCTTAAGTTTCTCACAGGGCGTAAACGAACCAACCACGCGACAGACAAGCCACGCGAATGACTTCGTAAACGCTTAAAGCCATGGAAGATAGAAACCGCAAGGTACTGAGTTACGGCCGAATGAACATCAAATCATTTTCAATCGGAAAATTTGGTTTTAATAATAAATATAAGTCGCAAAAGCTAGATACAGCTGTTTCTCATTGGGTCTCAGTCTCGGCAGCCACCAAAAAAAAAATCTTTGGACCGGGTCAAGCGTAAATTATTAGTTGATGAGACTCAGTCGCGTGACTTACGTTCTTCCTAACAGGAAGTATGTGTTTCATTTCCCCGCCAAACCTCTTATCTTTGCAAGAAAGGGTGGCCCTTTGCAAAGGCAACGGATAAGAGAAAAGTAAAAACTAGAATTGAGCACGTGGAAAGAAATAGTCGTCTACATCCACAAAGTTGTTATTAAGAGGAAAAAAACTTCACTGAACAATAGAAGATTTAACAAATTAGACTTCAAACTCCTCTTACTTTAGTGGCATCCGGTCAAAAGGTCCAACGTCTTCGCGTTACGTCCCTGGACATCTATTCTCCTCAAGTTACTGAATTAGTTATCAACACCTTCCTTTGTTGATTAGGAGGATTTCGACTTTTATTAAACGAGTTTTTATTCTTATATTGAATATACATAATATTCAGCTGTATTTCAACCTTTTCCAAATTCTTGAAGCCACGAAAGTAAGACCGCCAGATTGAACCTAAGGATCTAGAAACAAACCGTAGAACACCTTTTTTCTACGTATATTGGTAACGACCACCGAGGTTATACGATCGCATTCTTTCGGCACTTTATGCACACGGCCGCTTTTATTTATTTATAATCTCTATTGCTACGGTGATTATTCTTGATTTTAAAACTTCCTCTTAATTACATAATTTAATGTAATTCCTGATAGATGTTCCAATGTGTCTTATGTTGCACAGGTGTTTTCAATTAGTTTCTTGCGATTCGTTTGATATGCTGGTACCTGTTTTAATTTAAAACTTCCTACTTTTTAATGACATAATGCAATCTATGAAGTTCTAGGTATGATGATTCAAACGTTTTCTTTTTCTTCTTTCTTTCCTTATGGCAAGAGCGCTGTAGATATGCAGTAGAAACCCGCGACGTTAAGAATCTGTTAGCCTAAAATTTGTCAGTTATAGGCCCCCTCTATACGTGAACCTGTTTAGCGTGAAATTTGAAAAAGGGTTCTTATTTTCTAAAAAAATTTAAATACACTTCGGCAAAAGGACTTCAAACTTCATGTGGTCAGTGCTTCAGTCTTTTCTCTCAGTCATTTTTAGGTAGATACAATTAAGTATGTAGATTTTCTATAAGGAACAAGCTGCTACCATACTTTTGTTTTTCTTCAGAAAATAACAACCTATTAGGAACCTAAATAGGCTAAATTTGTCCTAATTATTATTTATGTAAGAACCTGTTTGAGCTTTACTGTAACTGAGATGTTTTTTTGGATCTTTCAAGCGTTATTTAAATGCTTATTATTGGACAACAGTTCTTTCTTTTTCTCCACAAACCAAACCTTAAAAAGGAATTGGTTTAGTAAGCAAAACAACAACTCTGCACGCACATCGTGCTTCTTGGTATGTTCACTTTCTATCTTGATGCCATGGTTGCCCAGTCGCGACATGAAATTTTCCAATGTGACGTTTTTATGGAGGAAAGCACACACGACGTTTCTTTTTCTTTCGACACTAGACAGTGTGTTCTAGGCTCTCAGATACTAGGGAAGCCAAGTGAAAATAAGACACGTTCTTGTCATCATTTTTTACTGCATTACTGCACTACTGTTTTGGAGCCTTGAACAGGCTAGACATTACAGTGCGGTTACCAAAATACCGTACCATGCGCTCCCCTTAAAAACTCACCAAAATTGACAAAATTCGGCGACTTGGAGTTTAGTATCGCAAGGAACCGTTTAATACAACACAAATTTATTTTATTAGTGACTTTTTCGTTCCCGTCGCTGATTGTCCTTTTTGCTTAAGCTCCTTAATATAGTCAGAAATCATAAACCAGGCAGGCTTAAACAAAATCTTCACCGCAGATCTCGTAAAGAGAGTTTAACTGTTCAGCTGACTAAAGGTAAATCTATGAAATATACCATAAACAAAAGAACAAAAGATTGGTTACACAACATATCAGCATCAAATAGTGAAAACAATAGAAGAAATGCAAAGAAATCCAAACGTCTTATTCTATTTCTCTTGTAAGTGAAGCATATACGAAAATTACCGAACCGAACTCAGAATAACATTCTTATATTGCATCATCGTTTGCTAGAGGTGAGCTTGCCTCGTCTGGTTCGGCAAGGCTTTTGCACACCAGGCCACAGGGAAAACGGGGCATCAGTTGGCAAATACGGTCATTCCAATAACCAGGAGCATGTGTAGGCAGAACTGTAGTGTTCCCAGTCCACATGTTTCCACACGGTTCCCGTGCTTTTCCATTCGGCTCACGAGGAGCCCAGTTCCTGTATTTAGGAATGGAGAGATCGGACCAGATGAAGCCTCGCACGCGCGTGTTCCACTGAAGTCCAATCCAAATCATCGACACTGATGGTGCACGTTTGTTCAACACAAACTCGTTTTCTTCGTCGCTGTTTATCTTCACCAGTTCTCCTCCCAGTCCTTTGCAGTACGCCTGGGCCTGGTCCCAAGTCTTGATGGAGCTGCTCACAAAGTAACAGTAGCTTTTAAACTGCATCCAGTCCCTGGGACAATGGTAACCTAGAAATGTGTAAAGACAAAACCGAAGTTCATTTATGGTTTACAAAATGTAGCGAAGCAATGATTTCAAATTACCAGTTGTTTAAATTTCTTTTCGTGGAATCCGCAAAGGTAGCGAAATCCGTTGCCACAAAAATGTAAGGGGTCGTAACAGACGCATATCTGGTTTCCCGAGTATTCTTTCGCTCAACTTTATCCTTGCCTCAAATTGTGTTCTCCTTTCTTTTTGTTTACGACAGTATATATGACATGAAAAGAAGAAACAAAATTAACCGAGGATAAAGTGAACCACAACAGTTTTCTTCACAGCTCATGTTTTACACGTATTTAATACTTCTATAGCGCATTTTAACATAGGCATATGGTTAAATGTACTAAGCAGAGTACGTACATAAAGGCGCATACCGTTGCCTATCTAAATGGACCAACTATTTTGAAACGAAAGAGATTGTTTATCTGGTGTACAAAGCAAAACGATTTGACGAAATTTTTTAAATTATCAAACTGTTTCAAGGGAGAATTATTGATAATTCATACATTTTTTCGCAGTTTGAAATGTTTTTTTAACTTTCCACTGCGTAAAAATAAGGAAGGTAAAGAAGAAGGAAATTTGCACTTTTCTTTCCCATAAAGGTCCGAAAATTTCATGCTAGAATCACAGCGATAAGCAACTTTTTTTTTGAGTTAGAGCTTTCAAAAGCTTTTTCAGTAACACGCATAGAAATCGTAAAACCCTGACAATTTGATCTATATGCTTTAATGTGAATCATACATGTTGGGTACAAGGTGATTTAATCCGAGCGTTACGTCGTTTGAACAAGAAACTCTCTGAAGAGCCAAACAGCTTGTAGTTCGCACAGATCAAGATTGATCTTGCTCACGGCTATTGGCTAAAGCCATTAATATTTCAAAACAACAGAGAAGTCAGCTCTTCAGCAAAATAAGAAAACAAGGATAAACAGGCTTCACGTAACTGGTACAAGGCACTCTGCCATCGCTAAACGACGCGAATCAGCTGAACCCACTAACACAGCCTAACGCTCAAATCATCTGCTCAGTCGCTTTGTGTAACTAAGGAGCATGCCTCTGAGGGTTCCGCAAACTTATAGCCGTTGAAACCAACATTTTGCATTATGCTTTCCTAACGAATGCTCCAAAAGGCACAATTTCTTTTGGACCTACCTTCCTAGCTTTTTCTTAACTGGAAAGAACGCACAAAAAAAAAAACTGAAATTGAGAACAGCACTGAGGCAGAGTTTACTTTAATACCGTGCACTAAATATATTTAGACATTAAATAATCGCTTATAAAAATGCCCTGAATCTTTCAGATCTCTGAAATTTATTTTGCTACTTGCTCGATTAAACCAAATTTGCCACATGACTATTTTTGCTAACTTCTTTACCCTAGTTTCGCATTTGAAACAAAAGCTACAGTTGTATTTAAATAATTGCTTACTAGACACGCACGAAATCGCGAGAAAGAGAGGTAGAACTACTGAAAGCACTTTCATCTCGGCAGATCCCGTCCCGCGTTTTTCAAATCTCTGGAACTTGGAAATATTTTCTCTTACAGTTAAGCCGGCCTTTACTGAACTGGCACGAGAGTGAAGAACGACTAAGTAATAAAGATATTGCCGGAAAGAAACAAGAGCTGGAGAATTTAACACAATGCTGGCAAAGGTCCTGTTCCGGTTGCTGTTCCTGTTCATCAATTTTTGCGATTAAGAAATTTTATTTACGAGACAGCGGATTAAAAGGTCCAACGACTTCCCTTCCTCGCCCTGGATATCTATTCCTCTCGATCGAGTTACTATCCTGAGCGCATAGGTTTCTCTGTTGCATGCTTTTAGCGTTTACGAGGTCTTTTCGCGAGGTTTAAGTTTCTCACAGGGCGTAAACGAACCAACCACGCGACAGACAAGCCACGCGAATGACTTCGTAAACGCTAAAAGCTATGCAAGGAGAAACCTCTCTTCGCATGGTACTTATTTACGACCGAATGAACATCAAATCATTTTCAATCGGAAAATTTAGTTTTAATAATAAATAACAGGGGCACCCAATAGATGTGTTCCTCAAAATATCTGTTTTTCAGGCAAATTTTTGCTGGCTGGGAGATTTGGACAAAATAATATGTCCTTGGAAATTGGAAAATTGTGGGTGTTTGAGGTGCTAGCTACTGCGCGCTATCTGTCAGAAACCTCTTAGCACTTCCAACCCCCCCCCCCCTCACCCCCACTGAAGGGGTGAATGTAGCCCTTAGATCACACCCAATTTCCTATCAAACCCCTTCCCTCCCCCCGAAGGGCTGAATTTTGCCCTATGGCCTACGTCTGTTGGGAAACTTCCCAGTAAGTCAGGTTGTAGGTGGAAGGTGCACCTTGCTGGCTGGGAACCTCTTCATCAGTCTTGCCGGCAGTGAGGAACAGATAAATTTTCCCAGCAATCTCCCAAAATGCTTAAAATAGCTTCAGACATCTTTATTTATGCTTTTTTTTTTGTTGTTTTTAGGTCTTTTTCTCAAAATTTTCTGTTGGTTGCCCCTGAAATAAGAGTCGTAAAAGCTAGATACAGCTGTTTCTCATTGTGTCTCAGTCAGTTGGCAGCAACGAAAAAAAAAATCTTTGGACCGGGTCAAGCGTAAATTATTAGTTGATGAGACTCTAAGTTACGTGATGTACGCTCTTCCTAACGTGAAAACTACATCAGCTGTATGCATGTGTTTCATTTTCCCCGCCAAACCTCTTATCTTTGCAAGAAAGGGTGGCCCTTTGGAAAGGCAACGACGGATAAGAGAAAAATAAAAACTAAAATTGAGCACGTGGAAAGAAATAGTCGTCTACATGCACAAAGTTGTTATTGAGAGGAAAAATAACTTCATTGAACTATAGAAGATTTAACAACTTCGACTTCAAACTCCTGTTACTTTAGTGGCATCCGGTCAAAAGGTCCAACGTCTTCCCCTTACGTCCTTGGACATCTATTCCCCTCAAGTTACTGAATTAGTTACCAACACCTTCCTTTGTTGATTAGGAGAATTTCGACTTTTATTAAACGAGTTTTTATTCTTATATTGAATATACATAATATTCAGCTGTATTTCAACCTTTTCCAAATTCCTGAAGCCACGAAAGTAAGCCCGCCAGATTGAACCTTATGATCTAGAAACAAACCGTGGAACACCTTTTTTCTACGTATATTGGTAACGACCACCGAGGTTATACGATCGCATTCTTTCGGCACTTTATGCACACGGCCGCTTTTATTTATTTATAATCTCCATTGCTACGGTGATAATTCTTGATTTTAAAACTTCCTCTTAATTACTATAATTCCTGATAGATGTTCCAATGTGTCTTATGTTGCACAGGTGTTTTCAATTAGTTTCTTGCGATTCCTTTGATATGCTGGTACCTGTTTTAATTTAAAACTTCCTACTTTTTAATGACATAATGCAATCCATGAAGTTCTAGGTATGATAATACAAACGTTTTCGTTTTCTTCTTTTTTTCCTTATGGCAAGAGCGCTGTAGATATGCAGTAGAAACCCGCTACGTTAAGAACCTGTTAGCCTAAAATTTGTCAGTTATAGGCCCCCTCTATACGTGAACCTGTTTAGCGTGAAATTTGAAAAAGGGTTCTTATTTTCTAAAATCAGAAAAAAAAATTAAATACTCTTCGGCAAAAGGACCTCAAAATTCACATTGTGGTCAGTGCTTCAGTCTTTTCTCTCAGTCATTTTTAGATAGATACCAATTAAGTATGCAGATTTCCTATAAGGAACAAGCTGCTACCATACTTTTTTTTTTCTTCAGAAAATAACAACCTATTAAGAACCTAAATAGGCTAAATTTGTCCTAATTATTATTTATGTAAGAACCTGTTTGAGCTTTACTGTAACTGAGATGTTTTTTTGGATCTTTCAAGCGTTATTTAAATGCTTATTATTGGACAACAGTTCTTTCTTTTTCTCCACAAACCAAACCTTAAAAAGGAATTGGTTTAGTAAGCAAAACAACAACTCTGCAAGCACATCGTGCTTTTTGGTATGTTCACTTTCTATCTTGATGCCATGGTTGCCCAGCCACGACATGAAATTCTCCAATGTGACGTTTTTATGGAGGAAAGCACACACGTTTCTTTTCTTTCGACACTAGACAGTCTGTGCTAGGCTCTCACATACTCAAAAAGCCAAGTGAAGATAAGACGCGTTTTTCTCATCAATTTTTACTGCATTACTGCACTACTATTTTGGAGCCTTGAACAGGCTAGACATTACAGTGCGGTTACCAAAATGCCATGCGCTCCCCTTAAAAACTCACTAAATTTGACAAAATTCGGCGACTTGGAGGTTAGTATCGCAAGGAACCGTTTAATACAACGTAAACACGAATTTATTTTATTAGTGACTTTTTCGTTCCCGTCGCTGATTGTCCTTTTTGTTTAATCTCTCTAATTTAGTCAGAAATCATAAACCAGGCAGGCTTAAACAAAATCTTCACCGCAGATCTCGTAAAAAGAGTTTAATTGTTAAGCTGACTAAAAGTAAATCTATGAAATATACCACAACGAAAAGAACAAAAGATTGTTTACACAAAATATCAGCATCAAATAGTGAAAACAATAGAAGAAATGCAAAGAAATCTAAACGTCTTATTCTATTTCTCTTGAAAGTGAAGCATATTCGAAAATTGCAGTAACGAACTCAGAATCACATTCTCATATTGCATCATCGTTTGCTAGTGTCAGAGGTGAGCTTGCCTCGTCTGGTTCGGCAAGGCTTTTGCACACCAGGCCACAGGGAAAACGGGGCATCAGTTGGCAAATACGGTCATTCCAATAACCAGGAGCATGTGTAGGCAGAACTGTAGTGTTCCCAGTCCACATGTTTCCACACGGTTCCCGTGCATTTCCATTCGGTTCCCAAGGAGCCCAGTTCCTGTATTTAGGAATGGAGAGATCGGACCAGATGAAGCCTCGCACGCGCGCGTTCCACTGAAGTCCAATCCAAATCATCGACACTGATGGTGCACGTTTGTGAACCAGCTTCAACACAAACTCATTTTCTTCGTCGCTGTTTATCTTCACCAGTTCTCCTCCCAGTCCTTTGCAGTACGCCTGGGCCTGGTGCCAAGTCTTGATGGAGCTGCTCACAAAGTAACAATAGGTTTTAAACTGCATCCAGCCCCTGGGACAATGGTAACCTAGAAATGTGTGAAAAGACAAAACCAAAGTTCATTTATGGTTCAAAAAATGTAGCGAAGCAATGATTTCAAACTACCAGTTGTTTAAATTATTTTTCGTGGAATCCGCAAAGGTAGCGAAATCCGTTGCCACAAAAATGTAAGGGGTCGTAACAGACGCATATTGGGTTTCCCAAGTATTCTTTCGCTCAACTTTATCCTTGCCTCAAATTGTGTTCTCCTTTCTTTTTGTTTACGCCAGTATATATGACATGAAAAGAAGAAACAAAATTAACCGAGGATAAACTGAACCACAACAGTTTTCTTCATAGCTCGTGCTTTACACGTATTTAATACTTCTATAGCGCATTTAACATAGGCATATGGCTAAATGTACTAAGTAGAGTACGTAAATAAAGGCGCATACAGTTGCCTATCTAAATGGACCAACTATTTTGAAACAAAAGAGATTGTTTATCTGGTGTACAAAGCAAAACGATTTGACGAAATTTTTTAAATTATCAAACTGTTTCAAGGGAGAATTATTGATAATTCATCTATTTTTTCGCAGTTTGAAATATTTTTTTTAACTTTTCACTGCATAAAAATAAGGAAGGTAAAGAAGAAAGAAATTTGCACTTTTCTTTCCCATAAAGTCCGAAAATTTCATGCTAGAATGACAGCGATAAGCAACTTTTTTTTGAGTTAGAGCTTTCAAAAGCTTTTTCAGTAACACGCATAGAAATCGTAAAACCCTGACAATTTGATCTATATGCTTTAATGTGAATCATACATGTTGGGTACGAGGTGATTTAATCCGAGCGTTGCGTCGTTTGAACGAAAAACTCTCTGAACAGCCAAACAGCTTCTAGTTCGCACAGATCAAGATTGATCTTGCTCACGGCTATCGGTTAAAGCCAAAAATATTTCAAAACAACAGAAAAGTCAGCTCTTCAACAAAATAAGACAACGAGGATAAACAGGCTTCAAGTAAGTGGTACAATGCACTCTGCCATCGCTAAGCGACGCGAATCCGCTGAATCCGCTAACACAGCCTAACGCTCAAATCATCTGCTCAGTCGCTTTGTGTATCTAAGGTGCATGCCTTTGAGGGTTCCGCAAACTTATAGCTGTTGAAACCAACATTTTGCATTATGCTTTCCTAACGAATGCTCCAAAAGGCACAATTTCTTTTGGACCTACCTTCCTAGCTTTTTCTTAACTGGAAAGAACGCACCAAAAAAAAAATTGAAATTGAGAACAGCACTGAGGCAGAGTTTACTTTAATACCGTGCACTAAATATATTTAGACATTAAATAATCGCTTATAAAAATGCCCTGAATCTTTCGGATATCTAAAATCTATTTTGCTACTTGCTCGATTAAACCAAATTTGCCACATGAAGTTTTTTTGCTATCTTCTTTATCCTAGTTTCGCATTTGAAACAAAAGCTACAGTTGTATTTAAATAATTGCTTACCAGAAACGCACGAAATCGCGAGAAAGAGAGGTAGAACTACTGAAAGCACTTTCATCTCGGCAGATCCCGTCCCGCGTTTTTCAAATCTCTGGAACTTGGAAATATTTTCTCTCACAGTTAAGGCGGCCTTTTAACTGGCACGAGAGTGAAGAACGACTAAGTAATAAAGATATCGCCGGAAAGAAACAAGAGCTGGAGAATTTAAACACAATGCTGGCAAAGGTCCTGTTCCGGTTGCTGTTCCTGTATATGAATTTTTGCGATTAAAAAATTTTATTTACGAGGCAGCGGGTTAAAAGGTCCAACGACTTCCCTTCCTCGCCCTGGATATCTATTCCTCTCGATCGAGTTACTATCCTGAGGGCATAGGTTTCTCTGTTGCATGGCTTTTAGCGTTTACGAGGTCGTTCGCGAGGCTTAAGTTTCTCACAGGGCGTAAACGAACCAACCACGCGACAGACAAGCCACGCGAATGACTTCGTAAACGCTAAAAGCCATGCAAGAGAGAAACCTCTCTTCGCAAGGAACTGAGTTACGGCCGAATGAACATCAAATCATTTTCAATCGGAAAATTTGGTTTTAATAATAAATATAAGTCGTAAAAGCTAGATACAGCTGTATCTCATTGTGTCTCAGTCAGTTGGCAGCCACCAAAAAAAAATCTTTGGACCGGGTCAAGCGTAAATTATTAGTTGATAAGACTCTCAGTCACGTGATGTACGCTCTTCCGAACATGAAAACTAGATCAGCTGTATGTGTTCTATTTTCCCCGCCACGCTTCTCATCTTTGCAAGAAAGTGTGGCCCTTTGCAAAGGCAACGGATAAGAGAAAAGTAAAAACTAGAATTGAGCACGTGGAAAGAAATAGTCGTCTGCATGCACAAAGTTGTTATTAAGAGGAAAAAAACTTCACTGAACAATAGAAGGTTTAACAAATTAGACTTCAAACTCCTGTTACTTTAGTGGCATCCGGTCAAAAGGTCCAACGTCTTCCCCTCACGTCCTTGGACATCTATTCTCCTCAAGTTACTGAATTAGTTACCAACACCTTCCTTTGTTGATTAGGAGAATTTCGACTTTTATTAAACGAGTTTCTATACTTATATTGAATATACATAATATTCAGCTGTATTTCAACCTTTTCCAATTTCTTGAAGCCACGAAAGTAAGCCCGCCTGATTGAGCCCAAGGATCTAGAAACAAACCGTGGAACACCTTTTTTCTACGTATATTGGTAACGACCACCGAGGTTATACGATCTCATTCTTTCGGCACTTTATGCACACGGCCGCTTTTATTTATAAAAAACGTCGAGCTAATATCATTATATTTTAAAGGCCTTTGGGTGGTGTGTGGTTTTGGCTGAATCCAGAGGGGTAACATGATATATATTGTGAAAGGTTTGAACCCAGGCGGGAGTCATTTCAAAAGTAGGTTGAGATTGATCGTCCGGGTGAACGTAGTCCTGAATAGGACTGTTGTTGTTGACAGTGACTAACGTTTCGACAACCTGTGCGGTAGTCATCTTCAGAGTCAAAGTGAGTTGTATCACGTCGGTTGATGGTATTATACTCTGGTAATTGATCTGATTGGTCTGATTGGTCTGGTATATTTTATAATACTTTGAAATGATGCAATATTTAATACCGGTGAATTAAAGCACGTTGCAAGTCCTGCATTGTTACAGTTTACTAGATATTTTGTCGGACCTCTCGCAATGACTTTGCTTAAGTGAAAACTTAAGATAATACTGATTGTTATAACGTTGTTACTATAAGGATACTAATATTTTGTTTACTTCAAGTTAGCCTACATAAAAGCATGAGCAGGGCGAGACGAACGCGGCATTTTGCGCGAAGCGCGAGACGAGGGAAATTTTTACTCGGGTAAACTTTACCAAGGTGTTACACGCAAATTTATAGTCTTAGAATTTATGGTCATTAAAACAACTATAATATATTTCTGGTTAACTTGCTCTCTCATTTTTTCTTTTCTTTTTAATTCATTTTCTCCCCCTCTCGTCTCACAATTCGTGCTCGTCTCGCGCTTCGCGCAAAAAGCTAGCTTCGCCTCACGTCGCTCATCGTTATGGAGGCTAACTTCAAGGGTTTTTCGTCCTTGTAGTCGCTCTCGTCTTAAGAGGGAGCTTTAGCGTCGACGACGGCAACTGCAGCGAAAACGTCAGCTTTTAAAATGAATTCCCGTTTTTTCAATTTTTGTCGCGTTTATTCCAATTTGCTGAAAATGGCAAGTGTAGGCGAATTTCCCTGGAGTTGAATTCTTGAGGACCGCACTCAAGTTTAGAGAGAGAAAAAGAGATTTGTCGTCGCTTGTTTACGTCCTCCATAAAACTTGCAATTAGGCATTTTCATGTCGTAGTCATGCTAGGATGTTAAAGAAATGTACACAAAAGTGTGATGCACGTGCAAAGTTGTTGTTTTGCGTAATAAACCTATTGCTTTTTTGACGTCCTCTTTGCCGTCGCCGTCGTCGTTGCTAAAGCTCCCTACTGTCTGAGGGCCTTTGACGTTATAACATACTAGGTGGTAAACGCTACAGTTCAACAACAGTGGAGTTATAAATGCACTTGGGAGGTTTGCCAAGCACGAAAGAAGCGTAAGGGAGCAACTCTACCTTCTTAACCTCAAAGAATGATGTAATCCATTCCTGTGGTGTTCGTGGAACTACTTACACAAGTGCAATACTATCTCTCTGCTGCATTCACTGGCAAAGAAAATACCACTTCAACACTGCTGGCTTCAGTAAAGTCCAGAGCTGCTTTTATACTCAACTCTACATCACAGCTTTTCCAGTCCCCTTCTTTCATGTGTTTTATCCTCTTAAAGTTCACTTCTTTTCTGTTTTGTGCGTTTTCAACCATGTCAGGATTAAGTTTCATGTCGGAAGAGTCATACTGTTCCCAGAATTCCAAAGGCGACCTGTGGATTACAGAATATACAACTAATGGCAATGACGTCTTAAAGTGGATATGTCACGAGGATATTGCTAATTTAGGTGCGAGCACTGTTTTAGGTGTTTGAGTCATTACTTAAATTTAGAGAACTAAAATTACTCTGGATAGCCTAAAAAGTGCTTTCAATGTATTAGGAGGAAACCGTCGTTGGGTGCCCCTGAGTTATGAAGAAGATAGCAAACAACGTTCACCACGAAACACTAATTATGGGAAATTTTGTGGTACTTTTTCCAGGCATAGCATTTAAACTTGAAAAGTTGAGCCAACTTTTTTCAAGTTTCAACGCATGTCCATTCTTGACGACAGGAAACAGCTTTTTTAATACCGGTAATAAATTTGACCATTATTTTTGGAATTCAATTGATGTGAAAAACGTTTTGGCTTTGTAAAAAGAAACTAAGAAATAGTGTGACATAACCCCTTCAAACAATGCTAAAAGGAAAAATAAATAAGGGAAATAGCTAAATAGGAATTAATTAGGCTCACTAATACACCACTATGGGGTGCATTCATTTGCAGCACAAGCGTCTTAAAGGCAAAAAAAAAAGGCAAATGCCAAGGGTGTATGCCTATATTGCAAATGAATGCATACTAGACAGGTTTACTAATAAACCTAATTAAGTACTATCTAGTGGCTTTCCACATTTTCATTTTTCCTTTTAGCATTTCTCTCTGACTATGTTACTGTGACATGGAAGAGTTTTTTACTGAGGCTCGGTTTAAAACGTCGTATTTCACACGTGCCAAATCTATTACAATTTAGCCATAACAATAGCATTGAATCGGGTACAGGTGAAATGCGACGTTTGAACCGGGCCTTAAAATCAACGTAGGTTAACGTTTCGATGTTGCTTCTATTATCACTAGACTACAGGCCATCCCTTATGAAACGTTGGATAGCACTAACTAGCGGATAAATCACTATCCAGTGGATACGTATTAGGAAAAGCAATTGTGTTATCTACTGGATAATGATTTCTCCAGTGGATAGCGTTGTCTACTTTTCGAACCACAAGGCCCAAAAGCATCACATACATTTTTTTCGTCCAACCGTTCAGCAGAAATGAGTTAGTTAACTTACATTCTCATCATAGTAGAGAACTGTCCTTTGCTTGGCGCTCCCTCGGCCACGTGATGAGCCGCGATCCTCACCGCTGGATGATAGTGTCCAGTCTCCAACAGTGCTAGTTCCCAGGCTGTCGTGCTATCAGCATTACTCAGCTCTGGGTCATTGACATCCGGTCGAAACAAACCAGTGCCCATGCTCTCACTGTCGAGTATTGCTTGCACTTTAGTATGAGACTAGAAAGGAGAAAAAAAGAGTACGTGAGATAAATAACTGGGCTGACTGCGGAGCAAAGGAAAATCAGTTTACACTCCGCTATGAAGCAAACGTTGTCATCAGAAAATCGTAAAACTTGAATAATGAGACTCAAGAACTTTCTAGAAAATATTTGTAAAGGAACGAATGTCGAGCCAGCGCAGTACTGGAAAAACACAGCATGACTAAAGCATACTTGTCTTTACGAGCAAAACAACCTGATTATTTTCTCGGCTACCACGACAGTTCATATGGTATCAACGTTGCCACGCTCCGAGTAAACAAAGGCGCATCAATGACGTAATAGCCGATGAAAGAACTGGAAGTTGCTTCACGTTGGAATACAACTGCCCATGGAAAATAGTTGGGTCTCCTCGTTTATGGTTTTCAGTATTTAGGTGACAACGATTTTGACAATAGTGTTCTGGTTACAAGTTACCAGATCCAATAGGTTTTTATCAATTTTTCCAGTCCACGCAAATGGAAACCCCGACGTTCTTTACCGTTGGGTGGGTGAAAATTAAGAAAACCCTCTAGGTCCAGGACATGTGTTTACCTGTAGAAATGACTTTACGTAAGACAGAAAAGCCAGTGTCCCATTTGTTTGAGACTGCAAGCTTACGGTACAAAGGCGTTTTACAAATCCAGCCACCCTTTGTATAGGAACCTGAGCAAAAAAAATAGCAACAACATTCAGACCTTGCAGCTCTCAGAAGACCTTACTGAATGGGCCATTTTACAGTTATGGATGGAAGAGAGGCTGGAGTTGACCTTGTTTTGATACAAACCTTCCTGCTTTATTATGTAAATCAAGTTACTCTTATGCCAACTATTATTTTCAAGGACAATTTCCATAACAAAGCAAAGGAGGTTTGTATCAAAACAAGGTTAACCTCAGCCTCACATTCACTGGAAGGCTAGGGTACTAAGTCCACAATTGTAAAATGGTCAATTGGTTGGGAAAACAATGAACGAACAAAGGTAACAATAGAACCTAGCCCGTAAACAGAAGAGCTGCGACATATAGGGGTACTGCCCATCTACCCCTCCCCTAAGCCAACGTTAACACTTACTTCTCACTTGGGGCAAAATGTTGGCTTAGGGGAGGGGTAGGTGGGCAGTTTCCCAGAAACGTATAATGACCCATTTAAAAAGAGGTAGTGAAAAGGTGCAAGACTACTGAATAGCTGAGTTGAAGCGAAAAATTGTTCTTTCACCAACCCTTGCAGTCTCTATAAAATGTACTCCATTCTGCAGCCAAAAGAACTTTCCGTGAAATCCACTGACGCCATAAAATAAATACAATTGACAACGAAAATTATTATGGCTACTTCCGGCCAGCCATATTAAAGATCAAATCAGCGCAAATAAAATTTCTGTAGTGATGAACCTGATGAGTCATACAGTTGTTATTGTCCTCAAGGATTTTCAAATTTCCAAACGATGCAACTTTCCTACCTGTTTTCTTCTCTTCTTTAGCATTTCCTCAAGACACTGGAGCACTACGGGAACGTCTTCGCTACTAAAGCCTTTATTAATAAACAGACGCACAAATAACATCAGAAATGTTATGCACAACGGTTACGGTAAACGGCAAACGGATGCTTCCGGTTTTCTATTGCCATCGGTAATCATTTCAACTGGTGCTTAAGATTAGTTTACCCCAGATGGGCTGGATTCTTAGGGCGCTTTCGATTTGCCAGAACGGACCAGCCAGACTCTTCCCGTCGTAATGAGAGTTTCACTATTAATCAAAACTATCCAGCCAGATCAGTCAAATCCTAAATAGAGGGCAAGAAAGAGATGGTTCTTCAGCAAAAGCCCTTGGAAAAAGCTGATTTCATTGTCAAAATGACTGGTCCGGCAATGGTCCGGCCAGCCAATTCTGACAAATGGGAAGCGCCCTAAGGCTTGTCCCGAAGTCGACTTTTCTGAGTGACGAAATAAAGCACTATTACCCCTATATGTTGAGGCATATAATTCCTCAAGTTTCCGAAAACGATAAAAAAATAGGTTTCCAAAGCATGTTTTCATGAACGCGAAAATGAAAGCAAGCAATCATAATGAATTTTTTTTTCTAATGGCATTTGATGCTGGCTAGCCAAAAAAATGGTCCAGAATTGTTATTCAAGACTATAGATATCTCGACATTGAAAATGTTTCTTGTCTTCTGTTGCTACTGATGGCAAGGATGGACATAGATTGGGCTGAAAATTGGGTCAGTTTTTTAAAGTTTTAAAGGTTTCTCTCAATCCTCTCTTGTATTCCTAGAAAAATCTCCAAAACAAATATTATGGGCGGTTAGTGCTCTCTACAGGGGATTTTGAGTACGGGTAAAGTAAGTAGGGCAAAATGGTGGCTTAGGGGAGGGGTAGGTGGGCAGTTTCCCAGAAACGTATAACTTAGTACACAATTGACCTAAAACAGCAATATCCTGTGACATGGCACATTCAACTCTCTATTGACAAAATGAAAAAATACAGCAGCTACGTTTTTCTTATCTTTACACACTTACCAACATGAACTTGGAGCAGTTTAGTGTACAGCGTGTTATAAAAGCCCCTGGGATCAATGTTTAGTGCTTCCCCTGTTAAATGACAAGCATACACAGCTTCTTATTGACCGAGGTCAGCTCTTTAAAACCAGTTTATATTAATTCAGTGGGACTCAATGGACAGTGTTTTACTCCACAATCAAATATTCAAATCAGAATCTAAAGAATAAAAGAGATGGTCCTAGAAAACAGGCCCCCTCGTTTTGTTTTGTTAACCGATAGTTTTAACATGTTCTCTGCAAAACTATTGGGGAACCTCGCTCTTGAATGTAAAAAACAACAGCTTTCATTTAAAAGGACTTTAGACGGGCCCTGACTTGTCCTGGGCCGTTCATTATCAGGAATTTGGAGAAATGGTCCATTTTGATTGGGTTAACACGTGTCACATCAGAAAGTTTTTTTGCAAAAAACGGCATGAAAACGGTGCTGAAACCTAGATTCCCTACAATATTACTAAAACCCGTTGTTTGTTATCAAGTATAGTATTTATTCTTCGCTTCCGCCCTAGTCTGTTCAAGGCTCCAAGATACAAAAAAAGGATGCGATAACTAACCGCTCCCTTCCACAGATAACGCGCGTCATATTTTCGCTTGGCTTGTTTTTGTGTTGTCCCTACTACCTGAAAGCTCAACACAGGCTCCTCCCAGCCGTTACGTTACAAACAATAGAGACCTTTAAATTCAAGAACGAGGAAGACCACGTGGACGAGATGTAACTAAATTTTTTTTTTCGCGTATTCTCTAAACATATATACCCCGGAAAGCTTCATTGTGCTTTTTTTTTTTTTTTCACTAGAAAAGTTGGCACGGTTATTTTTATTAAACGAGGTTAAGGTGGCTGAACACAGTTTTGCGGGCGGTCAGCGGTAACTCGCATGAGCGCGCGTGTTTTTAATTAGACAAACAAACACGGCGACGAAAAAAGCAATGGTACACAGAAGACGATTTCTCAAAATCTGCTCATTAAAATTTTGTGATATTTGGCAAAATTGTTACTTTTATCGTATTTTAGATAATGAAAACTTTAAAATGAAGTTGAACACAAGAATATCGTGACACATTTGATAATTACAATACAATTATATTATTGATTATCTAAAAGTCCGTCTGTTAAAATTTGATCCAATAAGTTTCAACTGGTAATGATTAGTTATAGTAAGCTGTGTGCAAGTTTATAGGAAAATCTAATGAGCGAATTTTATGTAAACTGAAGAAAAGTGAAATTTTAAGGTTGTATTTAATCATTCATGTTGCCATGGAAACTGCGAAAACGTCAAGTTTTACCTGTCAATCAAAATCTTTCATCAGTATATTTTTCACTTGCCAAGTTTCAGCTTGTGAGCTGCAACCTTTCTCTTGCCATGATTTGGCAAAAGACATATACTCACAAACTGCCAAAACTGTATTCAAAATGATAAAACTTCTAACAACGCTGTTACATTCTCGCTAAAACTCGCAGTGAAAAGACGACGGTTACCACGTTTTCCTGCCAAAATGACGTTGGTTCACACGCACACTTTACTTAGTGTTGAGAAAATCTAGTCCTCGTGGTCGATCTCGTCTTAAAATCTAAAGGTCTCTGATGGAAAAAACGATTCTAACCTTGGCCCGATAGGATTTTTATAGCTGTAAGGACACAGTTGAGGGTCTCCCTAAGGGATAGTTCCTGCAAAACACACACGCCACAGTTAGAACCATGGTAGGTTAGCTCAATCAGTAGCGCATTGGACTGCAGAGTAATGGCCTGCGAGCAAGTAGCCTCCCACGCAGGCGTTTTTAGGGGAGCTCGTATTTCTTCCCTCCCCACAAACGCCTGCTCAACGGAAAACAACATTCCTTTCCCAAGCTTAGCCAATCACATTGTACTTTCCAAATTCTGGAAAGTTGACCTTGACCGCAAGGTAATCTGATAATTACTCGATCTGCATTAAACACTGGGAAAGCTTTCTGACCTGCAATAAATGTTAGATTCAGAGCGGCAAAAATAAGTTTTAGTCAAAATTCAGAATACTCCGTGCACTGCATAACCTTAGCGAAGGAAAGAAAAGAAGGAAAACGGTAACTCTAAGGTCACGTTCAGTCGTGTTTAGCCTGTCAACACTTCATTGCACAATTGTTGATTGGTCACCTACCACGCAAATAAAACAATGAGAAAGGAATGTTGTTTTCCGTTGAGCAGGCGTTTGTGGGGAGGGAAGAAATACGAGCTCCCCTAAAAACGCCTGCGTGGGAGGCTAGCGAGCAAGCTACGCCGGGGGGCTCTGGCGGCGGGGCGGGAAAAGGAAGGAGAGCTCGCAACTACGTCTCTGAGATTTGAACATCTGCATCGAAAAAGTCGATACGGAATGCTGATCAGCGGAGATGGCATAAGTGACGACGTCATTACCCAGGGCACGTGTTTTGCAATGTTTGTTTACATTCGCGATCGTTTCCGCTTCGCACTGATTGGCGGAAATCTGACAGCTCCGTCGAAAAAGAGCCACAGGCGAATTGGAGGCGGAATTCAAATTCTAGAGACGTAAATGCAAGCTCTTCTTCCTTTTCCCGCCCCGCCGCCAGAGAGCCCCGGAGAGCTTCCTCGCAGGCAAGCAGAGTGGGAGAACGCTAGCTGGCCGGACCGATAAGGTACTGCCTTTGCAAAATAAGTAACTAAACCTTCCTGGGCTTGTTTACCAAACAGTGTTGGCGATACAAGAAACCTTAAGATCCGACGACGGCGACGGCAACGAGAAAGACAAAAATGCAATAGGCTTGCGCGTGCATCATGATTTGTTGTACATCTCTTTGCCGTCACCACACGACTAGGCCGTGAAAAAGCCCTATTTTAAGTGTTTTTACATGAGGACGTGTACACGTATCCGGATATTTTGAAAACCTCAGATTTTTTCTCCGTTTCAGCCCTCCGTCCACACCTGTTCGACGTTTCCTGGCATCAAAAACGCAGGTTTTTAAAAATGTATGGAAGAAATAGAAAATATAGCAAGAACAACAAATTTAACAAGGATTGCAAGCTGTAGCAAAAATTGGCCAGCAAATCTGGGTAGCAGTTTTGACAAAAAACGTTTTAAGGAAACTGCTCGCAGAAATGTATAGAAGAAATGGCAAATACATCAAGAATAACAAACTCAATAAGAATTGCAAACTGCACCAAAATTCGTAAAAGTAACAAGGATTTTCCATTGCAACAAGAAAAAAACGCTGTAAAATATCGCAGAGTGAAGATGCCTGAAAACGCATGCTTCTCGTTTTCGTCTGGACGGACGAAAATGGACGTTTTCGAACACGATGATGTCATACATCTTATACTCTATGTACTAGCATTAACGTATGCTCTGTAAGGGATGCAACGGTACAAATGTATTACAATCGTTTTAGAGTTTTCATGTCGATGGGCGAAAGCGATCCAAATACACTACGTGTGGACGCGCATTTTTCTGAAAAGCTGAGAAAAAGATTTCCGTTTTCAAAAGTATCCGAACTCATGTAAGGCGTTTTTGAGCGACGCACTTTCAAACGGAAGTGAAGCCTTTTCTCTTTTAATATGCCTTGACGCAACCAAATTTGTATTGCTACATGTAAGTGTTTTTACTGTCATAGCGACGACTTGCCCGAAAATTTGGACAAAACCACTGCCCATGAATGCCAAGAGTCCACCTCCGGTTGACGAGCGTCGCTCACAAATGTCTTTGCTTAAGCTCCATATTGTAGATAACTCACCTTGTTGTTTAGTAAATCATGAAGTGCGGCCATGAGATCACTGAAGAAGTCAACATTGATAAGGTGCGCAAACTTCGCGAGTCCTTCCAGAACAGGAGACAAGAGAGGTGAATGGCCAACTGTTTTCAACACTCGAAAATATGTCACAAAAACAAACTTCAGGATCTCTGTTTGCTGTAAAAGTTAAGAAAGACTTTCAAAATTAGTAAACCTCCTTAGTACGTAAAGCCAGGTATTAACTATTTTCTAAAACCCTGTACTACACTCTGTTTTCTCCCGAAATTTAACATAACTCGCTGTTTTTAAATGATCCTGGGAATATGCAATCATCCCAAGAGCATTAATTGAAAACAACAGTTTATACAAAATTTTAAGGGGACAAACATAGTGCATTATGAAGATTTCGAAAATAGAAAACACACTCACTACCTACAGATAGAGAAATATCCAAAGACTCCAATGAAGGAGTCAGAAGTTAGCTATCAGAACACATTAAAAATTCAAGTAAAATGTCTCAAAAGTGGTGTTGAGATATTCATGCTACACGTATACAGTCAAGTAAAAATGCTAGGGACCTTTGGCAACCAGAACGGCGGCAACAACGGGTACATCATTGAAGCAGAAGCTTTATAGTAGATTAAACAAGGGCCCTTGCGTTTATTTCGTTGTCGTTCCTGCACGAGTATGATGTGAAACTTCAAATTTCACTTTTTATGGAGGACGTAAAAACGCCAGAGGACGATATTCTCTTTCTCTTTTTCTTTTTTTTTTTCGCAAACCGAGAACTCTACTCCAGAAAAACGTTTGTTACCCAAATCAAACGAGATGGAATGACAGAGATGAAGTGCGAAACAACGCGGATTGCCCCCTTGAGTGACGTTTTTGCTGCCGTCGCCGTCGTCCAAGCAGTTAACGACGTCAATTTTGTCCTCACAACATCACTGCACAATCAAGAAGAATCAATAAAATGATCACTTAAAGCAAAATCTTTTGATCTTTTATCAAACTCTCTCGACTAATTCTTTAAGGAAAAGTATGGAGATCACTATGGAGAATTTGTATGTTCTTAAAGGAAAAAAAAAATAATGACCAGCACTCACCAGTTTTGCTCTCTTCTGTTGGCTTTCCACAGCTTCAGTTTCCTGAAGTTCTTTTTCCAGTTTTTTCATTTCTCTTTTTCTCTGAAGATCACAAATCACGTTAATGTGGTATATCATGGGTGACAAATTAGGCTCACAATTGTGGGTTTTTAACTACACACGCTGAAAAATTTAGAACTTAAATTTTGGCGTGAGTTTATAATTTTCTTAAGTTTTCATCAAAGTACCGGCTCTTTTGTGTGTTTAGGTTTTCTGAAGCGACTCTCAATGCTCTCACATCTTCATTCACAGCGTTTTTAAACCTTTACGCCATCTTGGCACTGAGACATTCGTAACAATAGCATAGCAATTTTGTAATTTCACATGGGAAATTATAAATAAACGCTGAAATTTCGCGCAAAAAATAAACGAGTAATTTGGTACCCATGATATTAAATTAAATAAACAAGCAGACGAGTTAAAAAAAATGTTAAACTTAACAAAACACGAACTGTGAGTTCATTCAAAGGCTTCTAATAAACGAAAGATAAAAGACCGCTGAAACAACGTCTATTTTGTGAACTGGCTCGTGGACCTATAAACTCCGTTTAAAAGGGAAACTTCTACACTCTACATGTACATCTGTAATTGACGACCATTAGCTACCATTATTTATATCAAGTTCAAAAAAGCGGCAATCCCACTCTTCTGCTACATATTTCCAATACAGTACAGTGTAGGATGGCATACCTTTTTCTCTTTTTTGGACATCTTTCCTTTCAGCTTCTTTTCCATTCTATTTTTATTTTTCTCAATTTTCAGTTCTACTGCAGTTTTCTTCTCGTTGTTGTGTTTCAGTGATTGGATATCGAGCTGGTTTATCCGCAAGTAAAGAAATGTTTGCAAAACCTGCAGCAAAAATCAGTAAAATGAAAGACATGAAAATGAAAGTCTCTTTGCGGAGCACTGGGGAGCTTCTCCCCCACCCCCAAGAACTCCCTAGACAAGTTCCCTCTTTTAAGAAAAGATATCCGGATACGTGTGGACACGGGCTTAGACCTGATGCGAATCCTTGCTGACGTCATTGTTGTTACATTTTTGCTCATTAGCATACGGGTCATCCCGTAAAGGACGTCGCCGTATACAGCTGATTCAATAAAGGTTGCTTTGGAAATCGGGAATTGCGCATTGGGAAGCTATTGTTTGGTGATCACTCAAGCAAACCATTGCATTGTTCCATATGCTCAAACGACCGTTACCAAAGCAACCTTTTTTGATTTAGCTGTATACAAATTAGTAACTTTCAGCTCTTTGGAATCAATAACAATGGAACTAGCAGCAATCACAACCTGCGAAATTGATGGGTGGCAAAAACGTTAATGAGCTCATGTATTATTTGTAAGGTTTGAGGTTTTCAAAGAGAATTTCTCCGAAACTATCCGGTATATTGGGCTCAAATTTTCGGAGATAACTGAAATTGTTATGCTTTTTCAATAATAAGAGTTTTTACTTCATTAGCTTCTGCAATCAGATAATGATAAGCATTTGTTAATTATGCAAAAAATGTAAACAGAGATTCGCCTATAGCATCCTCCATTACCGTTTTCTTGAGAGCCACTCATATACAAGTACATGTACAAAGCACTGAAATATACTAACACAGGGCTGTACTCTGAATCCTTTACTTTTCACAAACTTACTGATAACTTTCACAGTCTAGCAAGATAAAAACAAGAAATCAATACAAGCAAAGAAAATTGCATACTGTCTGAAAATAAAAGCCTGCTAGAGGCCAATAAGTAAAGTGAGTATTCATTCTTGTTCAAGAGGCATCGAGACGTTAGAGATGATTGTTTCCATATTACATGTTGACAAAATTCCTTTCCATGTTCTTTTACGGCTATAATCAATAGTGATCAGGTTGTTTGACAGCCTAGTGGGGACAGGGTGGGGCTAACAGTCGGAAGCCTTGGTCTTCCTTCCCCCTTGTATATATTGTCCTTTTTCCCTCTCTTCTAAAAAAGAAACCTTCCCTCAGGCTAGACAGTCGGCGAAACTGTTTCCACGGCAAAATTAAAATATAAGCAAGTTTGGCAACGGGGCCTATGTTCTTACAATGATCAATTTTTATGCTGGCACAGAAATTGACCCGGTATAGTACGAATAGCCACGACACAAAACGGTCCAAAACCGATTCGGTACAAACTATATAAATTTCACAATCGCCTCATCGTAAAAGCTTTCCGGCATAAAACATCGTCCCGAAAATTGAAATCGAAAAACAAGGGTATGAAGCGCCGGGGTAAGTAAATAGATACAGCTTACCCTGAAACGAACAGATCATGAGTAGTATGGTGGGACTGGTTAAGCCCTCTTACTTAATGGTATTTAATTACTGCTAATAGGTTTTTAGGGGGAAAAATTGACTTTTTATGTTTATTCTAAGGCTATGTTCACCTTTTAACGGATACCTTTTCGTTTCGACACGAAGTCCTGGAAGTCCTGTCTTCTAACCAACCAAATGTGACCTTGCTTATATGTTCTATCACTGATATTATTTGAGATTTTATTCCTCTCTTTACTGCTGCCAATTATTTCAACATGACGGTGTCCAACAAGAAAGCTCTTGCTACTTTGGACACAGTACACAAATGAACTTAATGTACTTTTAGTTAATTATTATTTGTCAGCTACTTTATTTTCCCACCTACGTGCACTTATGTAAATATCTTATATAGTGTGAATAAAGAATGGAATGGAATGGAATGGAATTGGAAAAGCTTTCCGGTATAGTATGAACAGCAACAGGCAGGAAACTGGAACACGTCGGTCATGATCAACACCGCGGCAAAACGTCTACGCATGCGCCAAGTTGAGCATTTCCGGTCTCATTTTCAGTCACACTTTCCAGTCAAAGTCTCCCGCGCGCTTCATTCTGTGTGCAGCTTGTGGTTCAGTTGTTCTGCTTTATGCTGCTCGTGTTTTTGACTATTTTGTAGTTATTGAAATTGCTTTTATGGATAACCAGGCCCAGATCACTGAAACAATTAGTCGATTAGATTCACAAAAGGTAAGATGATAATAACTCAGTGTGTAATTTTGGCTAGAGCGTCAGGTAAACTGATTTTCATTCACGAAAATAAAGTTTTTGACTGTTATTTTTCACTTAACCTGGCTGAAACTAAGACATAAAATTAAAACGTTATCATTGCAAGCTTGTGTATTGTAGTTCTAATTTTTAGTTCTTCAGTTTCTCAGTCTACATGTGTTAAAGCCGATTCAAACTTTATTTGGAAAATGACAACACACAATCGCTTTGTAGTTTTGTTTACCAGTGGGTTTTACCGCGTTTTAAAACGAAACTCTTCAGGGTTGATTGCCATGAAACATAAGCTTAATTATACTGTTGAGCCGGTTGGCAGCAAGTTGACAACTCTATTTATTTATTTTTCCATTCTCAGAATCAGAGAGCGAAAGCTGGTTCAGTGGCTTTTAGAAGTCGAACTTTTCATGCCATGTATTTAGCAGCTAGAAGTTTCGTGTTTGCATGAGATGCAGCCGAGCCGCACAGTCTGAAATTATTGAAGTCTTCAACAAAAGAACGACCATGTAAAAGAATTAAATAGGCATTTTCTTGAATGAAAGCCATTTATAGGCATGTTTAGTTTCCCGGTGACTGCAGTCATCAAAGTCAAAGTTGTTATTAAATCCCGCCCATCTTTTGTTTTGAGTTCTTGTTTTCTCTGATAATAAAACAAATTATTGAACGGACTAAAATTTTATTTCCTGGTTTTAGTGTTTTTTATGATAATGATGACGTCTTTATTTTGGTTTGTTTCATAAGTATTGTTATTCTTTTCTTAGTTGTCGCCTTCTCCCAAATTAACTTATGCCAAACCAGTAGCATGCAAGAAAGCCAGTAAAAACAAATTCGTCGTGTCGAGCGCTCGCGACCTGCAAACTTCAAACATCATTTTCACCGTTGGTCCAAACAGATAACCATGTGGTGCAAAAGTTTGAGAATAGAAAAATATATAAGCTTTCGAATGAAGTGATTTTTTTGGCCCCCTTTTTTGTCTGTTTCGCCCTTTTTGCTTTTAAACCTGGCGCGACGGCAAAGTTATGCTTACGCTATTGATTTATATACTAGACCGGAAATAAAAAGCTGACTGGATATTAAATTTTGTGCTCATGCGCATTGCTTTTTGCCGCGGTGTTGTCATGATCACACACATCGAATATCACGCCGGAACGGTTGGCCGAGAGGGTTTGGTGAACTAAATCCTGAATATTTACTTCCGTCCCAGTGGATTGTAGTCATCGCCCCTACTTACTCACTTCCGCCACGGTGCGAATACCCGTTCACATTACACCAATATGTGTCACAGAACCTATCTGATATATGACGCTCCACTTTCAAGATCGGCACGGCGTAGCTTCGCTCCGTTACAGAAATCGCACCGAAATCACCGTTCTTATGTGTGAACAGGAGATCCATCCGGTATTGTTTTCGTGTTTAGTGTGACAAAATAACCGTTGTGATCTTGAACACAGATGATAATGAAGAAATAAAAATCATCTCCGAAGGACTGACTAATGAAATGTTTTTGCGTAAAATGTAAGCTAGAAGTGACGAATAATTTACCTCAAGAGAAACACTACCAACGGAATCTTGTTTGAACAAAGTGACAAAGGCGTTGTAACACAACTTTGAAACCTGAAAGGACAGAGATTTGCAAAAACATTCAGAGCGTTCAGGAAAAAAACAAAATCGCATAAAAAGATAGCTACTACAAGTTCTAATTTCATAAAAAGGCTCGTTCTTTGGATTTGCAGTCGTTTCGTTATCGTCCTCTTCGCCGCCTAAGTAGTTTCGCTACCACGCTAAGTCAGTTCCCCAACTTCTTTCGCCTGATTAACGGCTTAAAGAACGATGTGTAAAGTAACACATACGCATCAGACGTTTTTCGTGTCATGGCTGAAAAAATGAGGTTTTTGTATGTGAAGCTCTCGTTTCGTTTAGTACGCGAAACGACCCAAGACGTTCGCGACCGGGACGTTAGAGAAACGACGCGTGGGCGAAACGACCGGTTTCCGTCCTTTGACTGACCTGACCATCCAAGGATTTATCGTTCATTCGTGGTACAAGCACAGCCACCAAGTTTGTGTGGAAGTTAAAATGGGGCAGAGATGTCAGTAGATCACACATACACTGTACTGCCACAAGCATCACACTCTAAAACGACATTCAAAATGCATTGTCAGTGTTATTGAAAATATGCTTTGTACATGTATCATTAATTTTGGTCCACTTCTCCAGTTTCAAGTTAACTCTTTCACTCATGGAGAAATTATGACGAGATTTTATGCCACCCTAACTATGGAACAATATTTTATTATGGCAAGATCTCATGTCACCCTAACTTTAAAAGCTGTGAAAGAAATCCTTTGGTGTTACGGCATTCAAATGAAACTTCTCCGGCCGAACTTTCGTACAGTACGTTTCATTAATTTCTTACCAAAGATGTATCTTAACAGGGTCAACCTGTATCCGGAGATAAAAAAATCTGTTCCCAAATGCCATAGGAGAGGAAATTACTGTCGCTACCTGTACTGCTCAAAATACCTTACCCTGACTTATACTTACCATGTAAAACAGCCTCAACGGTGTTTGTATTATTCAGCCTATTGTAGGCGTTTAAGTAGTGGAGAGCGGAACAATTCATAGAGCGGGGATACAAGAAGGAGGAAGGTGGGGGGGAATTTGGTTCCTTCACTCACAACCGTACCCCACCCCTTAAGATATGCTCCTTGCAAACTGGAACCACATCCATGCATTGTAGCCATTACAAAATATTTAATGTGGCATTACTGCACCTCAGATGCAACATTTTTCTGTGGTACACCATTAGATGAGGTTGTCTTTTGATTCTTGGAGTAATCTGAAATAATTACGTACAAATTAGGAAACATGAACTTTAAATACACCACTTTTTTAAGGAGTGAGTATTTTGTATTTCTCCAACAACAACGAGAATAACAAATTAAGAAAAATATTCCCTGTGATAAATAATCAGTGACAAATTGTTGGAAATAAAGTTTAAAGTATAATTATTTTAAGAAAAGGAAGCAAGAATGGTCACTGTTATTTTGTTAAATAATTGCTGCTTTTAAGAATCTATGTATTATCTTAAGAATGAATTGAAGGAATACATAAGCAGAATAACATGGCAATTGTCATAAAAATCATATCAAATAAAACTGACTGAAACACGAAATGCAGCATATTATCACACTGTCACATACAAAGTGTAACACTGATTTTCAACAACACATCAATTTATTTCACAAAGAAAAATGGTTCACTTCGAAGGAAAACCCAACAACAAATAAAAATAGCTAGTAAGTACCCTCAACAGTAGTTTCCAAGATTTGCAAGTACTCTTGATAGTGTTTTAGCAATCCTTCTTCAAAGTCTCTCAGTTTTTTAACTTCTTTGGATAACTGAATGGGAAAAAAGTGGGAAAATTATTCTACCATTTTTAATATGTCATATTAAAAATGTGTAGATGTCTTAGACAACCCAAGGGTCCAGTTCTTCACCATAACTGTATACATGTACACTGCATAAGTATTTTTGTAATAACTCATCGCTCATTTCTTGAGATGGGTAGCTAGTGTCTATGAGAGTGTACACAGTGGAAAATATGACTTTTTGATGGTGCTGTTTGCATGCACAATTTCCAAAAGAAAATTTGTCAGAAATACAAGTCATATCTACAGACATGAAGTGAAACTGGCTTACAGGAAGTTAGCACAGGAACATGTACATTGTATATAAAGAAAAGAAAGTTACAGCAAAAGGAAAAGTTGGATATTGCATTAATTTCAAATACGTTTTTAATTTGATGAGTTTATAACATCTGTGTGCACTTCTTAAAGATAAAGGTTGCCCATTTCCCATGTACAGTGTATTTGGAATGATTGTACAGTGTCAATGAAGGGCACTCACTTTTACACCTTGCTCTTTTTCTGTAAGTCTCCGAATTGGATACCTGAAATAAGAGAGTAGAAGATACTAACTTTATTACAGGTATACCGTATTAGGTAATACATCTTTGTTTTCTTGTACTTTTTCAAACCCTCTGGCCCGAGTTGTTCAAACATTGGATAGCACTATCCATCAGATAAATCGCTATCTACTGAATAAGCATTTAGGGAAACCAATAATTTTTTATTGCACTATCCACTGGATAGCAATTTATCCGGTGGATAGTGTTATCCATCTTTTCAACAACTGGGGCCTGATTTCCAGGTATAAAATGTTAACACATTGGCACTGCTCACAAACAACCTTTTTCAGTTAACTCATTGCTACACGTACTGTATTTGAGGGCTTATCTTCTGAGCAAGATAATGACAACTTGTTATTAGTGATGACTAACCAATACAAGGACATCCAAAGGCTCCAGTCACACTATAGTATACCAGATATCATTTTCTGCCTACACGACAAGCTATCTAGCCGGTATAGTGTGAATTACAACTCCACAGAACTGGAACAAATCATTCATACCCATTGAACATCATGCAGGAGCAGTTGGCTGAGAGGATCTGGGAAGCTAAATCTCAGTCCTCACTCCTGAATATTTACTTCCAGGTCAGTGGATTCCATTCCTTATTCCTACTTATTCACTTCCACTACGGTCTCAATACCTGTTGACACTGCACCAAAGTGTGGCATTAATACCTACGCGATTATTATGTGACGTAACTCTTTTGAGATCAGTGTGGTGTACATGTAGTTTCACTCTGTCACAGAAATTATTGTGCCAAACTGGATGTTCGTATGTGTGAACAGAAGCCTTACTTGGTAAGGTTTTCATGCTGGTGCAAGAGCTATCTGACGTCAGGGCTGTCGTTAAGAGGTGGGGGCCAGGGATTTCCCCCAGCTACTACATGTATGAATGAGGCCCCTAGCTCCTTTCATAGGAAAATAGAAGAAAAATAGAAACAAGAGAAATCCCTTCCATTGTAGGTGTTTTATTCCCTGCCTACTCGTTGTAATTGCCCAGCAACTTGAAACCTTAGTGACATCCTTGAGGTATAGTACATGTAGCCTACGAATAGAAAGTAAAGCAACAGGCCGAGTGGCAGCAAACCCACCCTGGTACAATATCCTTGAAAACCGTCAAAAGGGATACCATGGCCAGCTTCTTAGTGGTAATTCTAACATCTGTATCCCTCTCATCACACAACTTACACAGCTCTTGCAACTCAGACACCTTGCAAGGGAATAACCAATAACAATAAATTAATATGTGAGTAGGACCACAGGAAAAAATAATGGATTCCCATTTTTGGATATTTTAGGGTATTTAAAGAATACCCATAAAAATCCCAAATTTGGCAAAGTGAGACAAGTCCCAATCAGGGAATTCCCAACCAAGTTCCCTAATTGGGACTTGTCTCACTCTTCCAAATTTGGGATTTCTGTGGGTATTCTTTAAGTACCCTAAAATATCCAAAAATGGGAATCCGTTATTTTTTCCTGTGGACTTTCTGGCACCTACCCAACAGGGTGTGACCAACATTATTTTTCTCCTATCAATATCCATAGTATCAAGAAAAAGGGTTATAAAAAAATAATAATAATTCCAAACTGAAAAACACTTTTATTTTTTACCAAATTCTCTCATGTAATTCTTTAACGAAAAGCATGGAGAACTGATATGAGGGTGTAACACTGTAGGGCTTAAAGGGTTCATTAAAGAGCAAGGTTAGTCAGATACAAGGGCACTCATGCATGTACATGTACATGCACATGCACTGAAAAATTTTAATAAATACTAAACAAGCTGACACAAGAGGGCAAATTTAGGAAAATAAGAAAAAAAGGGAGTACTTATTAAGAAAGAGGCAGTTTTCTGCTAAAATTGCTATTTGCAATTTTTTTTTGTTCTGTGCCACATAAACATAAATAAAATTAATGTGCAAAGAGCTTCTGAGTTTCATTTACTTATGGCACTTTCCCTTGAAATGATCAGGATCAGCATCAGTGATCTGGAATCACTCAGATAATGGTGCATCAAAGGAACAAATGAATCCTTGCCCAGAGTACTTCATTATGCAGTTCCTTTATGCACCACAATCCAAGTGATTTCAGAAACTGAGCTTTACCTGGAAAACAGGCTATTCAAAGAAACCCTAGCAAAGAAAAAAGTCGAAAGTTTATTTTACCCAGGCGATAAGTACACTGAACTAGCAACTGCGAGATTGTAACTACATCCGGGCGGAAACTTCTCAATAATTCATGAGACAGCAACGGGCATAATGGGAATGACACTTTGGCTCTCTACTTACACTTTCCTGTGGGTTTTCCAAAATGCTATTTGACAGTTCAGCGATCCGAAGCTTTCTTTGCATTAATTTCTGTCTTCTCTTGTTGAAGAGTTCCACCATACTTAATGTGGGGGGAAGTGTGGGGGACTCTGTACTCTGGTGGATTGTTTTAGGTAGAAGATCTACAGGATCTGTCTGCTCAGTGTGTTCCTGAAGATCTGGAAGGAAAAAAATAGGAAATATCTGAAACATTGGATTAACTGAGAAAGATGGTCACAGATTGCATGTGTACCTGTATATCAGGTATCAAGTGTTTGATTGACCTTATGTTTGAATAGGAATACACTCTGAATTATTCCATAATAAAACACCAAAATGAACACTTGAACAAATTTTCTGTTTTCATTACAATGTCTCAAGAATTATGCTACAAATAGAGGGTGAACAACAACATTTGTGGCAAGGGAATAATTATTGTTTGTTAATGCTAATACTAAAATTTCACAAAGAAAATTTCCATGAGGATAAATAATATTATATGATGTAAGTACAATCTAATTGGTGGCTTAAATCATTTTCCTTTGTTTTTGGGTATGGTAATGTAAGATAATGATCACTTTCAAAGAAAGAAAAACAAAATTCATAAAGCATGCAAGGATTATTAATTGAACCACAAAACATATAGACAAGAATCCATGCAAATAAATACATGTACACACCTACAATGGGTATTTTTTCTGTTCTTGGTATAATGCTGTCTTTACTCTTGATAGGCAGTAGAACTCTTTCATTACGTCCCTGCTCAGTTTGTATTGTTCTTGGTCTCTTCTCGTAATCAGCCTCCTCTTCTTGTTCTATCTTTTTTCTTTTACGTTTCTTTCCGCCACCTGGCACACTGTAAGGAAAACATTTACATGTTATAAATATGCAAATTTGCATCTAAGTCTCGCCACATTAGGCTTAAGTGGGACCAAAAATACCTCTTAATCTCATGACAAGTTACAGTACAAGAATCTTGCACTAGATGGATTCACCAGCTAATGTATGAACTTCTCAATACAATTATTCTTATTTTTGGCTTATCTAAGACGTGAATTCTGCACAAATTTATTATTTAAGAGTTAAACTGGACTGGACTACTAGACTAGTTGCAAAAGCCAGAGAACATAAAAGGTTTTTTAAAAAAAAGAGTTGCAGTTTACATGTATATTAAGGGCTCTCTGACCCTGCAAAAAATTGACATTATATTAAAATTGTTAAACTCATGGAGCACTTAAGAGTTCTTAAGAACTTGTTGAAACATGTTTCTGCGTTCCAGACTGAATTAGAATTTGGAAGTGTTTTCAAGGACAGGGGAAAACCAGAGTACCCGGAGAAAACAGTTGTAAATAAGTTAACCTAAACAGCACTTAACCCTAATCCGCAAAATGAGTGCTTAAACCTAGTCAATAAAATGAGCACTTAAAGCAATCAGTGAAAGTCGACCAAGACTGCACAATTCTGCATATCTCAAGCGGCAAAACCTCACATACATGTACCTAAAGAGAACTAACCAGAAAACATTTTTCATGCTTTTCCAATTTCATAAAAGTTTGTTTTTTCCATGGCTCGCGTGGTTCGCGGTGTATGACATTTGCAGACTGCAGACTGCAGACTGCAGACTGCAGATTGCAGACTGCAGACCGCAGGCTGCATGAAGGAGCAAGACTGTTACTTGAATGAAACCAAAAATATCGTAATAAAGGTGGCGTCATCATCAACATTACCTTGTTGCGAGAAGTAAGGCCTAGAAGCGAAGTTTATATTTTTCATGCAAATTGCACAGACCTCATTCCTAAAGGAGCTGTTGGCTGTTCTTTTCGTATTCAATTAGAGCAGAATAATGTCTGCCGATGTCACAAACTTGCTCATGATTCCATAGCAACAGTCTAGCAATTTAGCCTACACCACAGACGAAATTAAACTACGGTTATATAAGTCTGTCTGAGAAACAGCGCCGGAATCCTTATTCTACGGGGTCCCCACCTGTGTACTTGAACTTGAGTAAGAGCAATGATTTTCCTATTTAGAAATTCAAAATGCAGTTCTGACTGGTAATTCATCGAGTCCAGGTAGGATCTGTTCATTTTAGATTATTTGGCATATCCTTAAATACTGCTAAGATGAAATACGTCATTTAAAAGGTGTTAAAAGTCCTTGATCTATCCTAGTTGTTTTTGTCGACATAACTGTAGTGAGCACAAAGTGCTCGCAATCTAAAAACTTTTTTAACAGAAGACTACTATTTAGACAGGCATTAGTGGACATTGCTACTTGTCATTATCAATTCACAATAATAAAAGAAGAATAAAGCCGGGTGAGTTGAGAAAGGGTCGAAGAAGAATAGCCAACAGCATCTTGGGAATGAGTCCAATGTAACTTTGCGCAAAAATATCAACCAGGCTACTTTCTCACTTTCACACGAGGTTACATTTTTGATGATGTCACCTTTATTAGAAAGATTTTTGCTGTCATTTAATTTACAATCTGCAATCTGTGATCTGCAGTCTGCAGTCTGCAGTCTGCGGTCTGTAGTCTGCAGTCTGCGGTCTGCAGTTTGAAAATGTCATACACCGCATGGTTCGCATGGCTTGCTGGCCCGAAGATCATCCGATCCCAACTTTGCCATCGTTTCGGCCTCAGATCGTAAGTGGCACTAATGTAACTGGATCACATGCATATACACTGCAAAGTACAATTACAAGGTCTGCTACATGTTCTGCTAAGCCTGCAGATGATAAAGACTGCGTTCATTCCTTAAATACCAGTTGGAAATATTGCCCTATTAGTAGTGTATGGTGGCCCGCTAACGCCATAGCAATTTTGCACTTTTTTGGTGAAATTTTGACACTTTCCATTCTATTTTTCTTTATTTTTTCTTTTTAATTTGTTTTCTTTCGATTATTTTTATCTTTTTTTTAAATTTCCTTTTAATTATTTTTATCTTTTTAAAAATTTCTTTTCTTTTAATAATTTTTATCTAATTTTATTTTTTCATTCTCCCTTTTTTAACTTTAATTGTTTCTTTTTACTTTTTATTCTGATTTATTTCGTAATTTTTATTTTATTTGGTTATACATTTTTTTTGTTTTATGAAAATTTTACCAACAGTGATCTAATTTTGAATAAAAAAGTCTCTAGCCCATGCAGGCCCATCAACGCCATAGACCAGAATTCCTAGCGCGTAACGAAGCGTTCCACGTGTGCTTTTTCTCACTTCAGTCAATCGCCCGTGCCACTTTTCTACGTGCAACATGTCGAAAAGGAAACAAACGTGGGACAATTACAAGGAGAAGGTAGCCAAAAAAAGACGAAACGACAAAGGGGCAGCTGCTGCTACCGGAGTGAGCGATGGAATTACCGTACAGAGGTTGTCTAGCCAGGTGGAAGGCAAATGCCAGAAGTATTCGAGAATCGGGCCAAAGGCAAAATAACCTGTAGAATCATGCGTAACGTTGGGAAATCGAAGTTTACGCACCAGATTTGAAACAAAGGTGAGCTCATATAATCATGACACAAACTTACTCAGCTACTACTTTTTGGAGAAACGCAAAACTTCTATCAGAATCCTGAAAATACTCCAAGTCTTCGGGGTCAAGTGGATCATTGTCATCCCCATAATTAACATCTTCGTCCACAGTTGTTCCATTCAAGGCAGTTGTTGACGCTCTCCTGTCTGCTTTCTTGCCCTTCTTGCTTCCTTTTCCTTTTACCATTGTCAATGAGTGCTGGATATTTCAGTAAAAAGTTATACTCTCTTTTTAAAGACGAATTATCGGTGGACAGTAAACTTCGCCAGACTGTCCACCATCTTGGATTTGAGCCGCAATTAAACCACGTGTTTCCAGCGTGCAACACCAAAAACCCATTTGGCTTTGTATTTGAAAGGCTAGAGTGTCCAAGAATGCAAGAGGCCGCACTCATCTCGGCACCAATGAAATCGCCCACCTTGCCTATTCACAGACCCTCTACCGTATTTTCCTCAAAGTCTGTCGAGCCGGTGTGATAAGATATTAGAAACCGCAGGGGATTTATTGACCGCCAGGGCAACAGGGGAAGTGTTCGCGCTCCGCGCTCGTTCTCGCGAGCTAGCCCCTGTTTTTCGAAAAGAAGGAAAACAAAAAAAAAACGTCTGTCGGTAGCCCCCCGGGGGGGGGGGGGAGGTACTGCCATATATGGGCTATATGGGTATGTGCCGCTGTGAAGGGTATGGTTTTCAAGCAGTTTACCCTAGGATAGGTTATATAAATCAGAGCGTTTGGGACTAGAATAGGGTATCATTTTTTGACCAGTTGGTTGAAGATTTTATCTAGACTGGGGAAACAGCTACTCTAGGATAGGGGGATTTTGAAAGTTTACTCTAGTATAGGGTAGCAAAATTCAGCTGAACTAGCTCTGGTATAGGTCAAGGGTTCCAGGGTCCCAGCGGCACATCCCCACCCAGAAATTCCTAAAGTGCCCCGGGCAGTAGCCCTCAAGTCTGTAAAAGAAAATTCCTTCACTTTTACAATTTTACGATGAAATTTAAGAAGGTAAGGGTCAAGTGACTTCACAGGCAGACCAAGCTCTGTTGGTGGGGGCCGTTGTTGATTGAAATCTGAGCAACGATCTTTTGTTATTTATAGGAGAAATATATATGAACAATACAGTGGCTATAATTTGTTCCAAAATGCAGAATTTAAAGCAAATTTTTCAATAAACGTTTGAAGAAAATGTTAACTGAGCCATGTGTCATGTTTTTTTCGCCGACCCGTGCTGTTTTAAGCGCTATTTTGCGAGATGAATAATGAATGACAATTCTTTGACTCCTCACTCACAGTTCAGTATATCTGAAGGACTGGAAAGCGAGGTTAGATATTTGCCAAAGCGGGCATTATTGTCATCAGACAACATGTATTTCAGCTTCCTCTCCACTTTCGCTATCTTGTTCTTTATTTCCAACCTCTTGTACGACATCTTGCCTCAAACAACCCAGGTAAAAACTCGACACTGGTCTACGCGATAAACTTATTTTGTACTAGAGTAGGTTAGTTTCATTGTTATGCAAAGTAACTAATCATCTTACGATTAGTATGTTACATGCATTTTAATAATTACTTTGTAGACAATATAAGAGAAGATATGTGGTGGAGGGGGGGGGGGATAATCACGTGAGAATTGAATAAAGAAGGGGGGTCACTTGCTATTTACATGGCCTGCAGGGGGGGGGGAGGCTTACATAAACTTTGATCTTTCCAACATTTCCAACATTTTTCCCTCTCCCCCCTCTACATAAATAATGACCGGTCCCTTATGTAGTGGCGAGTAGACTTCTTGGTGGCGAGATGACAGTAAACCTCTTTTTTAGCGGGAAGTGAAGATTGACTCTTTACTTTGTTGCTAGTTTTCTTTATTTTTTCTGCCGATTACAGCACGCGTATTGTGTTTTATTCCATGCAATGAAATAACATGATGTTTCCAAATTTCAGCAGGTATAAATCAGTGATAAATCTTACAGGAAGTTGACTCTACATGAAACATGATCTCTGGAAAAAAAATTATAATGGGTAGCGATCAATTTCCCTGTCTTTACATCAGTCTTCTAAAGACATTTACACCAAAATTTAAGGACAAAACAGAATTTAATAATAATAATAAAGAATTAAAGACATTGGACCCGAAATCTAAACAAAAGAACAGACTATGACATGACGTCCAGTCCTTAAAATAAAATTAGTCTCTCGTGACCACATTATTAATATTCTGACAAAATATTTTGTTTTGCCAAAACAAACCTGCATTAGCATAGAGAGAACTGGAGAGTCAAAACAAGTTACCGTTATTAATACAGTTAACAAAAGACTGTCAATAAAAGTTTCCTCACACTGATTTTTCAATTTAGAACTTAATAAGTCACTTGTCGAACAGCCTTGAGGGCTTTTTTTAACTGTTTGAATAAAGATCTTTGACCGGGAAACGTAATGCATCACGGTCTCTTCCTGTTCAAGTACAATGCACTTGGCCTCCACGTGTCGTAACTTAGCCCGGTCTATTACAAACTACATACGTCACAGTCGGGGAAGCACCTTTTCGTGGACCTTTTAGCAAGTCATTGCAACAAAATTGCATCACAATCGAGCGAGAACAGCTCCAAGAAGGATCAAAGGTATGTGCGAAGTGGTTGTTGCGAATTTCAGCTTATCTTTCATTTTCGATGCTGGTACAACTTAGGTGTCTTTTTATCTCACAGTTAGCTTTGCTAAGTTCAAGTTAGTTACCTGACATTTGCAGAGAAGAGAAGAGAGAATTCAAGTCGCTGCAACGAAATTGGAACATAATCGAGCAAGAAGACCTCCAAGAAGGATCAAAGGTATGTGCGAAGTGGTTGTTGCGAATTTCAGCTTATCTGTCATTTTCGATGCTTGTACTTTACGAGCGCTTAAGTTATAGGTGTCTTTTTATCCCACGGTTAGCGTAACTAAGTTGAAGTTAGTTACCTTACGTTTGCAGAGTAGAGAAGAAAGAATTCAAGATTAATTCAGTTCAAATTGAAAGTTTGGACACGTACAAGGTAAAGCAAGCGACGGTCAGCGACGGGTATATTTGTCGAATATAAATTCTATTACCTGTGAGTTCATAATACCAATAGTCTTTTTCTTTTTTCAGTTTTTGGTGGGAAGTGTAAAACGGTTTCGTGCACATTCGTCTTAAAGGGGCTATCGGTTGCGACTGTCGGGTTCGGTTTACAAATTTTCAAAAACCACTTATTCCGTTTTAATCTCCTTGAAGTTTGTCTTTGTACTTGCTGAATTATTTTTACCTTCTTTTACCTTGACTGAGTTTTTCTCATGTCTTAGTCAGCTTGGCTGTTTTCACTGTTTGAATTTTGTTAAATGTCAAGACACTGCTCCCCTAACAACAACAAATTCCTTGACTTGCTCTTCCGCATGTAAACGGAAACATTTCCGCGGGAAATTCCCTTCGAGCAACTTTAAAATGCAAACAGGCACAAAGTAAAAGGTACTTTCCCTTCGGTTTTTTCCCAGCGTTTTTTTTTTTTTTCTCGACCTTCTCGGATGTCGTTATCAAGTCTGACACTATTTCAGGCTTCTGACCTAATAATGACGACCGAGAACGTTGAAACGTCATGTTTTAAAATGTTTTTTAAAATTTCTTAAAATTTTTTTAAGCAAAGTGTTATAGCAGTTTTTTTTATAGTCAAATGTTTTAAAAATCGCTTCTTATACTGTTTTAATAGCCTTTTTAATGAACTCCTGCTGATCATGAAAGCGTTGTGAAGCAGATTAACAGTGTACATTAGTTACCCTGTGGGCAGAATCTCCTTCCTTATCTAAAAAATTTAAAGGTAGGGTAAAAATTGAATGAATTGAATGAAGATTTTATTTAGATGTCGTTTTAGCTTGCTGAAGGCAAAAAAATACAACCCAGTCTATACTTGAAGGCCTGTATTTTTGATTGGTGACTGACCATTGGTAATCGATTTCTCAGGACACCTTGAAATTTGTTAAGTAGGAGTCAACAAAACCAGGATCGAACCGGATCAAATCATCCCATGTAACTCACTAAATGACAGAAGGAAATAAGGGATAGGGTCTGTATAAATGATCCGATCGATGGCCCGCCTGGGCTCGATTTCCGCTGGTTGTCTTTTATTTCTCTTTCGATGACTGTAATACCCTGGAGAATTTAGAGGCAATGGTTATGCAAAAATTTAGGGGGTAAACAAGATGAATTATAGCCTATGTGAAACTGACGAATAGTGATCGTGGAAAGTGTACGTGGAAAGTAAATTTTTGCCCTACTGTTTGATCATCCTTTTAGTTTAAACATGCAGGAAATGCCGAGAAAAATCGAAGTTGGGGACCTGTCTGGTAAGACGCTTAACTACCTCTCCCACTCCTTGGACAAACCCACCCTAAACTCCTGGGAGGACCTAATGCGAAGTCAAACCTTTCGCTCCATATACCTCCATATAACTGATGCTCCCGAGAAAATACGACTGAAAAGTCAGGGCCTCGTGCACCCAGCGGAGTCTTTACTACAAGACCTCGCAAAGCGAAAAACACCATTGGAAGACCTGATATGTGGTTTAAGAGAAATTGGCAACAAAGAGGCAATTTCGATCATTGAACATCGGGAGAAATGGTTGGAAGGTAAGTTGTTCTCATCGGTCGTCATCGCTTAATTCGGCATGGGTTGAAACATATCTGTGGAAATGTTTTGTTTTCGGATTTTGATAGAATTTCTTCATAAAGTAAAAGTCCGACCTTTACTCAAAATAAAGAGTAACCTGCTCTTGGCGCTAAAATAGAAGTACATGTCGACGTACCAAGAAAGAACTAAAAGAATATAAAATATAGCTGAAATAAATTTAGTTTCTGAAAATAGGGAACCTGAAATAAATAGCTCCGCTCTTTCTACAAAGGCAGCTTGGTTTATAGGTTGTATCAGTTTTTACAGGCCCGAGCTTTTCTCCTCATCCAGCCATGTAAAAGACCAACTGGCAATTTAATGTATTGTTCCAAAATCTTTGTGCGATACATGTATGTCTATAGTAATGCCCAATCCTCGATTGTGTCTATAACGCGTACGGAAGGATATTAAGTGCAACTGTCCTTTTTTAAGTTATTTTAACTTACAGTCTTACAGTCCAGTTTCTTGTTGAGGGTCTCCAACTGGGTCTCGATTAGGTTTGATTTCTGCAGCTCTTTCTGCCCTCCCCGAGAAGAGACGAGTCTGTTTTCGTGAGGAGTGCGGGCTTATTTTTCGAACAGCGACTGGTAATCAAGCCTAAATCCTGACCAGTTCGAGAAGAAAGTATGCAACTTGCGTCATGTTAACTGAATGAAAATGATTTATTTTATTAACTGAATAAAGCCAACTTTACCTTCTGGAAATTCGTTCTCTTTCCGAATTCCGCAGCCCTGTTCCCTTTCTCCATCCAAATCAATCTCCAATTCCGACCAATTAAGGTAATTCCCAGACACTGAGCCGAAACCCTTATCGGAGACCCTCTTTAATGTCATTCCTAGAAAAGATGAGCAATAGCTTCAGCCCCCAAGACTCTGGTGGACGACCGCCTCCTTCACTCTCCATACCGCGACAACCAGAAGAGGTATTTGCTATTCTGCCAGTCTACCCACTTTGGCTGTTTTGTTGTTCCAACAACAGAAATATATGAAATGAATATTACTATGTTTGAAATAAATTTTGTAACATAATTAATCTTTCATTATGCTCTATAGATATTGGATAGCTTATAAGGTCATGGTATGATATGATTAAGTGGTGCATGCGACTGTACGTGCGAGTAATATAGAAGAAAAGTGATGACGTCACAAAAACTAAATTTGTGTTGTGAAATCAAGGGATGGCTTGGCTTACCCGGGGAGAAGACGATAAAATATGTTCACTTGCCAAAAGTGAGCCTGTTCATCTTCAAATTGGTGCGAGCAAGCGTCTCCTCTCGTTTGCCTCTCACACGTGTACTTTTCACGTGTACTTTTCACGTAAATGGAGGGCTTGCTGGCAGATTAAGTACTTTTCTGCTCAAATACGATCCAGACCTATCTTATAAGGATTTATAAGGAGTCATCAGAGCATAATAGTACTTATATCTCCCCGCCAATTTGCAATAACAGACTCATTTTTATCCTGTTCCAGGGTCCAAGATAGTTGTGTCAGCGGAATTGAGAAAGCATGAACACGAAAACAAAACAGTAGGAAACTGGGAAAAGGAAGGGTGGCTTCCTTTGATCATTATACGTTTCTGGGAAACTGCCCACCTACCCCTCGCCTACGCCATGGCCAACATTTTGCCCTAAGTAAAAAATAAGTGTTAATTTTGGCTTAAGGGAGGGGTAGGTGATCAGTTTCCCAGAAACGTTTAATGATCTTTTTTCCCACTCCCGCCTCCTTTTTCCAGATCACGCTCTCATGTTTTCTTGTCCCTTTCACTTACACGTCATCCATCCCTGAGCTAGCCTGGAACTAGCTAGCTCATTTTTGACAAGTGAACATATTTCATCATGTTCTTTATTTCTTTAATTCTTTTCTATCCCAAAATTTCACAAATTTGAATTTTCGTTACGTCACACTTCTCTTCTTATTTTTGAATAGTGGTTATAAGTAATTTAGTTTTACTCTTAAAACTAGTAATTGCAAGCTATATGTTATTCTCATGTTGAAGGTGGTTTCTAACTAACTAACTGTATTTGTGGTAGTACACTGGAGTGCTTTGACGACTGGCGATGCGGTCATATGTTTCGCCTTGTGCCTGTTTTCAGGCACAAGGCGAAACATATTACCTTTTTCTGCCAATAAATCACTGTGAATATGGATCAACCCATCATTACACTTAGATCTGGACTAGGTTAAGACGGATGGAACGTGATTTTTCGCGATTTAGTGTAAGAAACGTATTTTTTTTTATGATTTTGGAGGGGCCGACTGTTCGATATTTCAATCATATCACTATATGTCTAGCTATCATTGTTCTTAGAAATGGACTAGTTTTAGGCAAGGAACAAGAAATTAATATAGGGAACGTATTTTCATGTTTCTTCGAGTAGCTATAGTACTCGATATTTTATTGATCAATCAAGACGTCGATAGTGGGGAAGGGGGAGGAGAAACGGTGCAAAGTTGAGGTCGAGGGTGGTTGGGCGAAGCGGTTTGTAGTTTAGGTTCCGATAAAACCTGTTGTATTTTAAATGATATTACGACTTAGGGTCTTTATGATAATGGTGATGGGTGACATACAGGCGAGAAAGTAATAGTCAATTAGCAGTAGTCAATTATCACAATTTAAAGAAAAACGCGATGTATCAGTCAAGTCGATAAATTCCTATTCACCGTGTGCACAATCACCAAACATTGCATTGATGTCAGAGTAGCTCCGTACGGCTGAGGTGAGAGTCGGTTAACGCGAAACGAGACTTGCTACGCGCCCAGAGGCAAGCAACCCAAACGCCAAGGGCTGTTTTTCCTACTCCTCCCAATCGAATATCTCTGTTATTAAGTGAGGTGGTTACGGTAATTCAGTCAAACTTAAGACAAGCAGCTTTGGCTAGCCCCTCAAAGTACGCCTGCATTTACATGTATTCAGGCTATGGGTAAACGAAAGTGAATCGATACGGCTACTTTAACTAGTCATCGAGATAGTATGAGATTTTAGTGCATTTTGCACTATAAGAATGAGTCATTTAGGTAAAGTAAGCAAGAAAAAGTGAGCATGATAAAAAGCGAGATAAGATGTTCTATCAAAAAAAGTACAGAAGTTCGAACGGAACCGCTATAAAAATCAAGAAAAGGCAAATGCCCTCAGACTGTAACTATCAAAAAAAGAAAAATCAACTCAGGGGCCCAAATGAACTCATCAACTCCCTCTTGTTGATTTGTACAAAGTCTATCCAAATGTGCGTTGAAAATGGTACGAAATACCGGACGTTTCGAGGTTGCTCCCTCTTCCTCAGTGGTTTAATTTGTCTGCGTTTATTGTGACTGGCCAATTGAAACTACTTTGGTTTTGTTTTGGCGACAGTCAATTCTGATCGCTAAGAGTATATTTGCCAGAATCTGATATACGCACTGGTTAATCCTTACATTTATAAACAAAGGAAGGGTCCAAATTTCTGTAATTTAAAGAAAAGGGGCTTCACAAATTAGTTAAATATCTGTTAGTTAGACTAGTTCGTGTCAGTTTATCTAATTTTTAGTTATTTATTTATTAAAATCACTCTCGACAATTTAATAGTCATCCTTTATAAAGTAATAAAGAAAGTACGCACCCTCTGATTTCTGATGGGTCGAGGGTCGTGTTTGTCGTGTTTGCATGAGAGTATGTAAACGTGGTTGTGAGGTCAAGATGTTTTGCTTTCGCGCGCTAATCACGTAAGAACGAATTTGAACATTCTCATCCCCAGAGCCACTAGGCTCACTTTGCAACCGAACAGCGACAACCAGAGACCAAAAGAAACAAAGGGCTTTGGTGACGAGAATGGAATTTGAAAAAGATTTTAAGATGAAAACTCGACAAGTTTACTTTATTTAACCAATTACTCGTTGGCCAACACTCGAAAAATCGTAACAAACATGCTGCGTCAGTTTTTTTTGCTCAAGCTGACAATTTAAGCAAGAAAAATCCATATTTTGGAAAGCATCTTTTTCGCAAAACAAGAACATTGTCCTCAACCCCTTGAGGGGTTGAGAGAATTCTTGATCGTTATGTAATCCTCGACGTCGTCTCGGGTTTGCTTAACCGTGTCGAATTTCTCCTTTCCTCTCACGGAAACGTTTACTATTGCTTAGGCCCTGTTCGCAAAACGACAAAAACTAGAGTTTGTCGTTTGCAAAAATGAAGTTTGAAAATGTTGTAGTTTATACCAATTTTTCTTTTTTTGCACCTGACGCCCGCACGTTTTCATGTAACCAAAAACGTCATTAAATAAAGGAACTTTAATTGGTCACGTTAGCTCGAAATAACATGATTCGACGAGAGATAGCTGTCAAGGAACAAAGGATTTTGTGGACAATCAAAAAATTTGTGGGACTCCAAACTTTCTCGACGGCATTTCTGAAGTTTGGTTACACCTGAGAAAATTGGTAGGCGAAAAAAATCGTTCGCACTAAAAAAGAGGGTCTGAAATGGTTTGCGTACTGCGAACAGGGCGTTAAATAATGTCTTTGTCGCTAAAGCGAGGTTAGTTGATTATTGGAAAGATTAAGAGTCACGTTTACGACAAACGGCAAACGTCAGATTCAAGTTGAGAATTTCTCAGAATAGAAAATAAGCAGATAAAAACTATTCAGAACAATTCTTATATGGGTAAAACTGGCATGAAACTGCTTATTTTTTGGTAGAAGTAATAAACAGTAAACGACAATTAAGGAGTAATCCTCGTCACGTGGTACAAATTCACGTTTTCTGTTTCGCGTAAACGTGACTCTTAATCTCTCTATTTTCTTTCTTTTTCTCTTCAGAACTGCTCTTCGGCTTCGTTGTCATATGCCAGATGTGCCTCTTCAGTAAAGACACAAGGCGAAACATATCCTATTCAGGAATCTGCAGGATTCAAGGAAGACCGTCCTTGCAATCCGGATCGACTCCAACAATACATGGGAATGATCTTCAACTATTTCTTCCCTTGCTTTGAATTGTTGGGCCGCCCAAAATAATACAGTAATATTTAGGCCAATGGCAAAAGTGCCCTGTCGACATTTTACATTGGTGACTTAAGGCAATATTAAGGAATAGACGTCAATACAAGTGTTAATTTCAAAATCATCATGATTTTAAAATTAGTTATGGGTTAAACTTACACCGATAGTTAACTTTTATGCGTTCTTTTAAAGTGTTTTAACAGGAATACCCAACGACTATTTTTTTTTAAATTAGTGTAGATTGTGTCAAATTTAATGTGTAACGAGCTAAGAAAGGAGCTCAGATATCCTGGCCTCACGTCTTAAGCTTTGTAAAGTAAGGAATGAATAGGTGATCGCTCTAGAAGACAGATTGAAAATAGATCAAAAAGGTGAAATAGCTATATAGGAATAGTAGTTCTCAAACTCATTAATAAATATAAACTCATTAATAAATATAAACGAGAGTATTTGGAAATCAGATGAAAAACTACTCATTTTTGAATCCTTAATTTCTCCCTCCCTCTTGGATTTGAGCCACAATTAAACCACGTGTTTCCAGCGTGTAACACCAAAAACCCATTTCGCTATGTATTTGATAGGCTAGAGTGTCCAAGAATGCAAGAGGCCCTCAAACCTAGCCTGATCACAGACCCTGTACCGTATTTTCCTCAAAGTCTGTCGAGCCGGAATTGATAAGATATTAGAAACCGCAGGGGATTTATTGACCTCCAGCGCAACAGGGTAGTGTTCGCGCTCCGCGCTCGTTCTCGCGAGCTCGCCCCTGTTTTTCGAAAAGAACGAAAACAAAAATAAAACGTCTGTCAGTAGCCCTCAAGTCTGTAAAAGCAATTCCTTCACTTTTACAATTTTACGATAAAATTTAAGGAGGTAAGGGTCAAGTGACTTAAAATGTACCTTACTTTCATAATCTGTGTCTGGGAGCAACAGCATTGCCTGCGTGGCAGCCGGCTAATGCACATGCGAAAATACACTTGCGAGTCTCGCGCCAACTTACATTCATCAATTACGATCGACACATTTTTAGCTGGGTTCAGCTATGAAGTAGCAAAAATCATAGGTATGAGCAAACTGTGTCAATTATTGCAGAGTTATTAGGGACCGCTCATTATTTATGTAGAGGGGTAGCCTGCGTAGCAAGCGTTTCCTCGCGAGGTTCATCTAGAAAACTGGGACAAGAGCAAAAAAAAAATGAATGACGGGGGAGGGGGATGGGGAATGAAGTAACCTCTTCTCTTCTCTTCTCTTCTCCCCTCCCCCTCCCCCTTCAACCTTTTTTTTTTGCTTCCGCTCTAACTTTCGCGCAATAACTCGATTGGAAACGCTTGCTACGCAGGCTAGTAGAGGGGGGTGAGGGAACAAAGATGGGGGTCAAGGCTATTTCAGATTGGCTAGAGGGGGGAGGGCTAAACTTTTTTTATAACGAAGTTTAGGGGGGGTCAGCAGTTTGATCGCAAGGTATATTTTCCAAATTTCCGAATATTCTTTTTTTCTTTGGTCCAGTCACATATTTGACCATTGTCACTGAATTCTGTTCACCATAACATTCTTCAGCTGAAACTTTTTCCTTTCAACCTCTTCTTCCAAACTTGACAATTCTTTGACTCCTCGCTCAGGGAGGTTAGATATTTGCCAAAGCGGGCATTATTGTCATGAGACAACATGTATTTCAGCTTCCTCTCCACTTTCTCTATCTTGTTCTTTATTTCCGACCTCTTGCCACGCTTAATGATTAAATAAGTCTCAAATCCTGATTCGGCTCGTACAACGTCTTGAGCAGGTAAAAACTCGACACTGGTCTACGCTATACACTTATTTTGTAATAGAGTATGTTAGTTTCATTGTTATACAAAGTAACTAATCATCTTATGTGTAGTATGTTACATGCATTTTAATAATTACTTTATAGAGCATAATAAGAGGAGATATGTGGTGAGGGGGGATCATCACGTGAGTATTGAATAAAGAAGGGGGGCACTTGCTATTTACATGGCCTGCAGAGGGGGAGGGGGGGCTTACATAGACTTTGATCTTTCCAACATTTCCAACATTTTTCCCTCCCTCTACATAAATAATGACAGGTCCCTTATGTGGTGGCGAGTAGACTTCTTTGTGGCGATTGCGTTGATGGCGAGATGAGCGTAAACCTCTTTTTTTAGCGGAAAGTGAAGATTGACTCTTTACTTTGTTTGCTAGATTTCTTTATTTTTCTGCCGATTGTAGCACGCGTATTGTGTTTTATTCCATGCAATGAAATAATATGATTTTTCCAAATTTGAGCATGTATAACTCAGTGATAAATCTTAAAGGAAGTTGACTCTACATGAAACACAATCTCTGGAAAAAAAAAATTATAATCGGGTAGCGATCAATTTCCCAGCTGTCTTTACATCAGTCTTATAAAGACATTTACACCAAAATTTAGGGACAAAACAGAATTTAATTATAATAATAATACTATTAGCAATAAAGAATTAAAGACATTGGATCCGAAATCTAAACAAAAGAACAGACTATGACATGACGTCCAGTCCTTAAAATAAAATTAGTCTCTCGTGACCACATTATTAATATTCTGACAAGATATCTTGTTTTGCCAAAACAAACCTTCATTACCATAGAGAGAGAGAGAGAGAGAGCTGGAGAGTCATAACAAGTTACCGTTATTAATACACTTAACAAAAGACTGTCAGTAAAAGTTTCATCACACTGATTTTTTAATTTAAAACCTGTTAATAAGTCACTTGTTGAACAGCCCTGAGGGCTTTTTAAAGATCTTTGGCCAGGAAACGTATTGCATCACGGTCTCCGCCTGTGCAAGTACAATGCGCTTGGCCTCCACGTGTCGTAACTCAGCCTGGTCTATTACAAACTACATACGTCACTGTCGGGGAAGCACCTTTGCGTGGACCTTTTAGCAAGTGGCTACAACGAAATTGCATCACAATCGAGCGAGAAGAGCTCCAAGAAGGATCAAAGGTATGTGCTAAGTGGTTGTTGCGAATTTAAACTTATCTGTCATTTTGGATGCTGGTACTTTACGAGTGCTTAACTTAGGTGTCTTTTTATCCCCCAGTCGTTCTTTAAAAACCTTAAGTCCCCTGGGCCCTAATTCGAGACTGGCACGCTTAAAGCCACGAGTCGAAACCAGCACGGTAAAGCTATCATGATGAAACTGGGCAAAAGCCCTGCGAAACAACGACAGTTCACAAGTATATGCTTACAAGTTAGTTACCTTACGCTTGCAGAGAAGAGAAGAGACAATTCAAGTCGCTGCAGCGAAATTGCCACATAATCGAGCAAGAAGAGCTCCCAGAAGGATCCTGAAAGGTATGTGCGAAGTGGTTGTTGCGAATTTCAGCTTATCTGTCATTTTCGATTCTGGTACCTTACGAGTGCTCAACTTATAGGTGTCTTTTTATCCCACAGTTAGCTTAACTAAGTTGAAGTTAGTTACCTTACATTTGCAGAGTAGAGAAGAAAGTATTCAAGATTAATTCAGTTCAAATTGAAAGTTTGGACATGTACAAAAGTAAAGCAAGCGACGGGTATTCGTGTCGCATGATCTAAATTCTATTACCTGTCAGTTCATAATCGAGAAGTCTTTTTTCTTTTTTCAGTTTTTGGCGGGAGGTGTGAAACAGTTTCGTGCATTCATTCATTTTAAAGGGGCTATCGGTTGCTATTGTCTGGTTCAGTTCACAAGTTTTCAAAAACCACTTGGGATTCCGTTTCAAATTTTCAATCTTCTTCAAGTTCGTCCATGGTCGTCTCCCTTTGTACTATGTAGCTGCATTATTTTTACCTCCTTTCACCTTGAGAAGTTTTTCTCATGTCTTACTCTGTCTTTTCACTGTTTGAATTTTGTCAAATTTCGTGACGCAGCTCCTTTAACAACAACAAATCCCTAAACTTGTTCTTCTTACTAAGCGGAAACATTTCCGCGGGAAATTCCCTTCGCACTATGTAAATGTTAATTAATATGCCACCTGGCACAGAGTAAGAGGTACTTTCCCTTGGGTTTTTTCCCTGCTTTTTTTGTTTTGGTTATGGAACTGCCATAAGACTTTGCTTAAAACATTTTCGAAAATTTCAAAAAAAATTTGAAAACATGACGACGTTTCGATCTTCTCGGACGTCGTTGTCAAGTCAGACGCTACTTTCTTTTGACCTAATAATGACGTCCGAGAACGTCGAAACGTCATGTTTTTAACTTTTTTTGAATTTCTTAAAATGTTTGTAAGAAAAGTTTTAAAGCAGTTTTTTATAGTCAAATGTTTTAAAAATCGCTTCTTTGTTGTCAATAAAATTTGATCGCTAGCCAAATACTGTTTTTAAAAATAGCCTTTTTAATGAACTCCTGCTGAAAGCGTGCTGAAACACTGATTGATTGACAGTGTACATTGGGTAACCTGTGAGCAGAATTTCCTTCCTTATCAAAAAAATTCAAAGGTAGAGCAAAAACTGAAAGAATTGAATGAAGATTTTATTTAGATGTCGTTTTAGGTGCCTGAACGCAGAAAAATACAACCTATTCTATTCTTGAAGGCCTGTATTTTTGATTGGTGACCACTGGTAATCGATTTCTCAGGACCCTGTGAAATTTGTTAAGTCATCAAGTCTCATCGCGCCAGTAGCCGCATAAGGCCTCCACGCTGTCTGACCAATACCTCTGTCTTGTACAACCGCTTTGGCCACTTGCCAGCTCTTCCACCCATCTTTGTTTCGCTCTTTCTCGACTGTCCTTGGTCTTCCTCTTGCCCTCCGACCTTCAGGAGTCCATCCTAATGCTGTAAAGCACTCGTTCTCACCCTCTCTCCTTAGTTTGTGACCTAGCCAGTTCTTCCTTCTTCTTCGTACCTCAGGGCTTGTCACTGACCTCAGCCAACTCAACCACTCTCTCGTTTGTCATTCTCTGCTGCCATCGAATCCGCAGTATCAGTCTCAAGCACTGGCACTGGAAGCTATTCAGCTTCCGTTCATCGTTCTTGGTGATCTTCCAACTTTCACAGCCATATAGTAGAAACGGCCGAATTAAAGTCGTGAATAGGTGTATCTTGGTTCTCCTTCCCACAGTATCCATCGAGCTGTCCAGACCCTCCTTAGTCTCTGGAATGCGCCACGTGCCTTCTGCAGACGTGCATAATGTGTTTGCTACCTCCACCCTCTTTGTCCACAGTAGCTCCCTGGTATGTTAACTCCTCAACGTCATCCACTTCTTCGCCATCCACCACAATCTTCTCCCTGATACTAGCACACTCAGTCCTTAATGTTTTGCTTTTTCTCGCATTAAGTTTGAGTCCTACTCTTGCCGCTTCCTCCGCCAATCTCCTAGTCTTTTCATGCAGGTCATTGAACTTAGATGACAGAGTGCAACGAGTGAGAAAGAGTGCGAAATCAAGGTCCTCCAGCACTGTTATGAAATTCCACCTTATCCCTCTTCTCTCTTGCCTGCTGTTACCTTCCTCATGACCCAATCCAAGCACAGTAAGAATAGGAATCCCGACATCACGCACCCCTGTTTTACCCCAGACTTGATCATAAACCAGTCAGATGTCACACCCCCGTGGACAACCGTGCACTCAAAGCCCGCGTACATGCCCGTTATCACTCTCACCATCTTGTCTGGTATCCCATAACTCCTCATGATATTCCATAGGCTTTCTATGTGTGCAGAGTCAAAGGCTTTTTCAAAGTCTACAAAGTGCGAATACAGACCCGCCCTGCACTCATTTGCTTGATCTAAGATGTTTCTAAGTATAAAGATCTGTTCAGTTGTATTGCTGTTGGGTCAAAACCCAGCCTGCTCCTTTCGAAGTTTCTTGTCTACGCCTTTCTTGATCCGCTCCAACTGCATCCTCTAGAATATCTTATTAATGACAGGTAGTAAAGTCACTCCTCTCCAGTTGTTGCATTCGCACAAATCACCCTTCTTGAATACCTTAACAACAAGTCCCTTCTTCCACACTTTCGACCACCTCTCAGTTTCCCAAAGCCTGTTGTAACATTTTTATAGCCTACTTGCGGTGTCTTCCATGTCAGTTCTCAATAATTCCGGACACACGTCATCTACTCCAGCCGCCTTCCCTGGCTTTGTTCTCTCAAACGCATTTTTAACCTCTTGCAATCGTCAACTTCCTAGATCTCTTTCCTTAATCTTTTCCGATTCTACTATCTCATCCTCTTCCACAGGATTCGTTGGGTCATCTTTGTTTAATATTTCACTTAACAGCTCCACCTATCTCTGCAGTCTTTCTCTTGTTTCAGTCCTAAGCACCCCTTGTTTGTCCTTAACACCTATTTCTTGTTTTCCGCCTTTCTCCAGTTAACGAATTAGTAATGCTGTATAGCTCCTTGCTCCTACCATTCTCAGCGGCCTTTTCTTCTGCTGCAGCCCTCTTCTCTAACCAAATTCTCTTATTCTCTCTAACACTCCGTTTCACTTCGTTGTTCTTCGCGTCATACTCCTCCCTCCATCTCTGTTTCAGTCGTTCCGATCTTGCACCTTCCAATTTCAATTTTGCCTCTTTCCTCTCCTTGTTCATTTCCCATGTTTTGCTTCCTATCTATGGCCTACTAAGTTTCTTTGACCTCCCCAAGAATTTCTTTGCTGCACCTCTATATGTTGTCAAAATCATATCGTGTTCTTCATCCGTATAATCTATGTCTAAAGCTTCAAACCTATTCCTCACTTCAATGTTGTACCTCCTCCTGATCTCTTCACTTTGCCGTGTACTTACGTCAATTCTCCCTTACGTTCTTCCTCCCCTCAGCTCTTGCGAACGTTAGACGTATCCTCGTTTTCACAAGGTATTGGTCACTGCAAAGAGATACGTCCTCTCATTACCGTAGTGTCTAATATAGATGTTCTCATGTTTCCATTCACTAGAACATGGTCAATCCCCTATCTGGTGACCTCCAGGTCAGCTTATGGATGTCTTTATGAGGGAAGATTGTTCCAGTTATGATGAACCCATTTGCACTACTGAGAAGTCACATAACCTCTCTCCATTTTCTTTCATAATACCAACGCCAAACTTCCCCATAACCTCCTCTCTATTGTTGCCTACCTTAGCATTTAAATCTCGCATCACCACAATCATATCATTTCTGTTGCAGCTTGAAACTGTGTCCTGCAGCTGGTTGTAGAATTCATCCTTTTCCTCATCCATCGCATCATTTGTTAGTGCATATGCTTGTACCACCGTCAGTTTTTTAATGTCCTTCGAGTAGAATAGAAATTTCGTTAACTAGACGTCAACAAAACCAGGATCGGACCAAGTCAGATCATCCCCTGTGACTCACTGAATGAAAAAAGGCAATAAACGATAACGTCTGTATGAATGATCCAATCTGCGGCCCGCTTGAGCTCTATTTCCGCTGGTCTCTCGGGGGAGAAACACGGGCTCGTTTCCGGAAAAGAACAGTGTAATTGAGCCTACGGGCTCTCTCTAAGGCGCTAGCGCTCCAGTTTACAACAGTAGGACTGCTGATTGCGAAATCTAAAGTGGATTTCATGTCTAGATCCTTCTATCAGTGAAACAGGTGAAAGCGCAGAAGAATAATCCGCCTTTGGATTTCGTTTTCGAAGTGAATGGAAGTCAAAGACAGACCTGCACGGACTCCCAATGTGGTTTTTGTGGTTGCGTCGCATTATCAAATGCCTTCGAGTTACAGTTTTGCTTTTACAAGCATGTCTTACAGAGATTTACCTCTTTTGTAGGGCACGATCGGAGGTCTTTTAAAAATTGTTTTCTAGGGGGATACGGATACTAAATGCAATAGCCCAATTCACCATTTTCACATAGGCCAGGCCATAATTCTCCTTGTTAACCCCCCAAAATTTTCCATACCCATTGTCTCCAATTTCTCTTGGGACGACTGTAATACAGAGGAGAAATTGGAAACAATGGTTATGCAAGATTTTGGGGAGTAAACAAGATGCTCTATGTAAGTTTTTGCTCCACTGTTTGATCATCTTCTTAGTTTAAACATGCAGGAAATGAGAAAAATGGAAGTTGGGGACCTGTCTGCTAAGACTCTTAACTACGTCTCCCGCTCCTTGGACAAACCAACGCTGAACTCCTGGGAGGACCTAATGCAAAGTCAAACCTTTTGCTCCATTTATTCAAACGATGATGCCGAGAAATTACGACTGAAAAGTAGCCACGTGCACCCGGCGGAAGCTTTAATATTCGACCTCGCAAATCGAAAAATACCATTGGAAGACCTGATGAGCGGTCTCAGAGAAATTGGGAACGAGGAGGCAATTTCGATCATTGAACATCGGGAGAAATGGTCGGAAGGTAAGTTGTAGTCATCGGTCGTCATCGCATGGGTTGAAACATATCTGTGGAAATGTTTGGTTTAATTTCGGATTTTGATAGAATCTCTTCCTAAAGTTAAAGTCCCATGTTCACTCAAAGAAACGAGTAACTTGCTTTTGGCGCTAAAAAAGAAGTACATTTCGACGTGCCATGAGAGAACTAAAACCATATAAAATATAGCTGAAATAAATTTCGTTTCTGAAAAATGAGACCCTGAAATGATAGCTCAGCTCTTTCTACAAAGGCAGCTTGGTTTATTGGTTATATCAGTTTCCACAGCCCGAGCTTTTCTCCTCATCCAGCCATGTAAAGGACCAACTGGCAATTAAAAGTATTGTTCCAGTGGAATCTTTGTGTGATACATGTATGTCTATAGTAATGTCCAATCCTCGATTGTATCTGTAACGCGTACGGAAGGATATTAACTGCCATGCCTGTTTTTTTTTTTTTTAGTTTTAACTTACAGTCTTACAGTCCGGTTTCTTGTTGAGGGTCTCCAACTGTGTCTCGATTAGGCTTGATTTCTGCCGCTCTTTCTGCCCTCCCCGAGAGGAGAGTCTGTTCTCGTGAGGAGTGCGGGCTTATTTTTCGAACAGTGACTGGTAATCAAGCCTAAATCCCGACCAGTTCGAGAAGAAATTATGCAACTTGCGTCATGTTAACTGAATAAAAATGATTTATTTTATTAATCGAATAAAGCTCACTTTCCCTGCTGGATATCTGTTCTCTTTCCGAACTCCGCAGCCCTGTTCTCTTTCTCCGCCCAAATCTCCAATTCCAGCCAAATAAGGTAATTCACAGATCCTGAGCCGAAAAACTTATCGGATACCCTCTTTGATGTCATCCCTAGAAACAATGAGCATGAACAGCTTCATCCCACAAGATTATGGTGGACGATCTGCTCCATCACTCCTCATACCGCGGCAATCAGAAGAGGTATTTTATTATTCTACCAGTCTACCCACTTTGGCTGTTTGGTTGTATTAACAACAGAAATATATGAAATGAATATTACTATGTTTAAAATAATTTTTTTTATCTAAATAAACTCTCATTATGCTCTATAGATATTGGATAACTTATGATTTATCAGTGATATCGTGTTAGGATATGGTTAATTGGTTCATGTGACTGTAAAGGCGTGCAATATAGAAGAGAAATGATGACGTCACAAAAACTAAATTTGTGAAATCAATGGATAGGCTGGCTTATTCAGAGAGAACAGGGTGAAATATGTTCACTTGCCAAAAATGAGCCTGTTCATCTTCAAATTGGCGGGAATGTAGAAGTAGTTTAGCCTTTGAGCAAGCGTCTCCTGTTGCTTGCCTCTCGCACGTGTGCTTTTCAAGATATGTTATTCTCCGACGGATACGATCCAGGCGTATCTTATAAGGATTTATATGGAGTCATCGGAGCATGATACTTCTTATATCTTCCCGCCAATTTGCAATAACAGGCTCATTTTTATCCTGTTCCGGGGTCCAAGATAGTCGGCAAAAACAAAACGGTAGGAAACTGGGAAGAGAAAGGGCGGCTTCCTACCGGATCATTATACGTTTCTGGGAAACTCCCCACTTACCCCTCTCCTAAGCCAACATTTTACCCTAAGTGAAAAGTAAGTGTTAATGTTGGCTTAAGAAAGGGGTAGGTGGGCACTGAGTTTTCCAGAAACGTATAATGATCTTTTTCCCGCTCGCACCCCCTTTTCCCAGATCACGCGCTCATATTTTTGCGTCCCTTTCACCTACGCGTCATCCCTCATCCCTACTGTCTGAGAGCCTGGAACAGGCTAGCTCATTTTGACAAGTGAACATAATTATTTCGTCTTGTTCTTTGTTTCTTTTTAAAGTCTTTTCCATCTCAAATTTTACAAATTTGAATTTTCGTTACGTCACACTTCTCTTCTTTTTTGTGAATAGTGATCATAAGTAATTTAGTTTTACTCTTAAAACTCGTAATTGCAAGCTATTTGTTATTCGCACGTTGAAGGTGGTTTCCAACTAACTAACTGTATTTTTGGTGGTACACTAGAGTGCTTTAAGGACTGGCGGTGCGGGTCCAATGTTTCGCCTTGTGCCTGTTTTCAGTTGCAAGGCGAAACATTGAACCTTTTTCTGCCAACATAAATCACTGTGACTATGGATCAAACCATCATTGTGCTTGGATTTGGACTAGGATAAGGCGGATGGAACGTGATTTTTCGAGGTTTAGTATAAGAAACGTATTTTTTTTTTTGATTTTGGAGGGGCCGACTGTTCGATATTTTAATCATATATGTCTAATCATTGTGCTTAGAAATGGACTAGTTTTAGGCAAAAGGAACATGACTTGATATAGGGAACGTATAGTTCATGTTTCTGGAGTAGCTATAGTACTCGATATTTTATTGGTCAATCAATACGTCGATAGTGCCATAGTGGGGAAGGGGGAAGGAGAAACGGTGCAAAGTTGAGGTCGAGGGGGGTTTGGGTGAAGCGGTTTGTAATTTAGGTTCATAAAACCCATTGTAGTTGAAAAGATATTACGACTGGAAGGTCTTTATGATTATGGTGATGGGTGAGATATCGAGTGATTAATAGTCAATTAGCAGTAGTCAATTATCACAATTTAAAGAAAAACGCGATGTATCAGTCAAGTCGATGAATTCCTATTCACCGTGTGGACAATCCCTAAACGTTTGCATTGATGTCGGAGTGACTGTCGGAGTAGCTCCGTACGGCTGAGGAGAGTCGATTAACGCGAAACGAAACTTGCTGCGCGCCCAGAGGAGAGCAACCCAAACGCCAATAGGGCTGTTTTTCCTCCTCTTCCCAATTGAGTATCTCTGTTATCTAATCAAGTAAGGTGACAAGCAGCTTGGCCAGCCCCTCAAAGAACGCCTGCGTTTACACCCATTTCAATAAAGGTTGCTTTGGGATTTGGTCATTGAAACACAGAATACAACGCAATGCTTTCTTGAGTGACCACCAAACAATGGCTTTCAAACACCAAAGCACGATTCTCAAAGCAACCTTTATTGAAATAGGTGTATACAAGCTATGGGTAAAAGAAAGTGAGTCGATACGGCTACTTTAACTAGTTAAATATCTGTTAATTAGACTAGTTCGTGTATTTATCTATTTTTTAGTTATTTATTTATTAAAATCACTCTCGACAATTTAATAGTCATCCTTTATAAAATAATAAAGATAGTACGCTCGCTCTGATTTCTGATTGGTCGAGGATCGTGTTTGCCTGAGAGTATGTAAACATGGTTGTGACGTCAAGATGTTTTGCTTTTCTCGCGCTGATCATGCAAGAACAAATTTGAACATTCTCATCCCCAGAGCCACTCGGCTTACTTTGCAACCGAACAGTGACAACCGGAGACCAAAAGAAACAAAGGGCTCTGGGGACGAGAATGGAATTTGAAAAAGGATTTGAGTTGAAAACTCAACAAGTTTACTTTATTTACCCATTTTGTCGTCGGGCGACACTCGAAAAGTCTTAACAAACACGCTGCGTTAACTTTTTTTGCTCAAGCTGACAATTTAAGCGCGAAAAATCAATATTTTGGAAAGCATCCTTTTTGCAAAACAAGAACATTCTCAACCTCTCTTGAGGGGTTGTGAGATTTCTTGATCGTTATGCAATCCTCTCTTCGTCTCGGGTTTGCATAACGGTGTCGAATTCTCCCATCCCCTCCTCGTGTTTATAGGCTATGCAAACAAGGAAAACGTTTTCTATAGCTTAGGCCCTGTTCGTAAAACGACAAAAAATAGAGTTTGGCGTTAGCAAAAAAGAAGTTTGAAAATGTTGTAATCTATATCAATTTTTCTGTTTTCGCACCTAACGCACGCAAAGGTTTTCATGTAACCAAAAACGTCACCAAATAAAGGAACTTAAATTGGTCATGTTCGCGCGATATATCCGACGAGAAACAGCTGTCAAGGAACAAAGGATTTTGCCGACTGTCAAAAATTTGTGGGCCTCTAAACTTTCTCGACGGCATTTCTGAAGTTTGGTGACACTTGAGAAAATTGGTTAGGTGAAAAAAATCGTTCGTACTAGAGATGAAGGGCAGAAAAAAGCTTTAAAAAGCTTTTTTAAAATTCCTATTGACAGCAGATTTTTTTGGCAGAACAACCAAAATTTTGCGTACCGCGAACAGGGCCTTATATAATTTCTTTGTCGCTAAAAGGAGGTCAGATGATTATTAGAAAGATTATGAGTCACGTTTACGACAAACAGATAACGTCAGATTCAAGTTGAGAATTTCTCAGAGTAGAAAATGAGCAGATAAAAACTGTTCAGAAAATTGTCGCAGTAATAAACAGTAAACGTCAATTAAGGAGAAATCCTGGTCACGTGGTAACAAATTCACGTTTGGCGTAAACGTGACTCTTAATCTCTCTGTTTTCTTTCTTTTTCGCTTCAGAACCGCTCTTCGGCTTCGTTGTCATATGCCAGATATGCCCCTTCAGTGAAGGCACAAGGCGCAACATTATTACATTATCCTGTTCAGGAATCAGGAGTCAAGGAAGACCGTCCGGGCAATCCGGATCAACTCCAAGAAAACACGGGAAGCATCTGGAGCTATTTCTCCTCTTGCCTTGGATGATTGGACCGCCCAAAAGATTAGGCTAATGGCAAAAGTGCCCTGTCGACATTTTATATCTCTGACTTGAGGCAATAATTTATAGATTTAGCCAGGGCTAAAAGCAAAGCTCCC